GAGTGTCGATGTGTGCTTCGCTCCGAGTGCTTCCTCTTTGCCTTGCAGTGCTCGAATGTACATGGCTTCTGCCTCTGCGAGCTTGCCTTGGTTGGCGTAGAGATCGCCTAGGTTATGCAGTGCCCACTCTATTCGCGTAATATCCACCATCCCATCCGTGATGAAATGTACCTGTTTTACAGCATGTTGAAGGAGCCGCTGCTGAAGGACCCACCACTCATCTACATCCGTGCTAGGAACTTCAGATGCTACACAAGTCAGAGCTACCCTTGCTAACCCATCGTCCCACTTGTCGTTTAGTACCGATATCGTCCATGAGTGCACACAGCTATGCACACCATATCCCGCGGATCCAGGCGACTGTCCAAGTGAAGGTTCTGGATGAGCCAGACCGTATTCGCATAGCAGTCGAACTGCTTCATTAAAGCTCAGTTCATCCTTGGTAAGCTTCTGCACCCACTCGTCGTCCGTAGCGTATGCGTGTTGAAGAAGTCCAAACCACAGGTCTTGCTTATCGAAATATGCCCACAGCTTGAGCAACTGCGCCGATGCCACATTCTGTTCTCGAATCTGATCATAGGCCACCTGCCATGTCGTGTACAGTGAGCGGTCTGCGTACGAATTCAATCTCGGACTCGTCCTCTGGAGTTTCGACCAGGATGCCTCGTACAGCCGAAGATACTCTGCGAAGCTAGTCGTCACGTGCTCCAGATAAGCCCCGGCTGTGGAGAGAGCAAGTGGTAAGCCGTCTAGCTTCATAGCAAGCGCTTTTGCATCGGGATCTATCTCATCAGTTCCGTTCAGCTTATCGGGTACCCAAGTAAACATACCGTTCTTAATGTCTCCTCTTCCAGACGTATTCGATAAGATCTTGAGCCCGTCCTCAAGACTTGTCAGCTTCTGAATGGGGAGACGCCGCCCTTGGGTAACATTCGCTAACCGCGTCGTGATGATGACCGAGCCCTGGTCGCTTTCTGGCAGATACCGGCGCACATCCACTGTTGAGCGGTCGGAATGGTTAGCAGTTCGCGGATTGTCGTAGTTGTCATAGACCATCAGCCAGCGCGTATTGTCCCGGAGATCGAGCCAGGCTTTGACTGCACGAACCACTCGATCTAGGTCTCCTTCCAAGTCCACGTTACGAAGTTCTCTATTCGAAGGATGATGCGTGAGGATTTGCTGAGCGATGCTGCGAAAGCTGAGCCGAAGGGAGTCTTCATCATTCGCATTCAGCCAGAATACCGCCGTGTATTTCTCTTTGTGTCTGCTGATGTATTGGATCGCTAACTGAGTCTTTCCAATTCCTCCAAGCCCGTGCAGGACTACTGCTGATCGGCCACCGTGACCATGAAGCAGCTCATGCATCTTGGACAGTTCTTCTTCTCTAGCAACAAACTCTGCAGCTTCAGGGAGTGACGCAAGGTTAAGTCTGACCGCATATTGTTCGAAGTTAACACCTGTGCGGGTCAGTTCATTGCTTCTATTAGTATAGCTAGGCAGAGGTCTACCTTTGTATAACTTGTGGATTTCTTCTTCTAGCCGTCGGAATGCATGGGCCTTTCCTTCTCCATAGTTTGGCAGCATAGAAACCTCAAACACTCCAATCAAACAGTACGCCTCATCCTCTTCAATCGTGGTAGTGCGGCGCTCCGCCCAGGACCTCCGCTCTTGGATGCTAAAACTCGACAGCGCATAGCCTCGCAGAGCAGCCTTCGCGATGCCAGTAATCTCGTGTATTTCGGACTCGAGCAACACTTTGCTCCCAAGTCGCTCACCCTCGAAGCTAAAGAAGTCCACCAGCTTTGGTGCGATGAGCTCTTGAAGCGTCCAGCCCCGGGTGAACCACCGGCTTGTCTTGAAGGCATCTTTCCACACCTTTTCACTATCCGCTCCACCAGGTTTGGAGACATCCGAGAGGTAGACGTAGCAACGTGCAGCGTTCTGATACCACCGAAACATGGAGTTGATCGCCGCGCCAAGCTCGACCGCATTCTTCTTATCGATGCAGCAGGTGTCTATCCAGAAGTACTGTAGCCCATCAGCTGCGGCCTGCCCCGCGCAGAATTGTATCTTCCTCCACCCAGCCTTGCTGACAGTCTTGCTCACGTCCGCGCCAGTTTCCATGTCCTGGAAAGTGACCTCCTCTGTTTCCCATGTATGAGAGAGTATTGCGTAAGCAGGCACGGCACTGCTGGTCGTTTCGCGAAAGACGATGCTGCCGTCCGGATTGCGCTGCAAGAGGCGTAAGAGAGCCATGGCTACAGGTCGGCTGCGATCTCATGGCACGCGCAACTCGTTCGACTCGTTCGGCTCGTTCAGTCCGTTCGGTCCGTTCAGTGTATCCGCGCAAGGCATTCGAAAGTCAATAAAGTACAAGCAGTCATCGAAGGACGAAGGGTGATAAGGCGGTACAGTGGTGGTTGTACGCGCTGCCCACCAGGCTGCATCGTGGCGCAGCCTGGCCAGCGACGGGACGCTCATGTCGCCTGGATGTTATTGGTAGCTCCGCGCACCGAACCTGGTGCGAACTGTTTGATTCTGAATAATCGCAAACAATACAAGATCCTGCGCAGTTGTTGTCGGAAAGCGAACCTGCTCCAGACAGAGTGCATGCATTTATGAGACAAAGGAGCTGGGCAATGGAAATGCAAAATTCACAAGCCGTTGACACCAGTCGCTCTGTTGCACCACACGCTAACCAGCCACGGACTTGGCTCTGCTGGCTAGTGTGGCTTATGCTACGCCCGTGATTAACGACCACTTAAACATGCAGGTTGCGTCTTGGCACAATCTGGAGAGGGGCGACTAGAACCATCACCCAACATAGACTAAGCAGGAGCATAACGACAAGCACAATATAGTGGACCCATGACAACGAGGTCACTTGGTTATCATTCTAAAACATCTTCGCCTCCGGAGCTCTATATATCTTGGGGACCCTTTCAACCTCTTTACCTTCTGCGCCGCTCGTTCGTAAAAGTTTGGCCGGTCGCTCTACGTCTCTAGCTTCATGCTCCAGTGCTACACTCTTTCGCTTCCGACCACGTTTTCCTTTTCTCACATCGGACTCTTCAGTCGTTACCATAGCCTTGGCAGCTCGTTTTGGCCTCTTTCGCTGCTTTCTTAGCTGCCTTTTAGGCATCTTTCGCAGCGCGTTCCGCTCTCGCCTCCTGGAGATGTTCATAGGTCGCTACCCTCCCTACCCCCAGTATTTCGGGCTTCGTCCTTCGGCGAGTTTTGGCTTCGTTGTTGATCTTGGCCAAGAACTGGTTGTTTTCTTGAAGTAGAGCCCGTTCGGCGAACGATAGTTGGGTGGCATTGGTGAGCTTCTGTACGTGCCTCTGTAGGCGCTGCCTGCTAGTATCATCAAGCGCAAGAGCATCTTGTTTGATCAGATTATGCAGCGATGCAACAGCATCTGCTGTGATTGGCGTTACGGGCGTCTGTAGTACTTGATCCTGCGTACAAGAACCTACCTCTGCCCCGTTGGTTCCGGAAGCAGTTGATCTAGCTAGGGGCTTCGGTATATTACTGAGTACCTTTTCTGGGCTGAAAGGGTAAAGGCAAGCCTTCATCCATCCAGCCCTTATGTTCCTGGACGTGAATGCTTGATCCCTTGCAGGGCTATACAAATAGGTGAAGTGCTCTTTCCCGACTGTTCCTACATATCCTCGCTCCAGCCGCTCGACCTGGTCACGGTAGGCTACCTTAAGTGGGCTGAATACTGAGATGTCGCAGGGCTGAAGCTTATGCGACATGTAAGAGGGGATACGGCATAGGATGATATTATTTTCGAAATAAAATTCTAAGATCTCCAGGGTCTCGTGGGTCCTGAAGCCGTCGCATATTAGTACCCGTGGTTTCTGGTTAGCCTGTTGCCTGGTCTGGGGGTCAAATACAAGCTTGAGCCACTGCAAGCTAAGATAGGAGTCCATATAACCGCTGTCCGAGAATGCATAATGCCATCCCGGGGTGGCATATATGCTCCAGTTGGATCGATAGGTCGATGCAGGCTAGATGATTATAGGGTTTAGATACCTACCATCGGCACTCACGTATTCGATAGCGGTAACCGTCATTCGCTTAATGCACACACCTCTGTACCCTCGCTGGTTGTCCTTGCAGACAAGAACCTTAATGGAATTTAGCTTGGATAGCATAACACCAGTCTCGTCCATATTATAGACATTCTCCCGCAGAACGGCTGGGTCCTGCAGAACCTTTCCAATCACCTGAAACCAGTGTATGACCTTATCATAGATATTATAACGGTTCCAGTCCAGTGCCGCAGCTTTACTCGCTTTGAGATCTGGATGGCGTTTGTAGAAGGACTGGGGCCAGTTCTTCCCGGGAGGCTTGCATGGATGGTTCGCGGGTGCACGTCGGCGGGCGAGACTAAAGGCTATCGAACCTAGATACTTTATCCGGACAGGGCGGCCAAGAGCATCTTGATGGGCTACAAACTTAGCAAGGGCTTTCTCTTCCCACGGGTGGAGATATTGTTGGCTCTGTGCCTTCTCTTCAAGCGACTACCGCCTGCGGTTACGATGCTGGAGAGTTGTGCGAGGCACACCACGATAATCGGCCAAAGCGCGAAACGGTTTTGACACGCACGGAAGGACACCTAAGGCCAGTGCCTGGCTGGCTCCGTCCATGTTGACTTGTTGTGGTGATTGGGGGATGGGTGACACGACAAAGGCTGAGTGCTAGCTTCCAGGCCACTACAGGAAGGCGACGATAGGACATGTAGCCAGATAGAAATGGCACGTGATCGTAGAGGCTTCTAACGTTAGAAGGCTACCGCCATGCGCCACAGCTTGTCCCGGGAGCATGGGCTACCCAAAGATACAGTACAATACAATACGACACATGTCAGCTCGTCTAGAATGCCAAGGATCACGCCACGTTACAAACCTTTCAATCCCGCCCTCTCATCTACTCGGAGAAACTCCCGGAATCAGTATTCGTAAGCTATAACTAGACTTTTAGAATCGAATCTATATCTCTCCATAGCGGTAATTTTCCCTTAAAGCTCCGTTTCTAGGAAATATTCTAATACTGGCAATTTAGCAAGGGTACTTAAGCAGAGCAACGATAGAAGGGGCGAACGAAAAGATCCACAGGGCAACCAAACGTATAAAAATTTCGTTGCGCGTCGGTACCCTAGTAAGGAAAGGGATAAAGAATAGCTAATATCCGTCCCTGGGTTACCGGACACCCCCTGTGACCGGACAAACCATCGGTACTTTGACTTTCAGTAACTAGAAAACACATGCGCACAACGAATATTGCTATAATTCTATAAAATTAGCCTGCTATAACTAATGCTGAATGCCCATGATCCACCCTTCCCCAAAAATTACGTTTGCATCGTCGCCTCCGAGCCTGATTTGCACAGCGCCTTCTTTCGTGACATAACACGCTTCCTTCCCTATAGCGCCAACCTCAAGCCTTTTTTGCTCTGATTTTTTGTAGAATAGCTTTGCCCTAGCCTCGAAACCTCCCTCTGATACTAAGACGTTATCATCAGCCCTATGCGCACTGCGGGGCGTGATTTGATGCAGCGTCGCCCCGCCGATTAGTACTTCCAACGGAAGCGAACCACCAATCCATGCTAATGCGAAATGATCCCGCACGTCTTACGTCATGCACCGGCGAGTGTTTCATTGCAAGATATGTGGCCGTGCGGGTTGGACCAGTGTTCGGATTATCGCTAAATCCGACTTAGGATTGGGCGCAGTGATAAGGCAAAGGCCCGGTTCCTTGTTTAGTCAGCCAACGCGTTTCCAGCGGCGAAACCAGCTTCGACACAGCGATCCCACACACCTTGAGATGCAGTCCAACGCACAGCGAGTCCTAAATCGCGATGTTTGGCTGCTGTTATCGACTAAATGAGATTATTTTATCAGCATCTTGATTCGTCATGATCATGCAGTGGTTGAATTATTGCACCCTACCTGCCTCGTTGATCAACTCTTACCCATTGATTTGAGCTATTCACACAGCTATCATTTCATCCAAACGCAAACGCAGATGATACTTGGGAGTTATCATTCTGGTATGACGGCATCAGGGCGTTCGCTTAGACTCGGGAGTGGCAGGTATTCTGGTTTCCTCGGAGTATATGTTCGCTTAGTTCGACTTAGGCAGCATGCAAGGTTCCTATGCGTGGTGTCTTAGAGTTCCTGATTATAGGTATAGCTGTGTCCCACCTCCATGGAGAGTACCACACAAGACGATGGTGGTAGAGGCATGCTGAGGCTGCTTTGGACGCCATCGCCGTGAGTAGCGAGGCAGTGCTGGAGACGTTTCTCGAGAGAGAGGCTGGTCATTGCTTCCATGAGGTCTTGACATGATGTCACACCTGTCATGAGTAGGTAGACTACAATTGTTTAACTATGAAAGCTGCAATATGTGACTTGCTTGCCTCTGTGAGTCAAGGTCTGATCGCCTCTCCACGCATTACGCATTTCAGAGTCTTGGATTTCATTGTCATAACTTCATGATTCAGTCAACCAGTCCGAAAGCCGTTCCGCAAATCGTATGCTCTCTGCGTAAAGGAATATCCCAGGATTTTGGAGATATTGGAGAGATGATCGGCACCACTTTTTCTTTGCTAGGTTTACATTGCCAAAACCTATGCCTTGAACAATATATTCACCAAGTCAACACTAGGTCTTCGATTCGGAAGAACAATAGGCATACGTGATTACAATGTGACAGCACGATATATGCGAGTCAACGCACTCAGGACACTCTATTACCAACGCTTTTCGTACTCTCGTTATTCTGCTCTCATACACTGATCCTAAATTCCCATCACCACAACCACCACTCACACTATTCCCTACACGATCAGCACATACCCTCCTCCTCAAAATGCCACCACCAACCCCACAGCCCTCCACCTTCTCAAAACCAACACGCGCTCCCCCTAGGACCTCAGCCTCGCCTGCAGCCACCTCCTAACCCCGTTCCCATCCCTCCTAGCAACCCACCTCCGCTACTCCGCCAACTACACAGTACCCCTTCCCACCTCCCCGTCCCTACCACACCATCCGTATTCGCAAAAACAATCGACACCCACCTCCACTGCATCCGCTACAACCACGGCATCGCAAACGCCTTTCCCAAACCCGCGACTGACCCCGTCACCGAACGGACCAACCGCAAGCGCGAGAAGCGCTACCAGAGGTACAGGAAGAAGTACATCGGTATGCTTGAGAGCGCTGCTGTGTGCTATCGTGCTGCATTTTAGTGACGTGCTTAGGGGATATAGTGTCTGTTCGAATCGGCAGTTCAACGAGGACGTGCATAATGAGTCGAATGCGTTTAGTTGGCGGTTGTATCCCTGCGTTAATGTGCCGCTGGAGGTTGGGCATGGGGATTGGGATGCTTCGTTGAAGACGAGGTGTGATGAGTTCGGGATGGTTCATTCGAGGCGGGGGTATTGTGCGATTGAGGACTAGACAGGTCATAGAGGTGTATGCAACACACATTCCCCGGAGACGGAAACCTAAGCACTTGGTCTTCTTGACCGGAACAAAGTCTAGGTTCGTTCAGTTCCATCACAAGGACCGGCGCATTCCGCAGTCATTCTTGGTAGAGTAGCATCACAGCAACCCTGACAATGTTGTACAATAGCCATGCAGTTTATTACTATTCAAACTAAATCGAGGAAGAAGAAAAAAAAGGAAGATATGCAATGTAGAGAGGTAAGATGCTAGATGTCCAAATGCAGGAACCTGTGCACGTATGAGAGCCAATGTCTCACGTACGGGATAAAAGCCAGAAAGAGAACGGTGTTCAGAGAAGAAGTGCCAGTGAAAGGAAGAAATGAGAATCGAGAAGCAAGTAAGATTGGTCGCTTAATAAATCAGGAGAAGCACTCGGAGTCCCAAGATAAAAGAGAGAAATAGGGGGACCTTCAACTGCGGACAAAATTCCTTCTGTGGAATAACTTCGTGCGTGGCTTCTTCGTGTCCAGGTCCTGCTTTATATTAGGCATTGAAGCGATTGTTGCTTTCCGTTTCCCAGACTCGTCGAAAACAGACTTGATGTCGGGTTCCCGCACTGCAGTGGCATTGCTGTTCGCAGTATACTCGTTCCTGACGCTTTCCGGAAGCATTTGCTGGAGTTTGCCAACCATGTCTTCTAGCTGGGGGAGCAGCTCTCCCAGGCGATGACGAATCTCAGACCCTATTGGAGTAATCTCGTACTCGACGGGAGCTAGTTCACTGAGCATCTTACTGTATTCCTCCAAGTCTTTGTCGATGCGTTCGATGTATCTGCTTAGAATGTCCGAGATGAGAGTGTTGACATAGTGTTCAAAGCCTTTCAGCACTCTGTCCACAAAGTGCTTCTTGGGGTCAAGAAATAAAGCGTGAATTTTCTTCCTCTGGAATCCGATCCTAGGCTCCGCATATTTGGGACGATTCCTTGTTGTCCAACCCGTGATTTGCGGGAAGGCTTTGAAAACTTGGTCGAACAAAGGCTCAGTGACCGAGGACATAAAGTTGGTCTGTCTTCCGTCTTCCATCGTCGCCCTCCGCCTGATGTACTCCAATTTCGTCTTGATTTCTTTCACGCAGCTCAGCGCCTTGACTCGAATAGACAGTTCATATGGCTTGTATTGTCTCTTAGCCTCTTCGGTTGTTGATACACCGCAAGTTGGCTTTTCCATTTTCTCTCTGAGTTTCTGATGCACGAACTCAATCGCCTTGATAAGAAGATCGCCAGAAGACTGAAGGGCTTGCGATTGGGTCGCATACCACTTTTTGAAGCCCGGCGCAAAACACGTGCGAGGTCTTCATTCCAATTGCAACCTTTCTCCAGACCCTTGGCCTTGGAGACGCCTGGAGGAATGGTGCCACTGCTTTTCAGGATTCTGTTGAGAGTTGGTCCTTTGAGTATAAGCCATGAGCCGATCACTTTGTCAACCTTGTTTATATAATGCCGGGACTCTGCATGCATCTTGACCATGCTTTTGGCGGTTTGCTTCTGGAATTCTTCCTTAATGTAATCCAGCAGCTGCGGGACCAGAACCGCACGGAGCCTGCCGAAGTCATTTGCAATGTCTCGATAACCAGTATTCCGCTCGGAGGAATTGACCACCCGCTTGATCTTGCTAACGATGTTAGGTACTTCGTGGAAGAGGTGTGCAGTGTAGTCCTGTAGATTTCTGTCGGCCGGCAAGGAGAACAGGTATTGCCTCAGTGATGGAATCCCAGTTTCCACCGGCGAAAGCGCCGGCTGATCCATAAACATAAGTTTGTCACTCTTCAGCCAGGTCATATAGTCCGCCGCTGAGACGTGAAACGTCTGAAGAACCTCGCCCGGGTTACGCCCGTTGAGCTTTAGGGCGAGTTCCTTGGATACATGTGAAGCCCGTTCAGCGATTTTTCGTTGCTTGCGCTTGCGCTCAAGATATGTTTTGTACTTGCTAAACACATCGCTCTGTAAAGTGTCTCCATTCTCTTCCGCTTCGTTCCACTTTGCTTAGGCCTCGCGGATGGACTTTTAATTTCATCATAGCCAGGTCCTGAACACTGAGCAAGCTGGTTCTCGGATATGGCCTGGGGTTGTTAGAGCTATGGGCCGGAAGATCAAATTCAATCTAGAAACTCACGTCAATTTTCGTTGCCACCAACTTCACATTATCAATGCCGTGGTTGGTGATCGCAGCACGAACACTGCTAATGACCATGTCGTCAGAGGAAATCCGGATAGTATCAGCAACTATGATCTCCACGTCCACCATATCCTTAACTTCGTCTGCAAAGCGAGCACGGGCGGTGTTTGTGTCTCCCCAACCTGTCGTAGTCAGTAACATGCTTATTCCGTATTGTTGGAAAACATTACCAGGCAAGTCCCAGATTTCAATATTTTGTTCGAGGAGGGGGTCCGAGAACTGGATTGTGACACAGCTCACCAAAGGCCACAAAGACAACTGGCCCTCTACCTTGGTCATAAATGGTTTTACTTCTTGCAGGAGCTCTTGTGGGCTGTTCCCTGCGAATATCGCAACCCGCCGGGTTTCAACCATGTCTACTTGCAGCGATTTGAGTGCTGCCGCGCATCTCAGCTGACAAAAGGTCAAAAATTCGCCGGTCCGGTAGTTATCCACGTTCCAGACTTGCTGAAAGTTCTCTTTTCCCTCGAAAATTGTATAGAAGAGCTCTTCCGCTGTGTCTGCTGCACGTCGGTCAAAATGGTCTTGTGCTTGCAAACCGGAGTTTGACGTCTCGTCCTCATCCAACTCTTCGTCCGGATGGTGTACATGGAAAAACGCGCGGGCATAGCCTGCCAGCATATTGTCTAGCTCTCCAGCCTTCAGAAATGCGACTTCCGCGGTGTATTTCTTCATGGCACTAGAGGAGTCTCGACCATCCAGTTTGTACCGCAAAATGGTACTAATGCAAGCCTGTCCATCCGCCCCAGTCAGTGACAGACCATCACGCTCGAATGTGGCGTTTATGAGCAGGCTTTTACCAGCACCTTGTGGTCCTACGAGCGCAATTCTGATAGGATCGCGGCGCTTTATTTGTCGTAGAGCTTCGACTTCATCACGAATGTGCTTTAACTCTTCATCTTCCTCAGGAATCTCATCGAACGAGCTGCAGAGGACGGCTTGCATTTTCTTTTGACCGTCGTCGATATCGTGGACGCGTACCAGCCAGTAAGGATGTGGGATCCTGACCTCCTTCGAAGAGTCATAACGAGGCGCTGACCGGTTCTCTTTTAAGTATACGGCGAAAGATTCTGAGTCAAAGACATCTGACGCAGACATAGCTGGAATATGTCTCAAGTCCGTCAATCTCGTTCGAGTACGGTTAGCCATGCGAACTTGAAGTAAGCAAGGGATGTCTTTACTTATAGGAGATAGAAGTGGGGTTTTAGTAAGAGGCAAGGCTATATTCAGAAGGCGGAGATTCTTTAATGTGGAACCGGGAATGGTGGGGGCGATAGATTCAGAGAGTAAATTCCGAAGGAGGGCTACTTGAAGCGGTCGAAATCCGTGCAGGACGGTCCCAGAATGAAGGTGCAATGAGAAATGTTAGGTAAAGAAGGCTTAGGCAGTGTGCTGTGAGCGGATGTAAGAGGAGGGTTCAAGAGATGGTAGCAGAGAAGCACGAGTAGTGGACGAAAGTAAACTTTAGACGAGCCAACGGAGGATGGAGATGAAAGGAAGAAAAGAGAGGTGCGAGATGAGGATAGATATAAGTACTCCAAGCTGGGTGCGGCGGTGAGCAAGATTGAGGATTCAGCGGTGTAGATTCGTGAGAGTTCAAAGTTGACCCGAGTTGAGACAGTACACCTCTCACCCTCACTTTGAAGGTAGGAGGGCAAACTCAAAGAAATGCCACCTACTTAGACACACCTCAATCAACAACCGCATGCTCATAGCCAGGACACGGTACCGCGTAGACAAGTCCTCTCCCCGCGTGATGCAGTAGGGCTGAAGGACAGCAATGCTATCAGTATTCCTCAAACGAAGCCGACAAAGAGGAGGACGCTGGGCCGGATTCGCGGACCACTGATACATCTAGCAGAGCTCTACCGATAAGCACTCTGAGTTGTACTTTGTCCGAATGTACATATCTTACCATGCATTCACCCTTTCAGCGAATAGAACCACGACGCGATAACTCACATTCTTCGCGCCTCTCAGGTCTTCTGTCCATATGATCGAGGAACATGACGGACGCATCCTACCTGCATATCAGAAATAAACCGGAACCCGTCGTTGCACGATGTAGATGTAGATATGCGATGACGGCGCGTCATCGTCAGTTTAGGTCCCGCTACACGTAGGAATCGAAGCACGCGTCGCTCATACAGCAGCAACCAGGAACACAGTTGCAAAAGACAATGCAATTTCGATGTACGATGTGATGGAACACAGAAGAGACTGCGAGGTTGGCGGATGTATGAGGAAGGGTTGTTGCTCCTGTAGGCTTCGCTCCGATGTTTGGCCGTGATTAGATATTGCGGAAAGAAGGACGGACGACAGGCAGCTCCTTCCAAGATTCCTTTGGACTGCCTAGCTATCAATCGATTTGCCGTGTCCATGACTTTATGTTATTACTCTATGTGTCTGCATGGTTCCTTGCTCATCCGTCCAATGCATGCCATGATCATGCCGTCTCCTCTATTGCACAAGGAGAGGCCATCACCATTGAAGTCGGGAAGAACTTCAATTTTTCAAACAAACATGCATGTCACAAGCACAACACCGAGCCTGGTTGTTTCTTCAAGAGTCCGAGAGCATCGGCCTCCCTATTTTTCAATTGGTATTACTTGTTTCTCTATCCTTCATACACTCGGTCTCCAACCCCCCTCGTCGCCATCAATTCTCAACCCTAACGACAACCCATCACCTACAAGACCATCAAACCCGCAGCAGCACCAACAAGCGCCATCACGCCCATCTGGACACCGACGACACTTCCAGCACCAGTTCCCTCCACAATCGAAGTGCTAGGCTCCGCCGGCTTGTAGCTAGCCGTACCATTGGCAGCAGGATAGCCACTACCCGTAGCAGTGATGAGAGTAACCGGCTTCGTGATGGTAGGCAGGTAGGCCGGCGCGGAGGTCACGGCGGGATACTCGCTGCTCTGGCCCGCAGTCGGCGCACTGCTCTCAGCAGGGTAACCGTTTCCATATCCGGCACCGGGCTTCTGGCTTTCCTCACCGTACGCGGGAGTTTGCTCGGGCGTCTCGACTTCCACGGGCGTAGACTTGGGCGTCGCAATCTGGCCGTCGGGGCCCCAGCCGGGCATGTAGCTGGGCTTGTAGGTCTCGGTGCCCTTGTATGCCGCGCATCCGGGAACGTTGGTCTTGGGAGGAGCGCGACCGCCGCCGCAGTCAAGGAACTCGCAGATTTCGCCGGTGCCGGGGACCCACCAGATCATGGATGCTTCGCCCCATTGGTTGGTGGTGGCGGAGGACGTGCAGCCGCCAATGTCGGTTTTGGCGGCAGAAAGGGCGGCGAGGGCCAGAGTGATGAAGGTGGTGGTGGTATGCATTTTGAAGTTTGTGGTGGTGATTAGGTGTTTAAGTGGTTGGTAGAGGATTAAGGATAGATATGTATCTTCTTCTTTCTTTTTTCGATTAAAGAGAGTGGCAGCAGTCAAAAAATGACAGCAATATCAACAGCGAACAAGCGAATGAACGGATGACCGAAGGTGGAGAAGAGAAAGAAGGAAAGGAAAAGACGAAAGGGGGTCAGAAGACATTTTTATAACCGACCAGCATCCTGTGGCAAGAATGAGAAAGGGACCCGGCTCCATGATCCTTCGGTTGGTCTCATGCTCCTTGCCTAAGTTGCATTGCATCCTAGCAAGGTTGCCATCTAGCGCGACAGACTCCTCCATGGACCTATCGGCGAAGCCGTCTGGTTGGCTGATGCGTAAGACAGGAGATTTCAGGGGTAAAGTAATTCTCGCGGTCGTTCTCCAGGATCTTTCAAGACGAACAAACAAAGCAAAATCCGACTGAAGGACCAACGTGAGCACCAGAACACCTGCTCGATGAAGTGCTGTTGGAAGAAGAAAAACCCGAGGTTGATCAGCGGAGGCTGCGGAGCTGGAACCTGGAGATTGCGAGATTGGCAGTGAGGCTCTTGCAGGGGAGCGAATTTAGCATTGGCGCCGTTGGAAAAGCTCAAAGCTTAATTCGATTCATGTCAGACTATTTTTGGCACGTCCCTATTCGAAATCCCATAGAACTATTCGCTCTCGGCAAGATGCATGGTATTCATCAACCCCACTGCGGATGAAAATTCAACGGTGTGAAGAGTGAAGAGGTCTTCGTGGATAGATATTTCACCACTCGCTAATTGAACGAAACACTCCATGTGCTTGCATCAGTGATATGGACAGCTAGACCACACCTGCAGCCCAAGATTGAACAGCACCAGATCTAACGCGTTGACATGCCCACTTCGCATTCACAGGGATCGCAATGTTTACAATGTGTCGCGCCGAGTGATGGCTCGCATGTCGTTGTTGACTTCCCGGATATAGAAAAACAGACAGTGGATGATCGCGCCGCATTGCTCTCAAGGTCAGCACTTGTGAGGACAACCCGGAGACGCAGCAGGAGCGCTCAGTTACTATCATGACCTCGCTTCCTCAAGTTCCAGCTCCAACTGCCTGATGCGCTCATCCTTCTCTCGGCTTGAGCTACCACTGCTTTCGAGTTTCGATTCCAGGGTTGTGACTTTCCGCATAAGCAGTGCGATCTGGTCCGATTGATCCGCTAACACCTTGTTCTGTTGCTCCAGTGTAGACCTGATGTCATGAAGGAATTCCTTAATCCCGCCGGTAACGGAAGCGGCTGTGGTGGGAGCAGGCTGCGAAGCCGGTGCGGCCGGCTCAGCGGACACAGCAACGGAGGGTACAGCACTCGGGGTAGCGGCAGGTTTCGCTGGCTCAGGACTTTTCACTGCCGTCGGACTACGCGGCTTCTCTTCTGCTTTGACAGCGGCTACGGATGGACGCTCAACAGGTTTGGGAATGTTTTCGAAGCTGGAGGCGTCGTCATCGGACGATTCCTCCTCGTCAGCGAACTTTGAGGCTTGACTAGCAAGAGATGCCTTGTTATCATTGACAGATGGAGAAGGCCCTTGAGCCTTCACTGGAGGAGCAGTGGCTGCAGGAGCAGGCTTGGGCGCCTCGGCCTGGGTAGGTGGTGCGCTCTGAATGGGCGCAGAGGTCGTTGGGGGCTTATAATCCGATGGAACCTCTTCAGGCGCGCCACCCTCGTATATACTCTCCAGCGAAATCTTTGGCGGCAGCGCAGTCTTGCCACCAAACCACTCGGACGCTGTGGTGCCTGGCTTGAGACCGGTAGTGGGAGGATAGATGTCACTCTGAAACATCTCGGACCTCCGAGGGACAATGAAAGAGATGGGTTCGATGTATGAGTCGTTGACAGTCTTGAAGCAGCGCAGAACTTCGTTCTCGTGCAAGTTGATGCCCCGTTTTGGCAAGAACGCTATACCCCTCTGTGGATCGGACGATTTGTATTCAGAGAGGTACTCGAACTTGTCATGCTCATATTCATAGTACCGGATGTTGCCATCACTGTGGAAGTCAGCAAAGCTGTGAGGCCTTAAACGCAGAGCAGTCTTACCCCTTGCCAGCAAGGTACAGGCACTGTGTGCCATCATCCCAGAAGGGCATACAGACACCAGAGATGCTATCGAGGATCTGGAAGCCACCAATAGGCTCTTGGGGTGCGCGAGCATCCCACAGCCCCAGCTGACGGTCGCTCATACGGGAGAATCCAGTCGTCGCAATACGATCATGTTCGCCCATCCACACAGCTCGGCTGTTCTTTGCACCTGGATGACCTGGAACCTCTTGAGCGGGCTTTTCCTGCCTGACATCCCAGATTCTCAGTTTCTTGTCACGGCTGGTTGTGACTAGGAATGCCCCATCAGCGCTCCAGGATAGCGACTGGACAATGTCGTTGTGCTTGAGATTCAATTTCGCCACACCACCCTCGACGTCCCATATCTTCACGGTGTAGTCGCCAGAGGCGCTGGCAAGTACGTTCTCGGCGGCTGGGTTGAAGAGGACGTGGCCAACCTTTCTGTTACAATGGTCAGTGGCCAGTGTGACATTGTGGTTAGGGAGACGAACCGCATATGACCGCTCAGGCGGGCAACAGGCGCAACGTCGGCCGGCTCCTCTGCATCCGTATGGAGAGTAAATCCCTCTGGTACTTTCCATATGAAGACCTGCACTTCTTGAGTATGTATCCCCTGTGTGATCGAGGAACACGGCGCACCTTTCCATCATCGGACGCGGAGGCAATCAGCGAGTCGTTGAAAGGGCTCCTACATGTAACTGTCATTGCCTGGTCCCACACAGGAGCACTCGGGAAATTTCCCTTACCAGTCCGTGTCCAATACCGCAGCCGTGTGTCCGCGAAACAGGGGAATCTGCTCGGGTAGGCGGCCCTTCTCATTGATGGGAATGACAGCAAAAGCGCCTCCACCACTAGCCTCCCAGTTGACGGAGATGTATTCGGGGTTCGCCTAGGCCGAGAGTCAATCTCGGAGCTTCTCTATGCCATGGCGGAGGCTTACCTTAATCAAATTGGTATCCCAGGCGTTCTTCGAAATGCGAAGGTTATCGTAGCATTGTTCCTGCAGCCATATCAGAATCAAGTCACTGAAAAGCTCAAGGCTACGCAACCGTACCTTCTTCGTCCCGCGACCGAAGACGTGTCCTGTATTGGTATATTCAGTCAGGAGTTGAGGCAAGGCGCATGAGCTACCTACGGTATTTGGACGCCCTCACAAAGCGGCCAGCCATGATTCTGCGTTGGGCGATTCGTTCCTGTAATTCTATTCACAATGAAAGATGTGATATATGCACCTGAGGCCGAGGCACCGAGAGATTGGAATTCGTGGTAGGAAGTATATCAGCGAGTTCAAGGCGCATTGAGCGCGCTTGGCGTGGACCCTTGCTATGTTTACCATTTGCAGTTAGCTTATAATTTCTCCCCGCCATGCACAATAGAATAAGCAGCATGGAATCATAAAAGCTAGTTGAGGAAATGTAGAATTATATTTCTTTAGAACCGTGCCTTATCCAGACACTTACTAGTTACATACTTGAAATGCAGGGGGTATCATAGACTACTGTATTTTAGGCGCTTGAGGAGATCGGACTGCTCAAAGGCCTGCGATCTTCTCTCTGGATGGTCCAGTCTCCAACATCCATTTCCACTGGCGAACGCGATGCACCTGCATCCGAAGTCACCATCTCCTCATCATCTTCATCTTCATCAGGCAGCAGCTTTTCCCTAGGTTCCAATAGGTCCATATCCTCCAGTTCCTGTCGGGGCTTCAGCCTCCAAAGGGTCGTGCCGCAGACGTGGTTCTTAGTCAAGAGATCGTCAACGAATTCGTCGACGTAAGTCAGGGTGAAGCCATCCTTCGTCCTCTTCCTGATTTTGCGGAAATCCTTGAGTAGCGGCTCCAGATGTTGATATATCTCCACAGGTTTCCAGGTCAGACGTATGTAGAAAGCGGCCAGACAACGCAGATACTTGAACTCAATAGGCTTTTCTTTAGTGACTTCATTAGCTTTGCCATCATTATCATTAGAGACTTCCTCAGTCTTGCCATTCTTGTCTTTCAAATCTTCCTTAAAGTTCAGATACTCAAGTATAATGTCTTTCTCCGGCGCCAATTCGAGCAGCCTGAACGCTAGGCAAAGGAACGGGGTCGGTTTCCCTGTTATGCCATATGTTCCACCGATGTATGTAAGGTTTGCGGCCTGGTCGCATAACGTTGCGGCATTCAGGCGAGAACAGCACTCCATCCAATATATTGAGGTGGTGATGCGATCCCGTACTGGCTTGTCGAAAAGCGTGGTCGGCGCTACCCCTTGGATGGAGCGGCCACGATGGCCTAGGGGTTTGAGGGACATGTTTCGGCTAGGATTCTGGTCCTCTTCGCTGCTCGGCATGATGGTGTGTGGATTTTCGAGGTGGTGACTGAGGGCTTTGACTTCCTGTGATAGTGCGACCGCGCATACGGCGGGAGTCGTTGCAGTTGTGAGGCGATGAGGTTGGAGGCTGAGACGGAAGTAGGTGGTGGAGCTGCCTGATCTCGGAAACCCGCCAAGACAATTGAGGTAGTCACGTGATGTTGCCTAGCCAACCGATATACATACGCCCACAACATAACGTCACACAACCTCATCCGCATCTCTGCACCAGCGACATCCAGTCCGAGTCTTCATGGACCGCATTCCCAACTGTGCTACCCACATTCGCGATTTGTTTGCTTGTTAAGCGATGGGGAAGTTGTTACTCACGTCCGGGCAAGTGTCCATATTGCTTTCTTCATGTATCAGTAGGTAATCGCAATCCGCGTACTACAGTGGCGCCCTTATTTACAGGAATGGGTCTGACTAGCCTTCAGTATTCGTATTCACAGTTGTTCTTTTCCTTTCTGGTTATGTCATGCAGCAAAGAACGGTATCTAGTCTGCAAGCAGCCATAAGACCTAATAAACCGAAACCGTTGCCCATTCCGAAGCCAGTAGAACCTCCCACACTGGATGTGAAGTGGGCGAGACCTCTGGGGGCACGACCAGCGGTGGATGAGTCCGTGGAACAGATGATTGCAGCACAGACTCTCGACTGGAGCCGGCTAGGCTATGTGCAGCTTGTCAGAGAGCATGGGGAGCTATGTAGTGCGGTCATGTTGCTCGCAGACCTGCATGGTCTGAAGAGCCCCGCAAAGAGACTGCTTCTGTTCCCCAGGGCATGGTTGAAGAAGAATGACGATGATGCCTATGACCCTGATATGACAACGACGAGAAGACTGCTGCGAACCGCAGCAAGGCGGTATGGTGTCTCCTTGATTCCCATGGAGACCATCGTGGATGGCGCAGATGGTGAGACCCACCCACGGACATACAAGTCTCCCTTGCATAGGACGGAACCAACAGCTGACCCTTCTAGACTCGTTGCCTTCTTCATACTCGCTCGCTAGTCTTTATGCCTTGACAGACTATGAGCGTCTCATATATCTTCGAGCGCCGGGTACGCTGTTGGACGCATCAGCTCTGGACTCTTTACTCGCCTTCTCCAAATCTGAGCCGTTAGCGGCATATCCAGCGACACCAGAGCGCAAAGCTCTTTCGACTTCGTTGCTGCTCATCCACCCGTCTCAAGACGTATACCGCCAGCTGAAAGAGTTGCGTGTCGCCCAGCCCCTGACCGATCTCAGCCTATTCCGGAGGTCATTTCCCGTACCGGACGCGCTCATGTCGGAGTGGTCAGTGTCCATGGGCAACCTGGTGTATGAGTCGCAGAAGTTGCGCGAGGCAGTTGACGACTTCAATGCGACGAAATTCGAGGAGACGACGACTTTCGTGCGGCTCTCGGATCCCGAATTGCCAGGGCCAGAGTTCGATGTCCCGTACTATCAACGAGTCGAGCTCCGGCCGGAGAATGAGGATGCGCGAAGGATGTGGGACGGCCTCTACGAGCGGTTTCGGCAGCGGCGCATGGAGGTGTGTGGGCTCGATCTAGAATACTGGAGGAAGCCCGTGCTCGAAGCTTGATGTAATAGAGCTAAGCCAGCGGCAATCATGCATGCTGTGTATGAGGAACGATGAATGTAGATATTTGAATTCCCCAGCGCCATGTGCCATGCGTCGCTGGTCCGGCACGCAACGACGGAAACACGCGCAAGTAGGAATTCTGAGCTCTCCTGGGCCGTACCAACAACGCCAAGTTCTTTGATGTCAGAACCGTCTGCGAATGATGAGCGAGGAACGATAACAAGTAGATCTATGATCTATGACGGGGGCCGACGGGCCTCTAATCCTCGCACCCTTGCAGCCCACCAAGTCCCCGCCGAGCAGCCTCAACGCAACTCTCCAGCCCCCCAACCCCCAATCTCTCTCACGCTTCACCTTGCATCTACACTCCTCCACCGCTGCAACTCCACGCACCGCATTACCAGTTGCCAGTCCTTTGGCCACGCGCGCCGCTCCTTTCGTCCCAATTGCCTCTCCTCAGCCGCCGCCCCGCCTCTGACGCCATTGTTCCAACTGCGTCGTGAACGCTTTCACGCCCGCTGAACGGCGCCCGTTGCGGCACGTCGAGCCTCCCGCAAGGGCTGGACAACCTCTTTTTCTCGCTGCCGCTCGTATGCCGACTCTAGGATTCCTCAAGAAGAAGCGGACGAAGGACTCGACGGGCTCGCGCGACCTCGACTCTCCGTCGTCGCCCTCCAAAGAGACGTCGTTTCAGAACCCTCCGTCTGCGTCATCAAAGACGGGTGCTCCCTCCGGCACCAAGTCCTCTGGTGGCCCCCACCACTCTGCTCACGACTCTGTCACAACCTCCCAATTCACCCAGGCTTCGACAGCGTCCTCGAAGCCATCCGAGCCCATGAAGGCCCAGCAGGCGTACGCCACCCCTCAATCGTCCCCTGAGCCATATCAGCAAACGCAGCACAATGCCCCGAGCATACAGAATCTGATCCACCCTACCAACTCCAACCAGACGTACCAGAGTCAGCAAGGCCAACAGTTGACGACACCGGCAAGCAGCGTCCCAGCTAGCCAGGCAATGCAATATGGTCAACCGATTCCGGCCGCACAGCCGCAGGTTCGCGTCACAAAAGGGAAATACACGCTTGCGGATTTCACGATACAGCGCACGTTGGGAACAGGGAGCTTTGGGCGTGTCCATCTCGTCCAATCGAAACACAACCAACGTTTCTACGCCGTCAAGGTGCTCAAGAAGGCGCAGGTTGTGAAGATGAAACAGGTCGAGCATACGAATGACGAGCGGCGCATGTTGCAGCAGGTCAAACATCCTTTCCTGATCACTCTATGGGGAACATTTCAAGACGCCAAAAACTTGTACATGGTCATGGACTTTGTCGAGGGCGGTGAACTCTTCAGTCTGCTGCGAAAATCTCAGGTAAGACCCATGTTCCCAACACCACTCTATTTAGCCCAAACACCCGATGCTTACTATCACCAAGCGTTTTCCCAATCCGGTAGCGAAGTTCTATGCTGCCGAAGTGACCCTTGCGCTGGACTACTTGCACTCGATGAACATCATTTATCGCGACTTGAAGCCCGAGAATCTGTTATTAGACCGCCATGGCCACCTCAAGATTACAGACTTCGGATTCGCAAAAGAGGTGCCGGACATTACCTGGACACTCTGTGGCACTCCCGATTATCTGGCGCCCGAAGTTGTTGCATCAAAGGGTTATAACAAGTCTGTGGATTGGTTAGTTCTTTGTTCCCCTGGGGTGCTACTTCTTACCCCCGTCACTAACTTCTGCAGGTGGTCACTTGGCATCTTGATCTTTGAAATGCTGTGCGGTTACACTCCATTTTGGGACGCCGGCTCGCCTATGAATATTTACAGGAATATCGTCGAGGGTCGTGTGAAGTATCCCCCTTACATACACCCAGATGCGCAAGATCTACTGCAGAAACTCATCACTCCCGATCTGACGAAGCGACTTGGCAACCTTCACGGAGGTAGCAAGGACGTGATGAACCATCCTTGGTTTGCTGAAGTGACTTGGGAACGGTTGCAAAAGAAGGATATCGATGCACCTTATGTACCGCCCGTTCGAGCCGGCGTCGGCGACGCCAGCCAGTTCGACAAATATCCAGAGGAGACAGAGGCATACGGTCAGACTGGGGAGGATCCGTGAGTGTCCATTCTGTGTTGCAAACATATCGGGCTAACAATAGCACTAGCCATGGGTATCTTTTCCCTGATTTCTAGAGCGCCCTTGGTGTGGTTGCCTTTCATTGCTTTGACTTGGCGATTTGTTCCCCACAAGATTCGCTCACGGATCCGCCACTTCGATCTTTTTGCGCACCTTTTCGCCAAGTCCGAGCTGTTCTGCCATCAAAGAATTTCGACCACCTCAGTACCTCGGATCGTCGCTATATTTCAAGGATAAAACTTCCGCCTCGAATGTCCTGCGCGAATGTTTACATGTCGATGGGGCCGGGACATGACGCTTCTGATGCTGCTGGAAGTGAACTATGTGGTGGTTTGATGTGCAATGGAACAGCTGCAAAATATGAGCGTCGCTCTATATGATGCCGCCTAGAGGGGGCATATGATTTTGGCGTTGAATCTGTCAAAGAACTTGAAACGAAATCTTGAATATGCGCAAAAACAACAAGCATTGGCTTTAGAATTGTTGGATATTATCGACCTTGGTACGATGGACATGTCACGATGTAGTCGCGGAGGTGCTGGGTTGGATAAGACGAGCGCCTCGTAGCCGTTGGTTATACCTTAGAAAAGCATAATCTGCATCTGATTCAAAATAATGCAGTCTACTCATGTTTTACTTTGTTTTCTTCTCTTCATCACGGAGCTATGCTGTGCTACAATGATGATACGTGACGCGAGGCTTGGATCCTACCCTCCCTCCCATGAACTGCGGGACATCCTGCACATTGTGAGGAGCTTGAAACTCGACCCATGGTTGGGTACTTATCACTGCACCGCCAAGCAAGCATTAACGAATAACGTGTCCCATCCTTCGGGTTTGCCTCCTCGCGAACCTGGAGGCAGTCCGGGGTTGATGGCCTGTGAAATCGTGGGCAAGGCTGTGGCTATGCTGGGGCTAGTAGAGTGATGTGCGGTTCTACTTTAAAAGGATGGCTTTGCGCCGATGGGAGGCGATTGACGGACCTACAACATCTTGCTGCTAGACGAGAGTGCTCACAAGCAGTACACCTGAAATCTGAATAGGAGGAGAAGGATTGTGGTTGCTGTATCAAGGTGCCGCCGCATCAGAACCTTCAGAGATGACTGGATGTCACATGGTTGTAGATCGAACCTTGGAAGTCGCCCTGGCAGGGACGAGTGCACGAGCATAACCCAATTCACTTCAATCAGAGAATAGAGAGCTCACCAGCTCACCAAGCAGAAATTAACAACCGCCGAACAAGAGCAATAGAGGTCTCCCATCGATGACTATTGGAGCAATGACGCTAGCCACTTTCGGCAATGGACGGAAGGGGAGGAAGAAGCATAAGAGCGACAAACCGACGAACTCATACATGCAACACGAAAATCAGTCGATATCACCTCTTCCGGCCCATTCTTTACAACAGGAACAATCGTTCCCACAATATGGCTCCCGTCCGCCCTACCCTCCTCACCCATGTTACCCAACCTACATGTATTCCACGGAAGCAACACCATCAACACCATCCACGCTACCAGCCTCAAAGTCCCGGGCCAACCTCCGAGAAACTTTATCTGCCCAAGCAGGTAAAAGCGTCACCCGGCTGATTTCAAAGACCTCACAGTATCTCGATCCACACCAGAGCAGTTGCCAAACCGTGAACCAGGCCGCCGCGTTATGCGATCTGATCAGCTCGAAGCTGGACACAATCATTACCAGTATTGATGAAGAGCGTTTCAGCGGTAGAGAGAACGATCTCTTTATCTACGATATCCCTGAACCATACTCCTCGCAAGCTACGACTTCCCCCGAAACAACACGGAGATTCCTTTCACCAAACACGGCATATCCCAGTTCAGCCGGAAGAAAAGGCTCAAATCACTTCTCCAAAGTATGGCTATACGCCAACTCTCGTCTTCCCCCTCACCTTCCACCCTTCAAAGTGTAACTCCTCCCCTTGTCACTCTATATCCTGCACCTACTAACCGCTCCCAGCTACCTTCCCACTTGGCCCCTCCTCTGCCTGGCCGCCACCCACTCCCTCCGCGTCTACTCCACCCCAGCCACCCCGACACCTTCAGCATCCCCCCACCCCCTATCCCACGAAACCCACATCCCCAGCAACTGGCGCTCCGGCACCAAAGCCATAACCCTCACCTCCCTCCCCCTGGACTCCATGCACACCATCATCTTCTCCATCCGCGGCTCCGCCACCTTCATGGACTGGGCCGTAAACTCCAAATCCGCACCCACCAGCCCCCAAGGCTTCCTCGACGACGACGGAAACCTCTGCCACGAGGGCTTCCTGCACGTAGCCCGGAAAATGGTACCCCTAGCCGCCGAACGTCTGCGGACATTACTCCAAGAGAATCCATGCCGCAAAGAAGCGAGTCTCCTCATCACGGGCCACAGTGCCGGCGGCGCAGTCGCCGCGCTCCTCTACGCGCACATGCTGAGTCGGCACGTCCAGTCCGAACTTAGCTACTTAACGGGGTTCTTCAAAAGGGTGCACTGCGTGACGTTCGGCGCACCCCCGATTAGTCTCCTGCCGCTGCAGAAACCGGACGAGAAGAGGTATAGGAAGAGCATGTTTTTCAGCTTCGTGAATGAGGGGGATCCCGTGCCGAGGGCGGATAGAAGCGTGGTGGGCAGTTTGCTGAGGTTGTATGCTTCGCCTGCTCCGACGGCGGGGTCGGCGACTGTGGGGACTTTGTATACGCAGACGGTGGCGTCGTTGTCGAAGTTGAGTTTGTCGGGGGGAGGTTCGGATGCGACAAAGACGGCAGAGTCGAAGCACTTGACGCATTCGACGGCTGCCCCGCCGATCTGGGATATTCCGCCCACCACGCTCAGCGTGGCCGGCCGCATCGTCGTTCTCCGAGAGAGGCCTCGGCGCTCACAGCAGCACCATCGTCGTCTTCGAGGTTTCTTCCACTCGCAGTCTCAGTCTCAGTCTCAGTCTCAGTCTCAGTCTCAGTCCCAATCGCAAGAGCCGGTCTCTCTGCACGAGGATGAAGATATTGAAGCCGTGACGGTAGATGATCAGTTGCTGAGGACGGTCGTGTATGGGGATCCACTGAGGCATATGATGAGCTTGTATAAGAGGCGGATTGAGGTTCTGGCTACGAGGGCGGTTACGGTGGGAGGGTGATGGTGGTAGCAAGGGGAATGGTGGAAAGGAAAAACGAATGGTCTTAGGAGTCTAAATGGTGATTCTACCGCTCCGGTAGTATTGTGATTTGAATGATGTATGATGCTTTGGGCGATTATGAGTTTACGTTTCCAGAAGCAAGTTGATATAATATCACGGGGTTTGGAGCTGGCATGAGGCGCAGAGGAGTTGAAGGATAAAGGGATAGTACATATGTATTGCTATTGTACACTTTGCAGTCTGATATTCGCCATCTATACGCAGGGCTCATTTAGCCGTGCGTTCTCCATCTATCGCGAGTCCGGTGTTCGAAACAGATGCAGAGTGGAGTATAGTGCATAGTAGGAAGATCCAAAACAAAGAAAAGGGGCCGGTGTGATTGCGTGGAAAAGGTGCGTTTGATGGATTGGAGTTGGTGTATACCTACGACAAGGTGCTCTTGTTCTCTGTAGGCAGGTTCATGAGTAGAAGGACCGGTGCTGATTCGAAACCTGTAGGAGGAGAACCATCTCGCTCGGGTAGGTAGTGCTAGTGGAAAAATAATTGAGGTTTCGGTGGAAATTGCTGGCTGGAGGGGTGCTGGCGGCGAAAGTGGGAGGTGCGGTCTTTGTGGTGTAAGCAAATATGGGGATTTGCTCAGAACGCTACACGACTGTGTGGAAACTCAGTTTTTTGCAGCCACTACCAACGAGTGCCTTCCAACCATCCTCTCTCCCATAACGATTCGTTGGTGTGGTTCTTTCCCAGAGCCAGCACCGCCTTGCCACTGAAGTTGGCGAACGGTACTGGAACAAGCAGAAGGAATCGATAACCCTCCTTGCACCAGTGGGTATAGACGGGGAAGCCCGCACGAGCTCGGTCAATCCCGAGGGCATGAAGGAATGGATCCGCCACATCAATCCGGAATTCTCGTCTCATTGCGTTTCCGGGTGTCTTCATCATCCAGTCAACCGATCTATCCTCTGGCACTCGAAGGAAAGCGAAAGGCAAGGCCATGAAAAATTGGCCCGGAATGTGAGCTCGCAAGTGCTGGACTCTGGCGTTATCGTACATACAGCTCAGTGAAACTGCAGACTGGAAGATGAACTTGGCGACGTCGAATAACCGGTCTTGCTCGTCTCGGAGGGGAAAGCCTTTCAAGTCCGGGTAGCCATTGCTGAGATACCATGAGGTGAAGTCATCGAAATTCAGCTGATTCCTGGCCTCTTGTAACCTACGGTGCTTAAGATGCTTGATTACTGATACCAGGATGCCTGACTTCCATGGGTGAGCCAGAAGACCCATATCGCGGCCTTGGATGATAACTCGCGGTATTTGATCTTTCAGCAACAACGCTCTTCGCTTGACAAATACATCTGCTTCTGCCTTGACCGTCGATGAAGTTGCCAAGATCTGAATGGGAATCCCATGAGGAATCAGTATTATTTGGCTTTTAGTGGGTGGCGCGGAAGGAAACGTCTGTGAGGCGGTGGTAAATTTCCATGTAGTGATGGGTAATCTCTCGTACACCATCCACCGTAACTCCTTGGGGAGGTCCATGAAGCGGAAGGGCTTAGATGAAATTGCTGCTCTCCTTGAAGGCGTCGATGGGGTACCTGCGTCAGAGCCATTTTCTGTACTGCCCAATGAATGCCACCACTGGATTTGCTGGGACAGAGAGGACATAATTCTCAGGGTGAGCCGGATTCGACGAGACGGATCATGGAAGGAGGGGTTTGTGGGGCAGTGTGGATGATGAAGATGATTTTGAGTCTAAAAATTTATATACAAGTCGGGTTGTGGGTTTGGTGCAGAAGGGGCGGATTACTTTTTATACCGGATTGCGGACAAGTTCCGCACGTGACACACCGGGAGATTGCGCCCCGGCCATTTGCGCAGTCTCCTATGACGACGGTAATAAAAACACGGAGGCAAGAGAGATTTAGTTTATGACTCCGAGATAAGCCACGTGGGGATTGATTGGTGCCAGGGGCAGAGCTTGAAACAGGGGCCTGTTTACGTTTGCCGGTGAAAGACGACAGTGGACAAGAACGAGGAGCAACAACTTCAGGTTCCATCCCCCGTCTCTGAGCATTGTGGAGTAATACTGGCTAAACCGTTGCGTGATTCCGAGTAGGTCTGCCTATCTGCAGTTTTTAGTTGGTCTGCAGGTTGACTCCACCTTAGGGAGGTTGTAATGGGGCACTGCGATGAAAGGCTGCCTACAGAGATAAGGATTGTAGTCTTCTGGTTGAATCTTTTCGACAGTTATTTGAGACTCACCGTAGATAAGAAGAAAGGGCAGAAAAGGCACCCTTTCCTCACTGTCATTTAGTCTAAGCGCCGACGCTGGGTCACTTCGATGTTCTAAAATCTGAAAGTGGCAACGGTACCCAGAGAAGAGACCCGTAGCTAGACGCTAGCAAGGTCACTTACTACAATGGATACGTGGGTCCTAGTGTACCGACCTGTACGACAATGGCACTGGTCTGCTCGCCCTATGGACTTTACGATCTTGCCAACGTGTATGTAAGATATGGGGAAAGTCGGTATATATACTGTCCCACGTTTCATTCTAAACCTGTTAAATCCTATAATAAAGTAGTTGTGAGTTTGACAAGTTATGAAACGGTCAATAATTACTTCACGCAAACTTCCACAACCCGGTGAAAGCAATGTCTGAACGTGTCGCTAAGATGAGCGCCTCAGAGCAAAACAACCCACATAGAAGCACATGATAGGGCTTCTAATTTACTTCTATTTGTTATGATACTGTTACGGTTATGTTTGGTAATGTATAAACGCAGTGTTTTGCGGGTCACCTGTGTAGCTCGGGCCAGCGCTTCCATTGGGCGGTAGGCCTGATGCTTACCGCTACTACTCGACCACTATGTCAGCAGGCCTTGCTGGTATAATAGGGGTCAGCAACTCAACCTGCGACGTTTTAGATTTGCTTCTGACGGAGTTGAATTTATGCTTCAGGTGAGCATTCAAGAGCTAGCTTCGGCGGGGAAATCGGTGTGCGGTGGATATACATGTAACATCGACCGGAGAATGGTGTGCGATAACAACCTATGCGCCTTAAAAAACAGTATTACTGCAATTTTTAATTTCTTGTTCTCATTTGCAGGCACATGAAATGGCGGAGCAGACGGCTGATGGGATTCATGTGCTATGAAGGTCTGGATGTGATCATCGAAGCGGAGTACGTTTCCCCAATGATGGGCACATATTAATGTCCCAGATGTTTCCTGTGAACAGCGTCGGGCCATGTACGCGTATTCACGGAACTGTGCTACGCATACCCTTCCTCTAGTAAGCACTGGTGGTAACACGACATGTTAGTAATGCGAAAGGGGTAGGATGTTCCGATCATTGCGTACAGGACACCCTACCGCGGCAACGCTCTGAGAGATTAGGAGATTCCTCTTCTTGCTAAATATAAAGAGGAAATTGATAACTAGAAACATGACCGACGACTGGAGAACAGAAATGCAGAACTCACGTGAGGATACACCAACCCTCGCCGAGGTGTGGGGCCCAGTGAAGGATCCAATGTTCCGAGCCGACGCTAGACTAGCTCTCAACCCCTTGAGCTTGCCCCGCGATCTGCGTCAGCATCCGACCGCACCCATTGTTCCATCCGAACTGGCGAATCCGGAGAGGAGAGCAACGATTCGTAACAGCCGAATCGTGCGGTGCTTGGAACTCTTGTGACTATATCGGAACAGGGGGTTACAGTCCTCTTTAGGGGAATGGTCTGATATGCCCAATGGTGGAGACGGGACCAGCCGGCGTAAGGCGGAGAAGGCGGTAGTGGTTCCTGAGGGCTAGAGGCTAGAAGGATGGCGGGGTTGGGTTGTTCATAAGAGGAGTGGAGGGTCGCAGCGGAATGGTGTTTGATTTGAATCTCATCGTTTTCAGGCTGTAAGCTTGTCTCTTTTGACTTGTTTTCTTCCTGCTTCTCCACACGCTCATATCAATACATTGAGAGGCCAAATCATTGATTCAGTACAATGGCTGACGATATGGTCCCTGTGTTTAACATTCCAAAGGAATGCAAGGCAGGTGTTGTCGTGAATGAAGGACCAGATTTCCGTGTCGAGGTCCAGATGGTGCCTGTACCAGAGATCAGTATGCTCGTTTGTTCATTCACAGTTTCTCAACTCCAAGATCAAAGCTGATTGCTGGTACTACAGAGCCCAATGAAGTCCTTATCAAGCTCAACGCCACCGGTATCTGCCACTCAGACATTCACTTCATGGTGGGCGACTGGGCCGCGCCGAAGATGAGCGTCTTCGGAACGAAATGTGCGGGGCACGAGGGTGCTGGCGTCATAGTAAAAGTTGGAGATGCGGTCAAGACCTTAAAGCCCGGAATGAGGGCAGGGTTGAAGCCAGTCCAGGATACTTGGTAGGCTGTCCCTTGTGTGCCGTCTCGTATCCGAGGAACGGATGCTGACGTTTCATTAGCGGTCTCTGTGAGCTTTGCCGAACAGACAACGAGTGCTACTGCCCGAAGGCTGTCCTCACGGGTCTCATGATTGACGGCTCCTACAAGCAATACGTCGTCTCGCCCGAACGTTACACCACCATCATTCCTGACGGTGTCTCTGACTACATCGCCGGCCCGGTCATGTGCTCTGCTTCCACAGTCTACACTTCGATCAAAGAGTCCGGTCTCCAGGCAGGTGACTGGGCCGTCTTTCCGGGTGCCGGCGGTGGTGTCGGCATGCAGGGTGTCCAGCTTGCCAAAGCCATGGGTCTCCGTCCCGTTGCCATCGATACCGGGGCGGAGAAGAAAAAACTTTGTCTTGAGGTTGCCGGCGCAGAGGCGTTTATCGACTTCAAGGAAGTTTCAGATGTCGCTGCGGAAGTCGTCCGCATTTGCGACGGCATCGGTGCCCACGCCGTTTTCGTCACAGCTGTTCAATCCTACCCTACCTCCATCTCCCTCCTCGGCCGCCGCGTTGGTGGAAAAGTCATGTGCATCGGCCTTCCTCCTGCGGGGACTCTGCACATCGATGTTGATCCTAATCAATTGTGCGCCAGGAAGCAGGGAGTGCAGGGAACACTGGTATCGAACATGGCGGATGTCGATAAGACCCTCGACTTCGCGAAGAGAGGCCTTCTTAAGCCGATCTATACTGTGTATAAGCTGAGTCAGTTCAACGAGGCTGTTCAGAAACTAAGAAGGGGTGAGATAGCAGGACGGGCAGTTATCGATTTCAACCAGGAATAAGATAAGTGTGATGGAAGTAAGGTTCGGTTCTGCGCAATAAATGTGAGCACAAACAGAATATCATGTTCTAAATCAAACCACCATGTGACATGACGAGGTGAATGACTCTAACGTGACTAAGTGTGCACGGTCCAGGCGGACAAGTCCACGCCTCTGCAGCTCAACACCTCCGAGAGCATCCGCAACATTGGACATAACATCGGTCTTGATGTTCGCTTGAAGAATATGCGACGCCGGACCTTCACCAGTATATGCCGAGGTGATGTCAGTCTCGTCGTCCAGCCAGTCTGCGTATGGACAGGCAGAAGCGTCTACCAGCCGCTCAATCAACAATGGACATCATGTACAGGACGATGCCAGCGACGATGAGGAAGAACTCATGTCATCGGATCCGCTAGGGACTGGGTTTTCAGAACAGTAGGCATCTGCGATAGCGACATTAAAGGACCCAGATTGACCGAAACACCAGGATCTCCTTCAAGCGCAAACAAAAAGCGCCTGCTACCTCTGCATTCTCCCTTCCACGCTTCTTCTCCTCCCCGAACGGAAACTCAAGTAATCGTCAATCACCCCTCTCGCGGCCGCCACAAACACGATCGCAGCATTCCAACAGTAATCTCAGCGGAAACGATTCCTCCAACCTTATATTGAACTATCTCGACCAGCCCGGAGATGCAGCTGGTCAGGGTACAGATAGCAAGGACCCCACGGGCCTGGACTGGTATGTGGAGGGCCCTGGTCGCCGAGTTGGGTACGACGATCTCACAGCCATCGATTGGATCTTCGAATACGCAAAGGAGAGGCAAAGGCTGCGATATCTGTACTCAGGAGCATCCGGCATCTTAGGCTATGTCAAACAGCTCGCTGATGCGAGCCAGATGTGGTTTATCCTTGTTGCTACGGGCATACTGAGTGGTGCCGTCGCAGCCTTCATTGACGTTTCTAGCAACTGGTTAGGCGACTTGAAGTCTGGGTATTGCAGCAACGTCGACGGAGATGGAAAGTTCTATCTCAATAAGGGGTTCTGCTGCTGGGGTTATACTGAGTATGCCCAATGTCACGATTGGCATCCGTGGAGTACTGCCTTGGGAGTAGCATCGAAGGGTGGGTCCTGGATTATAGAGTATATCTTCTTCGTTGTGTTTTCCGTACGTCTGCTATCATGGGTTTTGCAGTTGGGCGATGGACTAACAGATCCAGATACTTTTCGCCGCATGCGCTAGCTTTCTGGTTCGTGAGTTCGCTCCACTTGCCAGGCATAGCGGTATTGCGGAAATCAAGACGGTTTTGGGTGGCTTCGTTATCCGGCGTTTTCTGGGTGGCTGGACGTTAATTGTAAAAACTTTAGGCTTGGTATAGCACATGATCCGAGAGTAGGTCGAAGTTTACTAACGAGGATAGTGTCTTGCTGTTGCATCCGGTCTCTGGCTAGGGAAAGAGGGGCCTTTGGTACATGTTGCATGCTGTTCCGCAAACCTTTTCATGAAGTTATTTCCCAATGTCAATAGTAACGAAGGTACGTGCGACACTCCATTGCTCCCTCGGCCTGGGAACGAGACTGACCGGACAAGCGAGGAAACGCGAAGTCTTCTCGGCCGCAGCAGCAGCAGGCATCTCAGTTGCCTTCGGTTCTCCAATTGGTGGAGTGCTCTTCAGTCTAGAGCAGCTGTCATACTATTTCCCTGACAAAACCATGTGGCAAAGCTTCGTCTGCGCCATGGTCGCTGCAGTCACTCTGCAAGCTTTCAACCCCTTCAGGAGCGGAAAGCTGGTCATGTACCAGGTCACGTATTCTAGGGGATGGCACGACTTCGAACTTGTACCATTCGCCTTCCTCGGTCTTCTCGGCGGCATGTACGGAGGCTTGCTCATCAAGTTGAACATGGAAGTCGCCCAATGGCGCAAAAATCGAAACTATCTCAAAGGGCCAGTGACAGAAGTGGTCATTGTGGCACTGGTCACGGCCCTTCTCAACTTTCCCATCAAGTTCATGAGAGCGCAAGCATCTGAGCTTGTATACTTCCTCTTCGCTGAGTGCGCCGACCTCAACGAAGACACGTTAGGTCTGTGCAAAGCGGGGAAAGCAAATACTGGGGTTGTGGCTTTGCTCCTGGTATCTGCTTTGCTTGGAATCATTCTGGCCAGCTTTACCTTTGGTCTGCTGATACCAGCCGGCATCATCTTGCCGTCTATGGCTATTGGTGGTCTTTACGGAAGGGCTGTCGGACTCACTGTACAGGTGCTCCAGGAGGCATGGCCGAAGGGTTTCATCTTTGGTTCATGCCAGCCGGATGTACAGTGCGTCACTCCGGGAACATATGCAATCATTGGAGCCGCATCCGCGCTCGGGGGAGCCACGAGGATGACGGTTTCCATCGTGGTCATCATGTTTGAGCTCACAGGAGCTCTTACATATGTTCTGCCCATCATGATCGCGGTCATGGTCAGTAAATGGGTTGGCGACGCCATATCTCCTCGTGGAATCTATGAGTCCTGGATCCATTTCAATGGCTATCCCTTCCTGGACAACCGAGACGACAATGGATCTTCCATCCCTGATTGCACCGCGGCCCAAGTCATGACCAGAATCGAAGATTTGGTCGTGATCACTGCAACCGGTCACACCATCCGAAGCCTCCGTGAGATGCTATCGCAGCAGCGCTTCCGCGGTTTCCCAGTTATCGACAACTCCAGGGACGCGCTTCTGCTAGGCTACATCTCACGCAACGAGCTGGCGTATGCGCTTTCCTCGTCCGTTTCGCCGCCTCGCAACCTCAGCGATGAAACAGAAGTATATTTTTCGCATCAACCACTTTCGGATCCCGCTACAAGCCTGGATCTGCGCCCTTGGATAGACCAGACGCCTATCACGCTGAATGCGACGGCAAGCTTTCAGCTCACAGTGAGCATGTTCCAGAAACTGGGTTTGCGGTATGTGCTTTTTGTGGACAGAGGGACGCTGAAGGGCTTGATGACGAAGAAGGACGTGTGGTTTGTGTTGAATGGAATGGACGATGGGGATGGGGAAGGTTTCCCGGGGACTGGAGTGAGGGAAAGGGTTGAGGATGCAGGGGGGGACGATAGAGGACTGCTCGTGTCGCCTACTGACGATGAGGACGGATATGAGGATCGGAATAGGTTGCAGTGATCCAATCTATGATTTCACATCATATGTCCCATATAGATTCGAGTTTGGGTCAAAATCCGGAAATCGCTAACGGTCACTACAATCACTCGGGCGAATTCCCGTGCATGGGGGTGGTTCGTATCGGCTGCGCCTTGGCCTGTTTCAGTAAGTCTCATTTGCATGACCGACTGCATCCCAGCAAGCTGATTGCGATTGTCAGATATCATTCCTATCCACGAGCCATGGCAAAATCCGCTTCGTATAGCTATACTCCCCTCCACAGCGATCGTCACATACGCCTCCTCCAAATCATCAGCAGCGGCGATCCAGTCCCAAGCAAATATCGAATCGTCCAAAGAGCGTTGTCGGACGGAGATGACGAGCTAGAATTCGAGGCCGTGTCTTATACCTGGGGTGACCCTTCACCGTTCGGGAGTCTAGTCCTCGAGGGCAACGAGGGGGGCTCTATTGGACTTACCAAGAACCTGACAGAGGCACTGCCTTTTCTGAGTGAGCGTTCGGAGACGAAGTTGCTTTGGATCGATCAGATATGCATCAACGTAAGATCTGAGCTGTGAACATGACATGACGCTGAGGGATAGATAGCAAAATGATGCGGCGGAGAAGGGGAAGCAAGTAGCTCTGATGACGGATATCTACAAGGCGGCTAGCAGAGTGATTGTTTGGTTAGGGCCGGAGGATGAGGATTGCCACGTTTGCAAGGAGTGGCTTGTTGCATTAGAGGTAAGATTTGTCTCGTCCAGACGCATATACAACAACACCCTAATTCGAAGTCCCTCTGACCCCTTCTCCAGTCCATGCTCAACAACCTCCCCAACTCCGAAATCCTAAACCGCAGCAGTACAACCTACAACCCGGACCGCCGCTGGGTCGTCCTCCGCCAAACCTTCAGCAGCCCGGACACCTCTCCGCACTTCGCCCCATCCATCCGCCGCTTCTTCACCCGTCCCTGGTTCACACGCGGCTGGATCGTGCAAGAATTCCTCCTCGCCCGGCGCGTCCTCTTCCTAACCGGCACCCTGACCCTCACACTCGCCGACCTCGAAGACCTGCACGCCATCCCTCCCCCCACCCCCACAGGACCCGACGACTACACCCATAGCTACGAGCACCTCATCAACCTGAAAAAACACCCCTTCACGGACCCGCAACCCCTCCGCTTCCTGCGCCTCATGTACCTCGCCGCCTCCGAGTTCAGGACCTCTCACCTCGGCGACTCGCTGTACGCGTTCCTGGGCATGATCCCCGAGGCGCGGTTCACGCCGGATTACTCGACGTCGCTGCGGTCGAATTTCACGCGCTTCGCGGCTGCGTTGGCGGCGCGGTTCGGGTCGTTGGATTTTCTGTCCATGTGGGGCGCGAATCTCGATTGCTTGGTCCCGATTACGCCGAAGGAGTTGCTGGGTTTCCCCTCGTGGGTGCCGTCTTTCTGGTGGGTGCCGCTCGGTGCGCCGTTCCGGTTGGCGGTGGGCGGGTGTAGGATGGTGAGGGGGGATGTGGGGTGGTGTGCTGCTGGTGGGTGGAAGCATGTGCATGTGCAAAACGAGGAGGTGGGAGGAGAAGAAGGTGCGGGGACGACGGGCCGGCTGCGTGTGCGAGGGAGGATTGTCGATTTCGTGGATGCGGTGGTTAGTAAGGTCCGGTTTCAAAGGTATTGGGATGTGGATGATGGGTATTTGGATGGTCTTGTGGATGGGATTAAAGAGGAGCTTGGGGGGTTGGAGGGTTGGACGAGGAGGGAGATGGTGGCGTTTTTGAATGTGGTGGCGTGGAATGGGGTGGTGCCCGAGGAGACGGTGGATGTGGTGCTGGGAGAGGGAAGGCAGGAGGTGAGGGAGTCTGTGCCGCAGGCGCAAGAGACGAAACATTCTCTGGGGCTGGCCTTGTCCATGGGGAGGGGGAGGAGGTTCATGCGGACGTCGAAGGGGAAGTTGGGGCTTGCGCCGGCTATTGGGACGAAAGCTAGGAATGGGGAAGTTAGGGGGTCGCCGATTGTGATTCTGCATGGGTGTAGCGTGCCAGTCATCTTGGAGAGGGTGGTTGACGGTGGAGAAGGAGAAGGGAGTGACGTGTGGAGGCTGGTTGGAGACTGTTATGTGGAGGGGATGATGCATGGGGAGGTGGTTGAGTGGGAAGAGGAGGCAGCGGACGAGTTTGTGCTTGTCTGAGAGGTGAAATATGGGTTTCCAGGAAATTCACGCATATTTCACTCTGCAGAACGTGCATATCATGAGGTTATGGAGTGTATGAACTGGCATACCGCATTGCCATGTGCCGCCACAATCCCGTGGCACAGTCATTTCCTATACATCATATATACCAAAGAGGAATTTCCTTTCGGGAGATCTTTCGATTGTACTGTGAACTTATTCGCAGATGAGATTCGAGAACCTTTTCCACATGACATATACTACTCCTACGGAAGAATGTGGTCGGGCTCAATTCACTGGGCCACGAACGATTGCGGGATAGATCCGTCACAGCACAAACACCAATGTTTCTCATAACAATACGATCGGCATTCACTCCTTACTATAAACCCCCAATATCCACGCGGCCCGCAGTATGGCCAACCCCCACGCCATCCCCAAACTATCCCTTATAACATTCAGCTTACTCCCCATGACCTCCTTCCACCCGATCGCCACCTCGATCATGGCGATGTTGGCCGCCTCGGCGAGCATCAGCATCTCGACGTCGAAGATCCAGCCCTCGGAATGCATGAACGGAATAATGTCGGGAAGGGCGTTGCGCGAGAAGAGCTTGAAGCCGCACTGGGTGTCTTTTATGGCGGCCGTGGCGCGGGGCGTCATGATGCGGAGGAGGAGGTGGAACGAGTGCATGAGGAAGTTGCGGAGTTTGGAGCGCTGAGAGAAGCTGTTAGATAGGGCAAGCTCATAGATTTTGGTGGTGGTGGTGGTGGAATGGAAACGTACCTTGACAACGGCTTCGCTCCCCACGAGATGTGCACGGCTACCGATCGCCACGCCTCTCCCGAACTTATCCTCAACGGCCTTGCAGCCCTCTACCAGTTTCCCCAGATCCTCGAAACGGCTGGCGCCATCCGCGTCGGCGAATACCACATATTTCCCTCTCACATGCCGCATCCCATGCGTGACCGCCCCACCCTTCCCTCTATTCTTCTCCAGAGTAATAACCCTAATGCTTCCATGCGGGATATGCGTCGCCTCCTTCACCTCCTTCCAAGGACCCTTCCTTGGCACCGGATGCTGCGACAACTGATGATCCCTCGCAAACTCGAGCGCCCTCTCCACCGTCGCATCCGTCGACCCATCCGACACAACCAGTATCTCCCACCCCTTCTCCTGGTCCGACCCCTGCCCCCCCTCATGCGCCCCTCCATAAGCCTTCTGTAAATACGCCACCGCCTCCTCCAACATCCCGCCGAGCCGCTCCTCCTCGTTGAACGCGGGCACCACAACCGACATGAAGAGTTCCGGCTCCTCGATCTTCAGCTGCGACGGTTCGTTGCGCTCCGCGGTGCCCGGCCGCGCTGCTTTGCGCCGCGCGAGTTCCCGCTCCGCGGCCCACTTGTCGAGCCAACAGGGCAGTTCCTTGGGCTCGCTGCGCTTCCCGTCCGGTAGGATCGTGACGTATTGTTTCTCGGAGCGGCGGGGGGGACGGGGTACGGGGGCGAGGATGTGGACGCCTAGGTACATCTGGAGCGGAACGACGAATTAGTGACATTGTACATCATACATGCCGTAACTCCCCCAAAGTACCATCGATACAGTTATACACCTCGTACACCGGGATCCGGAGAGATAAAGAAAAGAGGAAGCATGACATACCCAAAACCCCAGCGCCGCGAGCAGAAACACCGCCGCGACCACCAACACCCACGTCGGCGGCATTTCCATGGCCTGCGAGGGAAACGAGTCGAATCCATAGTGTGGGTTCCCGACCGACATGCCCCTGCCCGGTTGCGACATGGCTCTATCTCTTGCGCCCCGCGGGCATGGATGCTTCTCAGAGAGAAATGTTGTACGTTAAGGGCGTTCCGAACTGTTTATGTATACGGATATGGCTCCCCGAAAGCGATCGGCAGTGAGAAAACGAGCGAGGCCGGGCGCGACGCCAGATTGCGGAATGGGGGGAACGAGGGTTCCTTATTAACGACGGGTCGGACGCATGGCGAAGTGCAGTCTATTCTATCGAGTATCTTTTATAAAAGATACGTGGAAGCTGGATCTGCCTCCGGGGTTCGGGTGGCGGGGGATCATTTTCCCGGAGGACGAGAAACCGAATCTTGAGATGGGATAATCGAGTTGGAGGTGAAACTTTCTCGAGCGCGATATCTTTCAGTTGAATATATAGACAAATTGCACCTTTGGTTTGGTTTGCGTGTTATGGACGTCACTTGCTGTCTATCTAGGAATCACGTGGAAAGACATTCACCATGGTCACGTGGCTATTAGTCACCAGCATATGTTTGGATCTCCCTTAAACCGCTCACACCCTTCCAAAACGCTCGACAAACCCCCTCCATTCCTCATCCCCCACCACCGACCTCACCCTCGCCTCCAACCACCCCTTATTACCCCAAAACCCCCACCCAGCCTGGAACCGCAACCAATCCACCAACGCCATCTCCCAGTGCCTCACAAACGTGTCCCACTCGTACGTCTTCCCGGAGACTTTTGTCAGGTTGGAGAGATAGTGCTGAAGAAGCCCGCGTTCGCCATTCTGCATCCGTAGGACCTTGGAGTGAGATATTCCCGCATCCACAAGCATCTCCACCGGCACAGAGCACGTAAACAACTTCGCCAAATCGCACACGCCGAGCCCGAGCCCCACGTACTGGAAGTCGTAAAACGCCACCCGGCCGCCATCGCGTGTCGCGAAGAGGTTCTCCGACTTGACGTCCCCGTGGATCAGGGTCTGGTATGCGTCCGTGGGACCTGGACCATGTTGATCTGGATGGGGATGCGGAGCGAGGATCCGAGAGATCTTTTCCGCTAGAGAGGATGGGGAGCCTTCTGGGAACGGCATCGTCAGGGCATCGCGCCACTCCGCGTCTTCGTCTGCGGCGAGGGAGGCGAATTCGGAGCGTCGAGTTGAGAGGTAGGTGTATCCGCCGTTCAACCACACGCCATCCACGTCTCCTCCCTTCGTTGCATCGCTGTCCCTCAACTCTTCCCGCCCCTTCATCTCCTCAAGTGGCGGCCTTACAAGCTTCTCTCGATCGAAATCCCCGACCCTGCTCCACCAGAACCCGTGAAATGAAGAAAGCCAGTCCAGCGAAGCGTACACCTGCCTCGTCGACAACGTCCCTCTCTTCTCGCCTGCTACGGGGAAATCTCGCGCCAGGTCCGTCAGCAGCATGGCTGACGTCAAGGTGCCGTTTGGGTTGTGCTCGGTGAGGCTGGAGAAGCAGTTTGCGACGGGGATGGAGGAGGCGGGCATTAAGTGGGCAAGATAGGTGTAGAAGTATTGTTCGACTTGGTAGCTGAGGAGCTTGCGGATGTGTCCTTCATCCTGGTGTTTAGAAGGGGAGAGCGGTGGAGATATGAGTTTGATTATATAGGTTTCAGGGGTTTGGGAGAGGGATGGGGTTGTTGTTGATGATTCCTGTGATTTTGCTGTGGGCTCCGAAGCTAGTGGTGACGGGATTGCGGTCACACGGCATACGTGACCGTATCCAGCCCATAGCGATTGTAGGATCTCTAGGGATTGGAGTTGTAGGCCATGTTGAGCAAGCAGTGTTGTTGCGATTTCCGTGGTAGATGGTGGAGCGGACATGGTGGGTGGAGCAGGATTATTGATGGGAGGGAGGCATGTGTGACGAACTGTGAAGGCCTTTCAATATAGGTGGAAAGAATACAAATTCCCAAGGGAGAGATTGCTGGAAGAAAAGATGCTGATATTCGTAGTGCAATCAACATCTTACAAGATGAATGGTCTTATCGATAGTCGTCAAAACTGGGGAAGCCTAAGCCTAACTAGGCATGGATCCAACCTTCACATTATCCAGCCTGGAGGTCTTATACACAGTACATGTGCCCTAATCAATGACGACATCTTAGCTAAATGCAGTCGTTCCCGCAGCTAAGACAGCCGATGCAAAGGCTCCGGGCCCGTCATTGTCTTCCTGGACTTGTGCTCTCTCATATAACATCAGTTTATCCGGCTCCATCACTGACCTCCATTGTGCACCCCGGCGCTACATCTCAGAGGATCTTGAGAGGAAAAAAATAAAAATATTGGTATCATATTATTCTCTCTCCACCGCCAAACTTTTGCAGCTTGAAACTCTGGCAGATCTCTCTCTCAGTGGATCAGTGTGCTACAAATCCCTCGGTCGGACTCGCTCAACAGACTTCCCACGTACAAGCCTAGAGGACAGCGAGGTGTCGAGCAATACACTCCCTCATTGCCATACTGTATCTGCGGCATGCTCGCCACTTGCTTGTTAGCAGGAGCCCTTTCCTGGACTTTCTATTCATCCACTTCGCCCCTCTGGCTCTGCCGACTGTACCTTATGTAGCATATTAATACCATGTTGACCTGTTCCGCCTTTCGTGCTCACATGTTGCCGGCATGCTTCTCTGTGCCTCTATCTCTCTTGCCCCACTGCCATTGCAATCTCCATCGAGGTCTCAATGCACTTCATACTTCCATCTTTGCATTTGGGTTAGTCCCGTCCGTGCGGGCGAATTGACACTCCCCCTCCTCCCCTTCAGTCGCGGACGCTGTGACGCGCCTCCGCTTACATTGACGTACTCCGTTGAGAGAGCAACAGCCGAATGATTCATCGCACATGCGATTATGTGAGAACCAAGCCTCGCTGTTGCATTGCTTCCGTGGAGGTGCAGAGAGGGGCGGACGACAGAACATAGGAAACGTCGACCACTGGCGATTGTGATATACATGGAAGATCATCCCCGCTTGCTTCCGGCGTTGGAAAGCACCCAGGGTACGATAGGGTGGAATTGAACAGCATCTGACGTGCCGAGTTTAGGGGGGTGACTCCAGCAGACGAAGCATGATCGCCATCGCGTAGGCCTAGGTTAACAGAATTCGGAAAGAAGGAATGGCAAGAGTAAAGCAACAGCTAACTCAGGAAGAATCGTCGGCAGTAAAGACTGTAAACGTATGCGACCGCAAATCATACGAAATCCAGCGATGCAGCTAAGGTAGAGTCAAAGATGAAGTCACTGTAAGAGGAACAAATGCACTCACGGTCGCGATGTGGTAGCCAAGGCGGAGAACGCGCTCTGCCCTAGCCTTGACGGTTGACGGGGGCTCCAGATAGCGGTCCTCTTCGTCGTGCTTGCGCGAAAACCAGTCGTCGGGGAAATACCATTGGCACCAAAGCTGGCCTCGGATCAAGTAATCATCTGGAAGAGGGAGGTTATCACTCTGGAGGGGAGGAAAGAGCGGTCCAGCAACAAGCTGTTCAGCGCGCTCGGACTTGACCAAAGCGTTTAAGAAAGAAGCAATCTCCGACCAAGGGGCGTGATCCGCCAGGTGTGCAGCCTGGGGGATGGCAGCAATACTTGAAAAGAAAGCTAGCATGACGTGGACAAAAGGCAAGACATTTTTATCATCGACCCTTCTGAGGACGGCGGAGAACGTCGACGTGAGCAAAAGGTACGCTCCAGAGAAGGTGAAATCGCTTGAAAGAGTGTCCAACTTGGACGAAATTTCCGACTCCGGAAGGGAAGGTTTCATCGAGGCTTGTTCTGCAGAAATGTGACTGTTTTCCTCGCTCTCGTCAGAAGGAGTGGACGACCGACTCTGGGACCGGCTCTGAAGCACCTTTCGAAGATGGATGAGGAAGATCTGGCGTAGAATCGAGTCATGGATCCCATAGTCGAATAGTCCAGCAATATTGGTCACAGCAATATGCACGCCCTTCTCTCTCCATTTAGCAGTGACACGTCCAATCTCACTGTCCAGCTGGCCCAGAAATGTGACGCGTGCGTGCTCGAAATCTTCGGGTTTCAACCTCTTGAAGAGAATTGCGTGTGTCCGAATGAAGTTGGTGTCGATATGTAGCACTTGCTGGCCAGAGGCTGCAATGGCCAACACCGGGTCTAACAATTTGAGTATCGACTCTCTGGCACTTGCGAATGGCTGTAGGCAAGTTAAGGACCTCGCATAATAGTATAGTTGGGGGAGCACCACGGGTCTGGCTAGAATCGCCAGGTGATGGTATAGCCTGCCAACGTTGGGAATCCGGTCGGAAGTTTTGCTGTACCACGACCTAGCGACACCTGCCCAAATTTCTCGATCGCGGGGATCCTCTTCTACGGCCATGCGGTAGCGGCCGAGATCTCCTAGGCATTCGATCCACGTATCTCCGAACGCTGGCACAGTTTCATAGAGTAGGGCTGTCATCTGATAGGCTAGATAGATAAAGGCCAGCATATAATCCATACTTTCCGGTAGCCTATGGCGGAGTAACTCGAGGAAGGAATAGATGCCATGCCTCCACATCCGCGCCGGCATTTGATACTTCTCGGCCAGGCGACGCAATGCGGGTGAAGCCGAGGGGTGTTGGCTCGCCAAAAAGAAGTCATGATGCTCGTGCAGGAGGGTTCTGTGCAGAGCAATAAGCGCCTGCCAGTGATCTTGAGAGATTTCGCCGTCCTTGTCAGCAGCCTGGGTTCGGTCAACATGTATGCATTTCGTTTCGACCATGGTCAGGCCTGCATATATGCTTTTCACCTCGGCGGCCAGTTGCTCTTGAGAGATGGGACGTGAGTCCGGTTGGAGCAAGAGATCCGGATAGCGAGGGTCATACTTCCGGACATCGGAGAGCTGTTGACTGGGGCTGGGGGTGTTTTGCGTCTTGTCAATGGACGTGTGAGTTGGAGGAGCATAGCTTGAGGGGTGCTGACTTTGGACTTGACTAATTGACGGGTGAGAGAGCCGAGGATCTTGGTTGCGATTGACCTCCGTAGACCACTCACTCTTGGGCTCAGGGGTCGACCGATAGGGCGAGTTGGTGCCTCTGGAACTGTGCCTGGGGCTGAAGCGGAGACGCTCGGCTGACTTTTGATTCGTAGTCGCCGTTACGGACACTAGAGCTGCGAGATCGTCTGGATGGTGGTGGTCGGGATCGTAGATGAGTGTAGGACCCTGGATTTTCCCTCTCCGAGCTTGGAATTCCGTGTCAGCTGGCCTCTTCCTTGCCGAGGATGGCATCGATGCCCTGGCAGCATCAAGAAGGGATAAGGTCCCGATGTCGAGGGTGGAGCCACCGCCTGCAGTGGCTTCGGAAGACCTCTCTGTTGCCAGCTTGCTGGGTCGGGGTCAGAGCTGTACGTCTGACGGGAGGGTAACGCGTGAGTGGGCAGACTCGACTTACATCCTCAGAGCCTCGTCCCTCAGGTACTCACGTGAGCGGCTAGGGGTCATATTCTGAAGAATCGACGCGTGTTCAAGGGTGACGTGGGTGAAGAGTTGGTCTACATCGGGGAATAGCCTTCGGTGAGAGGTGCAGTAGGGACATGGCAGCGGGTCGCCTTGCTCAGCCGTCTTCACGTTCGCTTGCGTCTGGAGGGCCCGGGCGTATGGGGAGTGGAGGTGGACATGTCGGCTGGTCATGATGGAGGGGATTCCAGCTCCAGGGACTCAAGGCAGGGCAGGAGTTGGTTGCCAGATGGCGAGCGTCGGATCCGAGGTGGTGGCAGGCGGTGCTGGTGCTGGTCGTCACGAAATGGATCATTTGCCAAGAAAGTCGTGTCCCACTTGGTGGTGAATGGAAGGGGCTCGCAACAAGCGGTGTGGGGGAATCGGCAACGGCTGGCTGGAGAAATCCTTCCTTTCACCTCGTCGTTCTCCTTGGGAAGCTTGACGTTGGGATGCGAGTTCCGAGATGCAATCTCTTGGGTAGGGAAACAGGCATACAAGCAAGGCTGGGAGCCAGCGCTCAATGTTCACGGGCAATGTTGGCACCGCGGAGAGACAAGGCGTGAGGGACGATGAGCCGAAGAAGAAAAAGCGACGAAAGAGCCGCTGAAGGGATCTGGAGCATTACAGTAGATGTATGCTGCATCGTCGTCGTCGGGTGGCGGCCCTGGTTCAGGCAGCAAAAGAAGGCAACCCTTCCACTCGCTCGGCTACGCGCCCAGACCCGAATGACATTTGAGAGAGACTCCACCACCTGTGACCTACCATATCGAATGGCCCTTATTTGAGATACACGGGACGGAGAAATAAATCCTCTGTTCTATTGTCCGTCTCGGTGGATTCTTTGTATTTGCCTTTTCCCAGCCACGCGTCCAGCGGTTTTTGGTTTTGGAACAAGATGACGCCAGCCACCCAACAACCCAACCACGACGTCCCCGGAATGGAAGGCATCAAACGGTTGATGATACCGAGCACTGCGAGCAGTACGGTACGTCAGACGCCCCAAGCAACAAGCGCATTGGGAACAGATACAATAGGCACCTCAGGGCGCTTTCATGCCTCCTGATAGCGACGTGGCACAGCCAGTGTCGACGTGCTCGACTCAAAGGAAACGTATGGCAGCCTCCCACGACACAGTCTTCGATGCAAAATGTCTCGTGGTTGGGATTGCATTCTGATGATGATTGGAAATCTAATCCATCACTCTCCAGTGTACCTAATTCGTTGGGTCTCATTCCGGTTTGGCTCCTTCCGTATAACCGACCCTCGGAATCAATGCGGGACTTTCGTACCTATACACCTTGTACGGACTACGGAGTACTATCCGTCTCGACCGCTCTGCTTACCGTGCTCATTCCCTCCGACCCACGGCTGCCTCTTCGTAGTCTCATCGCTATTGTACGGAGTAGTCGCAGGCAGACCCAAGGCAAGTGGGTTTGGTCTTGTGACCCGTTTTACAGAAGATGCTGATAAGATGGTCGAGCACTCGTCTCCGGTAGAAGCATGGCAGCAGTTGCCTGATGTGCAACGTTTCTGAGGAGCGACCTTGGAGCTGGTACCTGATACGAGCCCCCTTTGCCAGGGACCGATACCCGGACATCATCAAGGCCGCTTCCAAAGTGTAGGCGCAATCAGGTTCATGAGCCACCAAAGCCTTGTCCGGATTCCTTTGGTTCATTCTCACGCCGCTTATCTGGGATCATCTTCACACCACCGAAACCCGGCCTCGGAAATGCATCTGATAACGAGCCATGGTCGTAGGATTCGTTTGCCTACGCCTGGCTTGATGTTTGGCTGATCAAGATGACTCCAGCCTCTTCATCCGGCTGTGTTTGCCCCGCATAAATATGCGGTCAGAGTTGCTCTCATGTAGACCTAGGTTCGCAACGTGGTGGAATCCCCACGCCCGAAGGCAGGACATGTACGCACAGTGCCGTTCCGGAAATAGTCACCCACTGCGCTGTCCCGTTTCTGAAACTCCGGAGTGGCCCTACCTCTCTTCTGCAAATGCCGAAGCTCATGTAAAGGCCTAAACGCATGCGGAGTTGACATTTCCAAGCACAACAGCTCTTTCGGATCCCACTTGAATTTGCCTGAATATCCTGTCCGCATCTTGGTAGCATCTGGGCATCTGTCGTTTTGTTACTGGACGCCTAACCGCTGAGCAACCTTGTATACCTACACTAACCACTAGGGTTCGCTCTTCAAAGCGGGGTAAACCACCAAACCCATGGGAAACCTTTACACATCCGTTTTAAGCAGGACGGTTCGTCATGGCTAGCACCTCCTCTGCAGTCGTGTATGCGACTCTATAAGGCTAGCGAATCAGACATCCTGCGGTTATCACACTGCAGAAGAGTTGTATCCGCTTGCCGTAAAGACACATTGCGGAGATGGTGTGCTCGATCAGAAAGTAGGCAATCAAGGATACGAACGCCCTTGTGCGAGCAGCTTCATAGATCATTCATTGACATGGAGTTGAACGCAAGGGAGCCTGTGTCTGGAAGGGCAAAGATTGGGCACATTGACAGTGAACAAAGTTCGGAGGAAATTCAGGTCGTGGCTTTGCAAGGCTGAATGTTATGATACTGGAGCAGCGGAATTATCGTTTACGGAGTGCGCTGCGACTAATAAAGTGAACAGGGCAGGAAAAGAAAGGAGCAAATAACTCCTCGTATTCGAATACTGTGGTATATATTACTGTATACGGACTAGATCCGACCAAGTTGTTCTGGCTTCCGCACCGCAACTCTGCAGCCTATTCTGACACGAGCACCGCAACACATGGGATATTCACAATATCTTGTTGATCCGCCTCCCAGCGCCACAACTCGAGAATGGCTATTGCAAAAAGCATTTCGGCCGGAGATCTTATTTCATTATCCGCAACAAGCAGACGGGACCCACTGAAGCTTTTCGATGCCTTCTCTCATAATACGACCTGAACACCGGATATTGCTTGCGAATCCGAGACATGACGTGCGTAACCGTCAACAGACCAGTTCCAGAACGTCGAAAATCTCAGCCTCTTAATACGCTGGCTTTATTGACAAGAGTCCACATCATCTCCCTCATCGGTAAATGGAGATTAAGGCACACCGATGGCTGATGTTTTCCATGAATTGCAAGCCATGAATTCCGTCCAGCCCGCCGACCACCGGAGGCAACCAGATCTCTCACTCATCATCTGATAGACTACCTAGATCTGGCATGTCCAGCCCACCACCATGAAGCTGATGTGTGACCATCAACAACCGAATATGGCCTCGTGCGAGGTCGTACGCGGACCTGTGTTTCGCAACCGGCTTCCTCTCAAGGGTCGACGAGGCAACCAGCTGCTGCTGATTCAGGAGTAACGTGAGGCTCCAGCTTGCTCTCTCAAAATGCGCGAGGGTTCACAGCCTTGCATTATGTAACCTGGCGTGAGGTTGGGAACGAGGCTTCCGTGTGCGGCTGGAGTGCCCTGTTTTGGTCTGGTCCTTCAGACTTCACCGTGAGAGCAATCTCCTTGCACATGACCGAACACACGAGCGCTGTTACACAGCACATCAGATGAAGAAAATAAGAGACTTACGACAAGAATCTCTCCCACAGGATTCTGGCTATTGAGACCATCAAGTTTGAATTCTGGACTTGTGGGGGTCCGCGGGAGTTGTGAATACCAAGCAAACCACGTGCTTTTATACACTAGACTAACGACATCGCGTTAGCCTTTCCGTCCCGGGATTTGTCCGTCTGGAGATGCGCTAAGACAGCAACGTCATGTCCAATGTCGGATGACGAAGCAACAACTCAGAATGTACTGTGTACTCTCTGTATCGTGCGAAAGACGGTGTCTCAGCATCGTCTCAAGCGACTCAACTTCCCCAGTGCTGGATGCTGTGGAAGTCATCGCTAACTCAAGAGCGCGTTTCTTCTCTGGTTACGGGGCCTGACGTTGCTTACTTGTCAGCAAGCCTGGACCTTGCGGCTCTCCAATTCCTCCCGAGCTGGATTGGTAATGTGGGTTTCTACCACTTCGCAGCCCTCCTTGTGCATTGGAATGTGCTAACGGCGTCACTAGTGGAGATAACACTTATGGGATGTAATTGGGTCCAAAGGAGCAACAAGATCGCATCTTCGTAGACGTCACGTTGAGCACCTGTGCTACTCTGGACTCAACATGGAGCTGAATGAACAAGACAGCGCGTTCGCCGCCGATTCCCAAGTCGATCAGGAGCTCAGCTGGAGGACGAGAGGCAGGAGACATGATCCACACAGGAGATCGTCAAAGTCAGGCCAGAGTTCACCCGACGCGGACTCCCTCGCGGAAGAGGCACCCCTTCTAGGAGAGGAAGCCGGTCGCAGCGGTGGTGCAGAGGACAATAAGAGTGACGCAGAAGTTGAATGGTTTGGAACTGCAGAGTTACAGAGCTTGCCATGGTGGAGGAGGCCTTCCGTACGCGGCTTCACCCTCATGCTGGAGATCGGGAATGCTAATAATCGCAGATTTTCTGGCTGATTCCGCCGTACTTGCTCTACACCACCGCTTTTGGTGGCATAATCGTCCCGAAGTTGAACCTGATCATGAACCTCATATGCAACGATTACTATGCCTCCAACTCGCCCAGCAATCCGGACCCCATATCCGGCCCGGTGGATCCTGGAAACGAATTCGACCGGTGTCAGAATAGTGCCGTCTCTGCTCGCGCGTCCATGTTCATTCTCTACGCCTCCTTGATCTCCGGCGTGCTCGCGGCCATCACATCGCCCAAATTAGGAGCACTCTCTGACCGATATGGACGGAAGCCGATATTGGTGGTCACGACGTTTGGTGTGCTCATGGGAGAGGTTTTGACTATTCTAGCCGCAAAGTTTCCGGAGACGACCGATGTCAATTGGATCTTGGCAGGCTATGGCATTGACGGCCTGTGTGGATCCTTCATTGTAGGCATGGCGGTTTCCCACTCGTACGCCACCGACTGTACGCCGCCTCAGAGGCGTAATGTCGCCTTTGGGTACTTTCACGCCTGCCTGTTCAGCGGTATTGCTCTTGGGCCGGTCCTTGCGGGATACCTGATCAAATACCGTGAGCCGGTCGTGGGGAAGATGGAAGCTGTACTCCTTGTCTTCTACATCGCTCTGGCTTGCCACGTCTTGTTCATCCTCCTCCTCATCTTCGTCATCCCCGAATCCGTCACCAAGACGCGCCAACTCGAAGCGCGTCGGAAGTACGCTCAAGAAAAGGCACGCAGGGGCCCCAACTCCGACTGGATCAACCAACTTCGCAGCTTCAACCTCATCGCCCCTCTCAAGATCCTCTGGCCGACCGGCCCAGGCACCAGCCCTGCCCTGCGCCGCAACCTCATCCTCCTCGCCGCCACCGACACCATCGTGTTCGGCGTCAGCATGGGCGCCATGGGCGTCATCACCATCTACGTGCGTCTCCAATTCGGCTGGCAGGAATGGGAGACGTCAAAATATGTCAGCATCGTGAATTCCTGCCGCGTCTTCAGCCTGGTCGTCGGCCTGCCTCTCCTCACGAGACTGGTTCGGGGGAGAAATGGGACGAAGAACCAACGGAACAGTGGATCGGACACTTTCGACCTTAGCCTTATCCGCCTCGCTATCCTCTTCGACATGCTGGGTTTCCTGGGCTACAGTCTCGCTCGCCGTGGCGACTTGTTCATCGCGTCTGGCGCCATCGCTGCCGTCGGCGGTATCGGGTCGCCCACCCTGGGATCGAGCCTGACAAAGCACGTGCCGCCTGATCGGGTGGGCCAGGTGCTGGGCGCGACGGGCCTGCTGCACGCCATTGCAAGGGTGGTGGGGCCGACGGTGTTCAATGGGATTTATAGCGCGACGGTGGGGTCGTTTCGGCAGGCGACGTTTGTGTGTTTGACGGGGACGTTTGGGGTGGCGTTTTTGTGTGGGTGGTTGGTGAGACCGCATGGTAAGCAATTTTTCTTTTCTTCGTCTCTTTTCCTGAATGCCTTTCAGAAAGGGTTTTGTAAAGTGCTGACGATCATGGCAGTGTATCTGGAGGATTTGGCGCCGGATGGGAGTCCCTCGAGGAGCGAGTCTGATGGTGGTGGAGGAGAAGAGGGGGAATTTGGTGTTGCGGCGGCGGCGTGATTTGCTATGGACTACTGGGGTGGGATATACATGGTCGACGTTTTAGACTTGAGTTTTGCCTTTTTGCATATTCGCGTGCCGGCTTGATGCTTGCTGGATACACCTTCAGGGATCTATAGCGGGCGTTTTTGGATTGTTGAAACGGCGTATAAGATGGGGGACGCAAGTTTGTCCGGTTCGTTTCTTTTCTTGCTGTCATGGAGAAGAGGCCGTAGAGCTGTATAGAGTTGCTGCATCGAGGGGGCCTTTCCATCTTTGTCGTTGCTGGGAGCACAGAACACGGCATCGATCCGCCGTATTGTCCATGTGGAAGGCACGCCAGAGAAATAGGGATGGGATGGCTTGGAAATGGCGGAAGCTAGTATATTTCCGACGATTCCAATCAACCAAACAATGCATGCGCCCAGGAAGCCAGAGCGCGGCCGGGTCTATCTTATGCATGGAATATAACGAGATCCATAGATCTCACAAGTGCATCTGGCCATTCCTTCTTCACCATAACCCTACCCATCAAAACCACAACTATATCTACCTCTACAACATACCGCTGTCCATCCTCACGCCGTATATTTCCATCACCCTCAACCTACCGAACCTACCAACCTACCACTTCCCCCCCTTCCCCTTCTTCTTCCCACCTCCCTTCTTCTGCCCTCCCCCTCCACCACCAGCACCCGCACCTCCCACCGTACCCGCCGCCCTATCCTCCGCCACAGCACCCCCCTGCGTCAACCCATCCATCTTCTTCTTCCCCTTCTTCCCCTTGGGCCGATAATACGTCCGATCCCGCATCGGCAGCCAGCGCTCCGGATCCATGCTCCTCCCCGGCATGAAATCCTTGGGCATGCGCGCCTTGCGTATCCGTTTCGTCTTCTTCACGGGGGCACCTTCTTCCTGCCTCCCACCTCCCGGGGCAGGTCGCTTGGTTGGCACGGCGGCAGCGGCAGAGGACAGAGGTAAGCCGGGCACGCCTGCGTTTTCCAGGGCCGAGACATCGATGCCGGAGACGAGGCGCTCGACGGGCGGGAGGACGTCGACCAGATCCGGTGCGATTTTGGCCGGGTCAGCGACGGCGTAGGCGGCAACGAGGCCGGCGATGGCGGCGCGGTCGGCGCGATCCCGCTCGTGCAGCGATTCGAAGATCTCCCCCGCCATGGCGATGCTATCGGCGTTGTGGGTTTCCAGGAGCGCGCTGCCGGCCGCGACCATGAGGGATCGAGGCGCCGTTTCGGACTTGCGCCGCCAGTACGAAGCTGCCTTCGCGAGGCCCGATTTGGAGTGCGAGTGCCGGCCCTGTCGGACGTAGAGGGAGACGAGGACGGCGATGAGGCCCGGGGCGTGTCGGATGTCGAGGTCGGAGGCGGAGCCGGATTGCTCGAGGCGCTTGAAGAAGGATTCGAGGAGTTGGGTTGCGGCGGCGAGGTTGTGGGTGAGGACGTAGAGTTGGGTGATGGTTAGGAGGAGGCCGATGTCGTTGGGGCGTTTCTCCAGGAGGGGCAGGATCGCCTTGAGCGCGGCTTTCTCGGACAGGTTCTGGGCCTGGGCGGCGGCGTTGAAGACAGAGGCGGTGTTGATGGATGGCGAGGTCGTTGGTGCTGGGGATGACGAGATGAGTTTCGACGTGTGTGAGATGACGCCCGCTACCTTGTGGGTCATTAGGTCAATGACATATTCGTCCTGGCGCAAGATGTCGGACTGGAACGTGAAGGGTCTGTCCGTCTTTGGGGGTTTCGGCGCCGAGTGCATGAGCCGTTGGCTCAGGTACGGGTTTGTGTGCTTGGTGGAAGCCGCAATGCTGTTGATCTGCGCGATATACCGCGTGGAGAGTTCTCTGATCTCGGCAAAGGGAATCGTGGTGGATAATTGTTCGGCCTCCTCTATTCGACCCAGCCGAGTGAGGACGTAGACTTCTTGCACCGTCATAGGCATGATCTCCACCTTCTTCTCCTCCTCGGTGAGATCTTCAGCTGCATTGCAGAGATCTTCTGATGTTAGCCATATCCTCTTGGACCGCCACGACCAATGCCTTCATACCTTTTGCTCGCTTCAAGCAAATCTCCGCCTGTTGCAGCTCATCCCTCGAAATGCATCCACAAGCCGTGTTATATGCCGTCTCAAAAGCTTGGAGATCATCCCGTCCCGCCTTCTTCGTCTGTGCCAAATGGCCCTTCCCGGACCATTCCAACTGCGCGTCCACGGCGCTCCAATTGATCTTTATATCCGCCTCCTCGTCCGCGTGTCTGTCGCTCGAGAGCTGTCGATAGACGGCTGCCGCTTGCTCGAAGTTCTCCGATCTGTATGCCTACAGTAATTAGCTTCCTCCATTGCGATTCCGTACCAGGAACATACTGCTTGCGCCAAAACGTGCTTCATAGCTCGGCTGGAAGAATCCCTCTGTGCGACCTCGACCGCCTGCGAAGCTTCCCCGGACTTGTACAAGGCGTAGGCATACTCGAACGGAGTTCTTTCCTGCAATTGAGGCGTATCCGTGAATATCTTCACGGCGTCGTCGTAGCGGTCAAGCTTCAGTAAGGCGACGGCTTTTGCGTGGTGTGCATCGATATCTGCTTTGGACTTCTTGATGGCCGCGTTGGCGGCTTTGAGGATCTCCTCATGGTCATCGAGCGACGTCTGCGCAAGCAAAGCGGGTAGTGACTTCGAAGACGTGGTCATCCTGAATCTTCCGCCGTCCTTCCGTGCTTTGCTGTAGATAGGACGTGGGACCTTCACCCGGAAGCTTGAGTGGGGGTGGGGGTGGCATGTATGAACTCGCTTAAAGTTCGGATTGGCAGATGAAGGTATGACTTATTTGTAGACACATCATGAAGGGACGGAAGCGCCATAAAGGGTCACTAGAGGAGATCTTAAAGATGAATAGAGGATTTACATTGTGTCTATCTTTATGGAATTCTCTCAAAGCTGGATATATAACTCCTTCTAACATAGATTGTTGCACCATCCTGAGCCCCCAGTCTCACCAGTCTATGCATTTTCAATCTCGTCGAGATGGAGCAGTGGCTGTGCGTGACAGTAACCCAGACTGTAATGTTCTCCGCTGTTGCCGTCGAACATGCGCATCCCGAAGTCAAAGATAACCAAAGTCCAAACGCCATACCTTCCCAAACGCCATCGCTATGCTGAATTCATTTAAACATCGACGAACTCGTCTTCGTCGGATTCGTCCCCGCCATCGCCTGTCGAAGCCGCTGGTGTTATGCCGCCGGCCGGCGAGGGTGCCGCCGAGGACTCAAGCTTGAGACGCTTGGCTTCCGGTGCTACAGAAGTAGTAGCAACCACGTCTTCAAACTCGTCTTCATCCTCTTCGTCTTCTTCGCCTGATGATGACTCTTCAGCCTCTTTTGCCTCATTTTCCCGCTGCTCAGCCGCTATCTGTGCGAATACATCATCAAGTGATGTTTCTTGATATTTCTTCTCGTCGACCGTCTCTGCCCGGATAACCGGCAGGGCTGTGCCATTCACTTCTGTCTTGATGTTCGAAGGACCGTTGGCATTATCAGTGATGACAGTGGACTTTGTGTGCCACTCAGGAAGCAGGTTCTGCGCTGCAATCTTGGCCTGGCGCTCCTGCTCCGCGGCCCGTGCAGCTTCGTTGTACTCCGAATCCGTGGCTATTGACACCTCGATCTTCTCTGGCGCGATAGTAGTCATTCCTTTGACGGTTGTCGGCTTAGTCGTCTTGGGCTGTACGACCTCGTGCTTTGCGACCGGGTTGATCTCCTTGTCCCGCGGTAGCTCCACCGCTCCTTCAACAGCGTCATGCCCTTCCACTGCGGGAATGACGACTTCATCGACCTGCTGCATAAGCTTGAGGAGAGGGCCAAAGAACTTGTTGAATTTGGCAGGGATGTCTCCACTGTCCGCGTCGCCTTCGTTATCGATCTCGACGAGGGGAAAGCCGCAGGTCTTGCAGAGAAAACCACTTTCCCGGCCTAGATGGTCGATGCAATCCATGACTTCGATATGCGTCCACTGGGATTTGCACCGCTTGCATTGAAGTTCCTTCTTCTCCTGCGTGGGCGCTGCATCCTTCTTTATCTGCTCATCGAGCATATGGAGTCTGTACTTGGTAGCATCGATGGCCCGGCGATAGTCGATGTAGAAATAGTCGCGGCTAATGGCTTTCATCGCACCTTCGCGCATCTCCTGGCGCGTGTGGCTGGAGAGGTCAGTCTCTGGAGTAAGAGCGCGGGCGGCGCTGGTTGGACATACGTCGAGATCAGGCCGCCCTGCTTCAGTTTCCCGATGAACTTGCCCACTCCCTTCGAGTTCTTGCCCCAGTCCAGCACGAGACACAGATCCGCCGTCGTGAGTCTAGCAGCTCGTCAGCCATCTTCTGGATGCAAAGGCGTCAAGAGACACCTACGCGCCATGGAAGACAAGGGCGTCGACGATGACGATGTGCTCCGTCTCGTAGAACATGCGGGCGACCGTCTTGACAAAGACCTTGGCCAGCTCGAGAGGATCCACGTTAGCCATGGTGGAGAGCCTTTTCGAAAGAGCGTAAGAGTTGACGGTTGGAAAGAGAGCAAGTTCGAGAAGGCCGACCTGATGCCCTTGTCCGTCCCAAGCTGCGGGCGGTGAGTAAGGCGGTGAATCGTATTGGGCATCCACTGACGTGGGGGCGCATTCGCCAAGCCATTTCCTCGGGAGAAATTCAGGAACGGATTCACCTTCACCTTTCACCTTCACCGATTTCCTCCATGCGTACCCCCTCCTCAGCATGGAGTCTACTTCTGAGAACCCCACAGCTCCGGCGGCGAATCCGCCCATGCAGGATGACTCCACCCGCGACAATGTCCCGCAAAGCGACAAGAAGCGCAAGTTCGACGACCGCGACCGCCACCGCCGCGGCGGCCGGGGACGCGGCGGTCACCTCCAGCACGGCAGCAAGGGCCACGCTAATAAGAAGAGAAATATGGGACGTAATGAGCATTTGTAAGATCCCATGTCGCCCCGCATGCGCGCTTCTCTAACTAAGCAAGTCGCGAGCAATTAGACAGGCGCGGTCGCAACGAGGAGCAGCAGGAGAAGAATAAGCGGAAAGAGGCGAATGGCGAAAACGAGGGATCTATACTGCCGTCTGCTTTCCCCAAGGAAGAGGTCGATGCTGAGGGTCGACGTCCTAAGCGCAAGGTCGCGGTTCTCCTGGGCTACTCTGGCACAGGCTATAAGGGCATGCAGATCGACCACAAGCAGAAAACGATCGAGGGTGATCTGTTCAATGCTTTTGTGGCTGCGGGGGCTATATCGAAGGCGAATGCGGACGATCCCAAGAAATCCTCACTTGTACGCTGTGCTCGTACGGACAAGGGCGTCCATGCAGCGGGCAATGTCATATCGCTGAAGCTGATTATTGAGGATGAGAACATTGTGGAGAAGATCAATAGCCATTTGTCGCCTCAAATCCGGATATGGGGCATCCAACGGACAACGGGCTCCTTCAGCTGCTACCAAGCATGCGACTCGAGATGGTACGAGTACCTCATTCCGACCCATTCTTTCCTCCCACCGCACCCATCGAGTTTCATGGGAAAGAAGCTGGTCGAGTATGCGGAGCAGAAGGGGGATATGGAAGGTTATCTTAGTCGGCAAGCCGAGGTTGCGAATTTCTGGCCGGAGGTCGAGGAGAAGTACATCAAGCCGATTCTGGACTCTCTGGATGACTCAATACGACCGTTGGTTGAAGAAGCGCTATATGCCACCGAAGCCACCGATGCTAGCGAACCCGATCCCATCATCGATGCTTCCATTGATTTGCAGGAAGAAGAGCAAGCGAACAAGGAAGCATCCGGGACATCCAACGTCAATGAGACTGCCGAGGAAGCAGCAGAAAAAGCGGCGGGCGAGGAAGCCAAGGAAGCGATAGAAAACTTGCAGAAACAAGAGCCGGGCCTGGTGCTGAACGACTCCACCGACGGCAGCGTGGCCCTCCCACAAAACACGGTCAACAAATCCGCGCTCGAAGCTGCCGTCAAGGCCCTTAAGAAGGCATACATGGACGCCAAAAAGGCGTATCGCATATCCCCCGAGCGTCAGAAGCGTGTCCAGGATGCTCTGAATATCTACCTCGGAACGCACAAGTTCCACAACTACACCGTGCAGAAGAAATTCAACGACCACTCGGCGCGGAGATTCATCAAGTCCTTCAAGGTGGCCGAGAACCCCATCATCATCAACGACACGGAATGGCTTTCGTTGAAGGTGCATGGGCAGAGCTTCATGATGCACCAGATCAGGAAGATGGTAGGCATGGCCGCGCTGACGGTGCGCTGCGGCACCAACCCTTCCATCATTGAGGAATCGTTCGGCAACGTCACGGTCCGCATTCCCAAGGCTCCCGGGCTGGGCTTGCTTCTCGAGCGACCCGTGTTTGACTCGTACAACGAGAAGCAGGCGGCTCAGCATGGGCGAGAGAAGATTGACTTCAGCAAGTATGACAAGGAGATTGAGGATTTCAAGGAGCGGGAGATTTACCAGCGCATTTTCCGGGAAGAAGCGCAGGGGAATCAGTGAGTTGCCATATTTTCCAGGAGGAGGGATCAAGCATGTCGCTGACAAGATTAGGTTCAACTCGTTCTTTACGCATCTGGATAACTACCGGGATCCCACTTTCCTCTACCTCACCTCTGGCGGGATAGAGGCGACGAAGAGGCTTTCCAACAAGTCGATGCAGGCCAAGTGGGAGGATTCTGAGGACGAGAATGCCTCGGGTGGCGAGGGGTAAAGTAGGTCATGTATAGGACCATTGTTCCCAAGGCTGGTCATATGTTGAGGAAGACTATTGATTATATGTCTACATATATACCACTTCTGAACGCCATGGCCCCGAGCCACAAGACTTTGTTGTATGAAATGACGGCTTCAACCTGGTGTGCCTATCATTATGGCTTCCGGAGATGACGATGGGAGATACAGGCGTGGTTTGTTCGCCTCGTGCGTGAGATACTTGAAGGTTTCGTAGAAGCCGCAATTGCCCGTGCCCTGGAGGGAATCGCCTATGAAATTCGGGGGACCAAGCGAGGTCATTCGGATTCGACTTGGAATGTAGATGGATGCTATATGGACTCACTGTGACTGGAACCCTTTAAGACTGCGAAAACCAAGGATAAGCACACAGCCGTAACGATAAAAATGATATGAATTCATTTATCTATTCCTCATGACACCCAGAAGTTGAAGTAACACCAACCCCAACCATCCAACCATCCATACATAGAAATAAGATCCCCAATGCGCCTCCCCGAGGCTACCAACAGACAAACAGACAAACAGACAAACTCTATGCCGAGTGAGAGAAAACAAAAAGCACCCTAAGACATGCAAGAAACGCCAACATCAAAATCGCCCCATCATCCATACATATCCATCTCCCAGATTCCCAAAAAGCACTAGAATGCAGCACCAAGGAACCCCCCAACGCAATGGATGTTAGGGAACGCTCAATGACAGTGACAGTGACCATGAAAAAGGTGACTCAAAACCAAAGAAAAAGAAGGGGGAAAAAAAAAGAAAAAAGAAAACGAAGGGTAAAACCAAAACGTCAAGTGGTATCATTGATGCAGCAATGCTTTCAAACAAGTCCCAAGCTTCCGTTTCGTCTTGACATGGCCCCCCAAAAAGCTCTAGCGCCTGTTTCTTTAAAAAACCAAGGATTCATATGCTTTCCGTTGCGTCAAGAGGGTAAATCGTAGAGGAAGAAAGTTTCGTCATCAAGGCGCCATGGTTACACCGACACGGGCCCCAAATGCGGCCTCTTCGACGTCAGTCATGGCAACGTCTTCAACATCCCCGCTCCCGTCTTGCGGGTCTGTGCTTGGTAGCGCTGCGGAATGCGGTCTCCTCCACTCGTCGTATTCCATACCGGGTTTGGGGAGGCGTGCACTGTTTGACCGGAAATCGTCAAACTCATCCTCGGGTGGTGTGAATGACCAGACCTAGCACGTTCAGTAATCCGCTCTGATAGATGACAGTCCTGGCGAACTCACCTCCATGATGGTCCGGCCACCTCTGTTAGCCATGATAACGCACTTCTCTTCCTCGAAAACCACTCTCCATACGGATTCTGCAGGCGTGCTCAATTCCCGAACCAGACTCCCCTTCTTGAGGTCCCAGATTTTGACCCTGCCGTCACTACCGCCGGAGACTATCCTCTGATTGTCAAACTGCAGAGACGTGACCGAGTTATCATGAGCCGCCAGCCTATGAATGGCTTGGTAGTCGGTCAGGGACCAAACACGAACACTGCCATCGCTACCTCCAGTAACGAGAATGTCGTCTCGCATCTGTAGCTGACCCACAAGGGACGTATGCCCTTGGAGAACCGACAGGCATCTCCTGCGAGACGGTAGTCAGCAAATCTGTACAAAATCAAAGGAGTGACCCTTGTGCGAGGAATGCCCCTGTTGATGCAACTTACCCATCGTTTGGATCCCATATCCGGACGCTGGTATCCAGGCTGCCCGTCGCAATCTTCTTCCCATCAAATGCAATCGCGTAAATCTGGCTGAAATGCCCAGTGAGGGTGCGTAAACACCGCCCCTCGGAAATGCTCCATATCTTTGCCGTCGTGTCATAACTGCCACTGACAACGATATCGCCGTGAATCTCGAGACATCTGACGCTAGCTTGATGCCCGACAAGTACGTGTTTACACAGCCCCCTCTTCAGATCCCAAATCCGTAGCGTAGTATCTCTTGAGCCAGATATGGCAGTGTTGGCGTCAGACATCTTCAAGCATCTGACGGTCGATGTATGTCCCCGCAAAGTGAATTGTGGAGTCCTAGAACAGTCAGCCAAAATCATACTACGGTGGAGGATCCAACATAACATACCCAGTTGCAAGATTCCATACCCTGACATCCCTGTCGCACCCGCCAGACACCAGCAGATCTCGCCACGGAACCATTGCCCAGACCCCCATAACGTGCCCCTGGAGCGTCTTCTGATGATGTCCATTAACATCAAAGACGTGGATTTTGGCATTGTCGAGCGCAACAACAATGTACTTCTTCGTCAAGTGTAGGCTGGTGACAACGCCTTGATCAGGGGTTATTTGACGAGCGTCGCAGCGCCCTCCCGATCTCCACGCCGTCTCCACCATATATTTTTGTTTGAAATGAGAACGGTAAGTCGTCGGTCTCGGTCGCCGTTGTGACAACATTCTTTTAGACCCACGATCGAGACTTTGCGTGCGCAGGCCCTCGGAGGGAGACGTGGAAGGACCAGCCAGATGTTCCTTCATCATGACGTCCCCTACCCGGGACGTGCGATCCGCTTGAGCCCATCCTGTGGGCCTGTCGTCCATAAGTCCCTCGCCACCCTCCTCCTCCTCCTCACCCATCTCTTCTTTGGACAACGCGCGGTACGAGAACTTTCTGCATAATGATCTCCACGGGGTGTCATCGCTGACCAGTTCGCGCCACTTTCGGGAAACTTGGGAGGCTCGCGCAAGAGACGTAGGATCGTCAACATATTCCAGAACCTGACAGGGTCAATCCGAAAGTCTCACGGATTTGTTTAACAGCAACAAACCTTCAGACACAACTCGGGGGGCAGGGCCATGAAGGGATCCTTCTTCAACCTCGGGCCCACGAATTCCGCCACAAAGCTCAGCTCATGGCTCCCACACAAGTTGAGGAGTTCGCCGAGAAGGCGCAACCGCTCATCTCCATTCATGTCCTTGAATAGGGCTCGGATACTCTTGATTTGCGAGTCCTCGTGCTCGGCAGCGGTGCTCCAGTCCGGAACCCGCTGATGTGGTGTGGGGCTGGGGGCGGGCGTCGGCGGTCTTATGGTGGTGTTCATGGCTTCGGGACTGGAAGTCAATGTGAGGTTCTTCGACCGTGATAACCTGCTCTGTCTTCTCGGGCGCCCCGTCGAGGAGCCTGCCATATCTGTGTCGCTATCCATGGTGAGCAACTCTTGCGGGCCCAGCTAGCTGATTGCCGGCTCCGTTGTTCGCCACTGCTCAAGATATCGCCCTCCTCAATCCAGCAACCGCGGAAGAGCGGTAGAGTAGCAGAAAATATACACGATCGGAGGAGTGCGTCGTTGCGTCGTTGCGTCCCGATGGTTTGGCGTAGGAGGGCGCTAAGGTTTCGACGTTCAGGTGTAAGATGACGGGAGGGCTGGGAGGGGGGAAACGACGTTTGAAAAGTGGTCAAAACATGGTTCAGAAGGGTGCGCAAACGTAGGAGGGCTAGGAGAACGCGGCGAGCTCGAAAAACGCAAAACGGGCCGTCAAGGAGTGTTGCCATGATTACAGGATTCACGCCGGACCGTTGACTAAGCGGTGAGGTCACGTGCGAACCCCTGCGGCTGACCTCCAGGACTTTAAAACCAGAAAACAACTCCTGAGTCCTGGCGTTTGTTTGAGAATGGCATGCATCAGGCCCCAAGTCAGCGTGCACACGACCAAAAATAGTCCCGACACTGGATCGCGTGCTCCCTCATCCTCAAATTGCCGTGGGAGGTCGTCGAGCGTTGTGCAGCAAAAGCCGATAGCTGCCGCAGAGCCATCCGCACCTGCAACTCGAAGACACGGGAGAGAGGCACAACGACGTTTGTTCCTGAGGGGTAAATCCGCTCAGAACGCACGATCATACCGAATCTCGGTGATTGTGTAGGAAATTAACTTAATTCTTGACCGTCAGCTGGCGGCATAGGCGCAAGAGGTGGCCACACCTTGCAATTTGATGACATACCATTCAAAAGTATGCTTGTCGACTTCGTCAAACGAGCTCTCGTTACACAAAATTCCACCAGACGCTGAGAGTTAATATCGAAATCCATATGCAAATGATCTTTCCACGCAAGCTTTGTTGCAATAATTGCAAAGAAGGATTCATCTGTGCCTTGGGTTCCCTTTCGACTCAAGCCTGTGATATCTGTAGCATACAGCAAGAGACCTAGAATCGCGTCTCCACGCCTGGTTATCGAGGGGATTGGGCTTCCACAGAGGACGACTCGTAAACACTTCGTTGGGATAGAACTGCACGACAATGCTTCGATGCTTTTAGAGAGGCATGCCTACACCCTAGACTTTGGCTGGCATGTTTGAACTTAGCTGTCAACTCACGGCAATTGCATAATCAATATTGATGACAACAATCCGGACTCTGAGATGAACACGGCGTAGTGCACTGAGGTTGAAAAAACTGTCACGGTCCACTTCCACGCAGACCCCTTGCGCGCAGAGAAGAACGGCATCTGGTTGCCGCAATACCACAGCTCCGGTAAGTGATTCAAATGTAGGGGTACGTATATACCATCAAATATAATATTACAGCGACTGTCCCTTCAAGGTGAAGTACGTTGAAGGAATATGACAAGCATGGTTTCCGTGGTGCTCGATGAATAACGACGCACACACGTCTCACAACCAAAAGTTATACTCTGACCAAGAAGCTCTACGTCCCGATGTAAATAGTTGTCCAGAACCATGCAGGGCAGCACCCTGCTAACGAAGCACTTTCCAGATCAACGCTCCAACCCGGAAACACTGGCACATCAAGCAGCAAAAGCACGAACACTCTCTTGAGAGTTCCATGTCCTGGCTCCCAAGAGAAGGCTTGCTGATGGAATTGCACAGCGCTCTTCCCACCTCGGCCTCACGACAAGCTGCCACTGTGTTCCCCGCCGTCGCGCTGGAACAATGTCCTTATTCGACGGTAATCATCGACCCTAATTCACTCGCTTTCTTCAACTACGGGCTTGTTGTTCCTTTCTCTTCGTCCTTTGGCCTTCGTCTGGTGGCTTCGATATCCTCTCGACCCTGCGAACCAGCGTTTCTGGCCGAATGTAGCCAGATCTGAGAAGCTGGCCATTGCATTTCCAATACGACAGATTTGTTAGCTCACGGTTAACATCGACTGCGTATTAGGAATGTGAGCCTCAGAGTGTTCAGGCACTCCCGCGCTTTGCCCAACGATTGTTTCTCATCCCAGAAAACAACTACCTTGCACGCCTATACTCGCCCTTCCGCATCACCTCCTTAAGGCTATCCTGCTGACTTGGAAGAGGCGCGCGTCTCCTAACACCAGCGCCGTTCGCGCCACCGGCGCCCTGCGACGACCCACCTGCACTAGACGGGGCATTCGCGACCGGTGACGGGGCCGAAACACCAGCCGGTGGCGGCGGAGGGAAGCCAGGGAATCCTTGAGGAGGGAAAGGCGGAGGAGGTCCTCCCGGAGGGAAGCCAGGCATTCCCGTCGGCGGCGGCGCAAAAGGAAAGTTTCCGGGGAACGGCGGTGGTGGGAATTGTGGATGACCAGGTATAGCACCCGGCACTGGTGGTGGCGGAGGGGGAAGCTCTCCGGATTCGATCTTTTTGCGAATCCACTCGGGATCCATGGGAATGGACGGTGGTACACTCCTTGGAGGGAAAGGAGGTGGGGGAAAGCCTACTGGCAGGGTGGTTGGAGGGGGCGGTAGTCCGCCAATACCGGGAAGTGCGCTGCTTGTGCCATCGCTCGCGGTGTTGAGACCCGGGAGGGCGGCGCCAGGGGGAGGTACGGCTGCATTTTTCGAGGGCATCTTCTGGTCGACCAGACCCTCCGCCTCATCCTCTGCCTCCTGCTCTTCTTCCTCACGCATTTGTCTCCAATTCTGATGCCGATCCAAGGTGCCCTGAGCCTCAGCGGCAGCCTGGCCGATATGGTAACGGTCATTCACAAAAGAGACGTCCCCTGGCCGCGGCCGGGTCCAGAAGCGCGTAACACGGTCGTTCGAACCAGATGCCAGAATATGCCCCAGCGGGTGCCAATCCAATGTCCAAACAATGTAATCATGAGCATGCCGAATTGAATGAGCAGGATATATGGTCTGGATAGGAGCAGTCTGAGGGTCATGGCTATCATAAGGTGAGAGTGATATTGCCACGCCAGGAGGCGGATTCTGTTCATCGAGGAGGTAGTGGTTGATGCTGCCGTCGACACAACCCGTTGATAGTAGATTTCGGTGTAAAGGATGCCAGGTCACTGTTATGACATCCTTATCGTGTCCGCGGAGCAATAGGACGTCCCGCATCATGCGTAAGTCAAATATGCGCGTTGTGTGGTCGCGGGCGCAGGTAGCTAGGAGAGTTCCCTGGCTGGGCTCAAATTTGGTTTCCGACAGATTGTTCTTGTGGCCGTGGAGGGTGGTCAAGCAGCGGGCATTACGAGGATCCCATAATTTGACTGTGTGATCTTTGGAACCGGAGACGATCAAGCCTTTGTGGGGATGCCAGTCGACGCACTTGACTTCCCAGCCATGGCCTGTTAATGTAGACTGTTCCGAGCTTGTTGCGAAGTCCCAGATTTTCAAGGTCGTGTCATCGGCACCAGTGACGAATTTTGCGTCAGTCGGAGCTATAGCCAGCCCGCGGACTGCTTCTGAATGTGCCTGGATCTCTTTGACATTGTTGAAATTCGTCTGCCAGTACTTGACGATTCCGTTCTGATCGGCGGAAAGCAACCAGTCGTCCGTGTGGGTATAGGCGACGCAACGAATGGCGGATTCGTGTGCCTGCATGATGGTCTCGAAGTTGAAGCCCATCCCGTTCCATAGTGTGAACTCTCCGCTTGTCGATCCGGTAAGCAGGCGGCGACCTTCTGGGGTCCACTTGACTACATTGATGGGGTGCTTGACTTTATTCAGGGAAGAGTGGAGGGCTTTGGCGGGTATCGAGTCGGCGGCGCTGGTCAGTCGAGCGGAGGGCGGTTCCATCTACTCGACTGTTAGCGATGTCAACGGTATATTGGGCGAGCAGCGAGTAGGTCGTAGCTCACATCGACAATGTAGCTTGCGCTCGGCCGCTCCATCTCCAGGATTGGAGCATGTTTGTATCGCGCCCGGCGGTTCCGCATCCATTGGACCGTGGTGGAGCCATAATCGGTCACAGCGCCTGTGAAAGATGTGAGTACAGCGGCATATGGGATTGCATGCAAACAGACGCCGAAATAGTGCGCGAGAGACGCACAATCTGCGGTCGGGTTGGGGTGTTTCAAGGCCTCTCTGAGCCCTTTCAAGCATTGAATATTCTAAGAAACGACTAAAGATATTCACTCACGTTTGGGTCGGGGACGCTGGCCACCCTCATAATGAGGAGGGTGGTATTCGCCGCGATCCATGCTGCCAACTGTTACCGGACGGGAAGCATTAAGATGGAATCGGACACGGAGTCGGGTAGCTGCAATCTTCTGGCCGTCTCCACGGCCGCGGCTGCTGAAGCTGCTTTGTCGGAGTTCATGGAAGAGGTGCAGCTTGGGCCATGGCGTTTGCCTTGGCGTTAACCAGCCACCACCGCCACAGGTTCTGATGCGTCTCAATCCGGAACCCCCGCAGTTGACGTCCTTATCGAGGTTTGGGGGCATCATGGATCGAGTCTCCATTTCCATCTATGCGGCCCATTTCCATCGCTCTTCTCTTTGCGCCATCATGACCCATTGCCACCCGCCGTCCATGCCACCAGCACTGGCAGTCCTTCACATGCCGCTTGCATCGGCGCAAACTCCATTCCGATGAGCCTTCCGTCCGTACTCTTGCCGCAATAGTCGTCACTGTCAAATTCCTCGCCCACCACTCCTTTTCCGCTCTCCAACCACAATTCAGTTATCAGACGCACCGAGCACCAAACGAGAGACCAATTCCACGGCCCGTTCCATACTCCGTCGAATGCCCATGGCAACGCAAACCTCGACCATTGACAGAAGCCCGATATACCCGACAACCATGTCTGAGGATGACGCTTCTTCCTCCCCTGCCTCGCCCTCCGACTCCACCACCACAAAGCAAGCCGCCAACAGTACCACGCGCCGGACCCCAGATACAAAGTATGCACATGTGTATGCAACACACTCCTCGAAGCGCAATTCACGCTTGAGCCAGGATGCCGAAGTGGCACCCAGCTTCGTGGGCTTCCGGAACCTCATGGTCCTGGTTCTGAGTACGCATTCCTGAATCTGGCCCACCAATCCCGTTTCTAACCCAGTCACAGTCGTGTCCAATTTTCGGTTGATGATTGAGAATTTCCGAAAGGTGCGTCTAATCTCAACAATGATTGGTCCGCATTCTAACAGGTCCAGTACGGCGTCCTTATTTGCATCCAGTGCCACGACTATCGCCGCCAAGACCTTCTCAATGGCCTCTACCTCTACTGCCTCGTCCCCCTCCAGCTCTTCGTCGCCTACCTAATCGAATATGTTGCGGCCGATCGTGCCAAAGCCGCTGTAGCGCGCATGAAGCGCTCTGGGGAAGACCTAAACACCCCCGAGAAGCAGCGACAAGCCCTCCGCAGCTTCAGATCGACTTGGTACCTGATTGCCCTCTGCCACGGCATCAACGCCACCATTGGACTCGCCTACGCTACCACAGTCGTCTATTACGACATCTACCACCCAGGCATCGGCACCATCTGCGAACTCCACGCCGTCATTGTCTGGCTGAAGAGCTGCTCCTACGCCCTCACAAACCGTGACCTCCGCCATGCGTACCTGCATCCCAGCTACGCTCAGGCCCTCCCAGACTTGTACAAATCATGCCCGTACCCCCGGAACATCAACCTTAAGAACCTCTGCTACTTCTGGTGGGCTCCAACCCTAGTCTACCAGCCCGTCTATCCCCGAACCTCCCACATCCGCTGGACCTTCGTCCTCAAACGAATCGCCGAATGCATTGGCCTCAGCATCGTCATCTGGATCGCCTCGGCCCAGTATGCAGCCCCATTACTCCGCAACTCGCTCGACAAGATCTCCACCCTCGACCTCGTCTCCATCTGCGAGCGCGTCATGAAGCTCAGCACCATCTCCCTCTTCTGCTGGCTCTGCGGCTTCTTCGCCCTCTTCCAATCCTTCCTCAACGCGCTGGCCGAGATCATGACCTTCGCGGATAGGGAGTTCTATGGCGATTGGTGGAACGTGAGTTCCATCCGCACGTACTGGACGACGTGGAACAAGCCCGTGACGAATTTCATGAGGAGGCACATCTATAGTCCGCTGGTGGCGAGGGGGTGCCCAAAGGGACTCGCGCAGATGATTGTGTTTTGCATCTCGGGCGTGCTGCACGAGCTGCTCGTCGGGATCCCCACGCATAATGTCATTGGTACGATAAGCTACCTTTTCTTCTGCATGCCCCACATGTTTGTGCAATCGGCTAACCAGAGTGTCTTGTGTTTTCAGGCGTCGCCTTCGCGGGCATGATGTTCCAGATTCCCCTCATCCTCTTGACCGACGTCATCCAGACGTTCAAGGGCATCCGGGGTAAGGTCGCCGGCAACATGATCTTCTGGATCTCCTTCTGCATCGTCGGACAGCCTCTGGCGGCGTTGCTGTACTTCTTCGCGTGGCAGGCGAAGTATGGGAGCGTGTCAAGGCAGTTTCAGGAGAGTCCGGCATTGAATCTGTTCAGGAGACGCTGAGATGGGGAGATGGTATTCGTGGGCTACCGGTTGTGGATAGGTTTTTGGATAGGGGTGTATAGACATTATCGCTCTATATGTTTCACAGGGGTGCTGTGCATGGTCGTTTATTGGTATGATTGCTCGGGTCGAGATATAGACTACTACTACTTTGCTAATTCGTAATCGTCAATTGTATACATGCGTACGTGTATCCTCTATATATCTTCTCCATGCTTCCATCCCTCCTTCAAGTCCCCGCCCCAGTCTGATGAAAATGCTCCTTCTCAGAACTCCTTCAAGACGCCCAGATCGGCGATCCCGTCAAATCTGCTCACCCGCGCACGCTCGTTCCAGTCATTCCTCCCCTCAACAGCACCCTTCCGCCTCTTCCACAGCTCATCAATGAAGGCCGGAATAAAAGTCCCCGGACCCTGCACATCCTCCCTCTTCGCCGCATCTTCGGCAGCAAGCTCAAAATGCAATATCGCCGCCACAACCGCATGCAGCTTGTCCTCTGGATTCGCCGCCAAATACGCCGAAATGGTCGTCCCGAGCGTGCATCCGCTCCCGGTCACGAGTCCCAGGTACTCGTGCCCGTTCGAGATGGCGTACGTGCGGACGCCATCGCTGACGATGTCCGTCTCACCCGTCATGAGTACAATGTTGCGTTCCCGGCGGGCCAGATACGAGACGTAGTACGCCTTTTCCGCTTTGCCCAGGGTGGATGCGCCGCTGTCGACGCCTCGCTGTTTGCTGCCTTGCTTGCTCGGTATGCAGCCAGATGCGATAGCTACGGCAAGGATCTCCTTCTCGTTCCCCTTGATGACGTCGAAGTAGCCGCTATCCATGAGATACTGCAATGCCTCTTTTCTTGCAGCTGTTGCTCCCGCTCCTACGGGATCAAGGACCACCGGTCGGCCCTGCTTGTTGTAAGCTTGTATGGCCTGGCGCTGGTTTACCAATGTCTGAGGAGTAGATGTCCCCATGTTGATTACCAGTGCGCCTCCGAGGGCCGCGAGATCTCCGGCTTCGGCTCCATTGTTGGACATGATGGGAGATGCCCCGATGGCGAGGGCTAGGCTCGCGGCGAAGTTCTGCACAACCAAGTTGGTCATGTTGTGGGAGAGTGGAGAGGCCTCATGTACGTTGCACATGCAGTGCTGGGTCGAGGTTCGGAGGGCAATAAACTCCTCATTAAGAGAGGGGTGGCGTGTCGGTTGGTACTCAACAGGGCGTCCGAAGGCGGGCATAGCATTCCATGCCTCCTTGAGGGCTGCTGCTGCTTCTTGAGGGTTGACAGTATGAGACATGATGGCACTGACGATGGCAACACCATCGATGGTCTTCCGCGAGCCATGAACATCCGCCGGGCCAGGAGCGAATAGTTTGTGCTTGATGAGCTGGATATTAGATAGGTTGACGCCTCCTATACAGACGGTTTTGACGTTCTTAAACTTCGCGTCCTCGTGATTTCCCAGATAGCTCAGAATCTTCCTGACACCGTTCACCCCGATAATGTCTTTGGTGTTTTTCTTCGTGGCGGTGGCATACAACGTCCCAATACCGAGATAGTCAGCTCCTTGCTCGACGGCAATGCGGACCTCGTCGATATTCGAGACTGTTGCTCCAATGATCTTGTCGGGCCCCAGTAGTTTGCGAGCTGACTGCACCTGCATGTCATCTTGACCTAGATGCACGCCTTCGCAGCCTACGGCGAGAGCAACATCGACACGGTCATTGATGACAAGGGGGACATTGTATTTCCGACATGCTTGATGAAGGGCTTTGCCTGTGCTGATGAGGGCGCCGGTGTCGCTGGTCTTGTCTCTATACTGGACTATCGTCACGCCTGAGAAATCGTCAATGTGCTGTTGCGGATATGGGGCGTCATGAGAGGCACATACCTCCTTTCAGAGCCTCTTCGACAACAGCGACCAGATCCCGTTGGCCAAGAATGGGCTCGGTTGAGTCAGTGACCAGGTAGATGGAGTAGTCGACTTGGGGTGCCATGGTACTGTTCAGGTCAGTCTCGAAAAGCGGGATTCCCAACGTAAAACACAGTATGATCCTCTTTTCTTGCTACGCATGTTGATGCTCCGAGGAGGGTTGCTCAGGGGTTGCATGGACAGAAGCGGGGCATCCGAATGACGCATAACAATCGAAGAAGAGGGAGAAGGCGACGGAGGAGAGGTGAGAGAAGGATGGGAGAGCGGATGGGATGAGGGGGGGGAAGAATTGCAGACTACCATGAGGGACATACTTGGAAGGCACGTAGAGTAGTGTACCTAAGTAGGAAGGAGTGCCGCAGTGAATGGTCAGATCCCGTGACCCGATCTGCTAGGACACCAACACAATAAGCAATCAGACTAGCGGCGAGAAAGAATGAAATTGTCCGCACAAGGGAGGCTGATTAAACAATTGCTGAAAAAATTCTTTTGTCGGCGGCGACCGGGGCGGCTCTTTTGCGAGCTTGTTGGGTGGGGTGGTCACGGCTGGGGAGTCTTCACTGCCCAGGTGTACAAGTACTAGATCATAAATGTATAGATTGCCTGAGAGCATCTTCCACGCACTTTCTCGCACTGCAAATCGCTACGCCTCCGTATCTTCTGGTCTCAGCAAATAAACTCGGCGGTTGTATCCTAAAGCCGTAAAATCCTGCTTGCCGCCGTGCGAGATCAGATGTCCCCACGTGTGCCGTGGTTCGCTGATTTGTCGGCCAGCTGGTAGGGCTCGGCGCTGCCTGGGTGGAACCTCCGTTTCCCGACCCGCCGCGCGCTCTTAAATTCTCTGCTCCATCTCTCGTTGCCCCCTCTTCTCTTACACTCCACTCTCCCCTCCCCAGCAACAACGCTGATTGCCGTGCTCCACGCCTGCAACTGCTGCCATCGCTTGCTCCAAGACAGAGAATCCGAGCCCTGTTCCTAGCCACAGTCCGTCGGCCGCTCGCAAACCTTTGGACCAACCCCAAACCAAACCGCCACTCGGTGCCTGGGCGTTCTCCCCAACCCACAAACCCATCGACCACCCGTCTTCAGCGTGTCGACAACTGCAGTATATGTATTCGCCCCAAAGATACGCTTTCGCACGCGATCCTCCGCCCGAACCGCAACCATTTCGCAGAACGTGGAATCTTTGTAGTATCCACCACTCGACCAACGGCTAGCTAGTCAGCCCCCATCCGTGGCACGGTTCACACGCACTCAAATCCCAATATCCGAGAGCCTGCATTACTGCATGTCTCTTTCGACCGTCTTTAGCGATTACGCTTCTTCCATAGACGTCCCTCCTCCGCACCCCCAGTAAACCAGCCTACATTCTTCGACTCGACTTCCAACCGCAACCATGGCCACCGTCAACATTCGCCGCGATGTCACCGATCCCTTCTACCGCTACAAGATGGAGCGCCTCCAGTCCAAGATTGAGGGCAAGGGCAACGGCATCAAGACCGTCATCGTCAATCTCAGCAGCGTTGCTCAATCCCTGGCCCGCCCGCCTTCCTACGTCATCAAGTACTTTGGCTTCGAGTTGGGTGCCCAGACCAACACCAACCCCACCGATGACCGCTGGATCATCAACGGCGCCCACGAGGCCAGCAAGCTCCAAGAGTATCTCGACGGGTTCATCACCAAGTTCGTCCTTTGCAAGCAGTGCAAGAACCCCGAGACCGACGTCAACATCAAGGATGGCAACATCTTGCTTGATTGCAAGGCTTGCGGTCAGCGCACTGCTGTCGACCTTCGCCTGAAGCTCAGCTCCTTCATCTTGAAGAACCAGCCCAAGAAGGGTAAGAAGGACAAGTCGACGAAGAAGGCTGAGCGCCGTGCCCGCAAGGAGGCCGAAGCCAACGCGGAAGCGAATGGCGATGATGCCTCCCCCAACGGCGGAAGTCCCGGTGACAGTGCCGATGACCACGAGGTTGGCGATGTCGAGCTCGCAGCTGGTAGCGACGATGAGTTCACTCAGAAGATCAACGAGGGTGCTAAGGAATTGGAGGATGCTGAGGACGTCAAGGAGGTCGAATGGACCGTCGATGTCTCTGAAGAGGCTGTCCGTGCTCGCGCTCAGGATCTCCCCGACGATCTCAAGCAGAAGCTCGTTATTGACGAAGAGGATGAGGGCGAGGGCGGTTCCAGCTCGTATGAGACGTTGGGCAAGTGGATTGAGGATACGGCCGCGGAGAAGGGCGGCGTTGACAAGGTTGACGATGTCGCCATCTACCTCAAGGCCCAGGAGTTGGGCATTGAGAGGAAGCACCGCACGCTTACGGTCCTCGCTCAGACTCTGTTCACCGAGAATATCGTCAAACAGATCCCGAAGCGTGCCGGTCTTCTTCGCAAGATCATCCGGTCCTCGGAGAAGTCGACAGAGAAGCATGAAAAGGCCCTCCTCGGCGGTACCGAGCGCTTTGTCGGCATCGAGAAGCCGGAGCTGATTCCGCAGATTCCTGTCATCTTGATGGCCTACTACCAGAACGACCTTGTTTCCGAGGAAGTGTTCAAAGCTTGGGGCTCCAGGGCCAGCAAGAAGTATGTGGACATCAAGACGAGCAAGGCGGTTCGCAAGGCGGCTGAAAAGTTCATCGAGTGGCTGGAGACTGCCGAGAGCGATAGCGAGGCCGAGGATTCCGACGACGAGTAAGTGGTTCATCCACTGGTGCCGGCGAAATCGGTCAAGAAGACTGGACAACGTGCTGAAACCATTCTCCTCCGTAAAAGTTGGATAATGCCTTTCTGATTCCGGACGAAGCTCCACTGCGATGTTGAATTTGGCGAGCTTGGTGTTATCCTTGTTTTCGTTCCTCTTTCCTTACCGCGAGCCTCTGCTGCCGTTCATTCTGGCTGGCACCGCCGTGCGGTTCAGTGGTTTCGCAGAGGTCTCGTTTATGTGGATTGTGTAGACTCCCCGCTCCTTCAACCTTAAAAAGACTCAACAAAAAACTGGTTTCATCAATACCATGCGTCAACCCATTATTACGTGATGTATTCTATCCCAAGCCGCCCGGGCGCCTTCAGATGATGTCTTCCCTCGCATTCACCAATACAAGCTGCGTCGCATGATGCCTTCCAGATGTGCCTGTGGGGTCCTCGATAGGGCTAGCCTCGGAGTAGGATTTCATGAGCCAATCAGAGCCTGTTTTCCCCGCGATCCGCAACTCTAGCCCGAAAAAGAAATTCTGATAGCATTCCTTCCACTCCTCCCTCAAATCTCTTCTCCTCTTCCAACCCCATCCACCTTTGGGAAAACAGTGAGCGACTTCTGGAGTTTTGCGCTCACGTTGCAGGCGAAAAGCTCCAATCTATATTCTTAATCTTCCGTCTTCTCCTTGTCCTTCAGCGCTCTAAGTCTCGTCGCACCCCTGCAGAGTTCCCCCACGTCTGTCTTACGATACACAAGGCTAGACATGACGCACACCGAACCCCAGGCCGTCTTTGACAAAGGCGATGGCCTCAGCGTTGCTGCGACTGAGCAACCTCCTACGACGACCGTCCACCCGAAAAGCGCGACGTCAGGCCGCTCGCACTCTGAGAATGAGCCTGCGGACGGCGTGACCGACGCGGCTGAGTACGCTGGATGGGAGCACAACCCGGTTTTGGAACGGGATGCTGAAACCAAAGGGACGTGGTTTGCTTATATGAAGACGAAGCAATTCTGGGTGGTGCTCGTGTTGGGGCAGGGTATGTGCTTAACTTCCTCCAAAGCGACTGAAATGAAGGCTAACATCACTGAACAGTCCTCGCCATATGCATCACCTCCACGAACACGCTGTCGACCCTTCTGAGCATGGAAGGCACCTCGATTCCCGCCTTCCAATCCTTCTTCAACTATGTCCTCCTCAACCTCGTCTACACCACCTACACCCTCTACCAATACGGCTTCAAGCGCTGGACCCGCATCGTCTTCCGCGACGGCTGGCGCTTCTTCATCCTTGCCTTCTGCGACGTTGAAGGCAACTACTTCGTTGTGCTCGCCTACCGCTACACCACCATCCTGTCGGCCCAACTCATCAACTTCTGGGCCATCGTGGTCGTCGTCATCATCTCCTTCATCTTCCTCAAGGTCCGCTACCACTGGACCCAGTACGTGGGCATTCTCGTCTGCATCGGGGGCATGGGCATCCTGTTCGGCTCCGACCACTTGACAGGCAACAATGCCTTCCCCGCCGCGGATGCAGTCAAGGGCAACCTCTTCGCCCTCCTGGGCGCAACCTTCTACGGCCTGAGCAACGTCTTCGAAGAATTTCTAGTCAGCAAACGCCCAATGTACGAAGTCATCGGCCAACTCGCCTTCTGGGGCATGTTCATCAACGGCGTCCAAGCCGGAATCTTCGACCGCTCCTCCTTCGCCTCGGCAACCTGGAACTCCAAAGTCGGCGGCTACCTGACTGGCTACACGCTCATCCTCTCCCTCTTCTACTCCCTCGCTCCCCTCGTCTTCCGCCTCTCCTCGGCGGCCTTTTTCAACATTTCCCTGCTCACGGGGTCGTTTTGGGGCGTTGCCATTGGCGTCGAGGTGTTCCACTACAACATCCATTGGATGTATCCGATTGCGTTTGTGTGTATCATCTTGGGGCAGGTGGTGTATTTCTGTAGGCAGAGCATGTTGGCCGAGAGCAATAAACCGTGGCTCGGGGAGAATCAGGAGGAGGGCGTTGCGGGGTTGGGCACGGCCAAGAGGAGGGTAGAGAGGCCGAGTGCCATTGTTTAGAGGGGCGGAATAGTGTGGAGTGGGATAATGGGGTGCCCTAGCCGTCAATGACGATGACTGGAGAATAAGGTGGAACTGGGTTGAATTGGGCTTCCAGTTCGGATGATTGGAGAGTATTCATTTGACTGCCATCTGGAGGAGTATATATGGCTAACGCTCGCTAAGCGTGCGAAGAGACTTGGTTAATCGTAGTATATAATGGAAACGAAGTACATAGAGAATTCAATCATCAAGACGAGGTTGAGATCCAAAACCACCCCCTCGACACCTGCGCCAGGTATATGCAACGTTAAGCAAATCGAATGAGCATGTCCCATCCTTCAAGATTCCATCCTCCTAGTCCACGCCCTTCTCACATAACCCTAGACATCCCTCACCTCAACCTTGATCCCCCACTCTCCCAACCTCTCCAAAAATTCCTCACCCAACATGGCACTCGTCACAAACTCTCCACCCATCCTCCCCGCCTCCGTCTCCCCCACCTTCCCCCTCAAAATCACATCGGCCGCAGCCGTCATCGTCACAGCCGTCATCGCATACCCACCATACGGCGCATCCAGCGACGCCAGCACCTGCTGCCTTTCAGGCGTATCCGCCACCCCCACAGCCCTGTAGCTGAAGAAATCGCCTTTGCGCTTCTCCGCCGAAGGTCCCTCGCCGGGAGCCGGAAGCACGAACCTGTCCAGCAGCCGAGTGAGGAGCGCCCTCGAGACGGGGAACGCCATCAGGACTCCGAAGAGGCCGACGGCGAGCTTTATTGCGAAACCGACGAGTACGTTCTTCGCGCGCATGTGCTCTGTGAACCTGAAGTTCGGACCGTAGGATATCTCTGGATTTGCAGTTTCTTTTGCGCGCGCCTCGTAGAGGCCCCAGGAGCGGTGGACGAGGGCCGTGTCGACTGCACCCAGGGGCTGGACCGTTTGGACGCCGCCTAGTGCGGGGATAGAGTGGAGGCCGAGCATGCGGTAGAAGAGGTTTCCGTTTCCCGCTGGGGGTTCCTTGGAGAGTGCGGGGGGAGGGATGGGCGACATGGATAATGGTTTCATGGCCTGCGCGAGTTTCTTGAGCGAGTACTTGGAGAACATCCTCATGACTGTGGAAGCCGTGCCGCCGCTCAGTCCCGCTTTCATGTCGTACAGGGACATTGTCACGGAGAGGGTTGGCGCGTTGAAGGTCCGTCGGATGTGGCGGGTTATGGCGTAGGTGAGGATGTCGGCGGGGACGGAGTCGAGGCCGCATTGGGGGATGATGAGGGCGTGGTTGCGGGTCGCGAGAGAGGTGTAGGTGCGGATCATGTCGAGGTGCCAGGGGACTTCGCCGGTGGAATCGATGTAGTGAGTTCCCTAGGGAGGGGGTGTTAGATGGAGTCGTATTCAGGGCGAAAAACGGGGAAAGTAACCTTTTCCGCGCACGCGGCGAGGACGGGCTCGCCGTAGAACATGAAGGGGCCTATGGTGGTGATTATGAGGCGGGTTTTCGATGCCAGCGATTCCAATTGGTCTTTCTCGAGCTCGACGGTTTCAATGGCTGATGGAATGTGTTAGCACACTGCGTACTGTCTTCTCAAAAACAGGGAATTGCTCCTACATGGCGGCTTGCGATCCGGATTCTGCTTCGCCAAGTCATCGACCACTGCCTGCAGCTTCTTCGAGTCGCGTCCAGCTATCGCCCATCTCAGGTCTGTAGGTAGATGGCCACTGATCCATTCTGCGGTGAGCTTGCCTGTGTAGCCGGTTGCGCCTAGGAGGACGAGCTCGTATTGCCGCGAGTCTTGTTGGCCCATGGCTCAATTTTCTGAGGGCGAGGAGCTGTTGGGATGGGTGTTGTAGGTGTGCTGGAGAGGGGGCGTTCGTTGATGAGAGCTCCTTAGTCACACCACAACCAAGCTCGCTCTTCTTTTTGTTCTGAAAACGTCATGCCGAGGCATGGACATGGGCAACGGTCAGGGCGCGTTTTGATCACATATAACGTCGTAAGGCGGCTTTCTTCGTCTTGACCCATAAAATCAAATTGAGTAAACATGTCAGAGAAAAGTGTGGTAACAAGCCTCAGGATTCAAGACGTGCTACAAGAGGGGTGGTTGACTGTCGGAGCTCTTTCGACATGTCCAGGTGGAACTTCGTTGTTCTAACCGGAGCGAGTTAGTAGGGCTTGGCAATCTCGCTTAGGCATTTACTATGGTACATCTCTCGAGTTTCAGACACGACGACCCCTCCATCACGCCCGCGGGGCATCACCATCGACTTCTCAACGGAGAAGAGAGGGAGCATGCTACTGTCCTCGACTGGATTCTGACCCTCTGCTGGCATCTTCAAGTGCATTAACCTACAGCGCTCCAAATCAAACCCGTGTATGATAGCGGGGTTCCCGACCTGGGCGCCTATCACCTCCTGTTGACACCTCAACACCCAGCGTCCGCTGCCACAAGCTCCCGTGCCAGCTTATATCGTCGCCTCGAATTCATTGCGTCCGTATTCTCCTTCCGAGAATCTGACACTCGACGATGCGCATCCGGAGACTTCAATCCAGTGTGAGTGTCAGCCTCGTCAGGCGCGTATGGCGGCATCTCACGAGCTGCGAGCTGCGAGTCTCCCGAGCAAGATAGCTAGAAATACAAACAAGACAAGTTTACAACTAGGGTGTCGAGTCTCGTACTTGACGGGCAGCTGCGAAACGGTTCGACGAGCGCTCCGATGTGCACAACCGTTGGTTTGCCGAGTCGATCTCATCATGAGTACCTCCGCTCTCCCACGCGATAAGAAGCGAATCGAATCCGTCCATGACGATATATATCCGCATGGTGCAGTCCTATCGTAGAAGGTGCCACGAGTTCTGCTATCTGGAAGACCAATTTCGGCTCCCTGAGTGCTCCGCACTCCTGATGTTGGTCCCTCCTGGGCAACGCTCTGGAATCAAAGATGTTGCACCGCCTCCCAGGTTTGGCCTTGTGTTTACCAACAAAACTCATCCCACCAGGTTTGTATATGGACTGCGTTGTAGAAGAGAATTGGACTGTGCCACATAACAGTGAAGAAGAATGACATCGTCCGATCTGGAAATGCTGGTGTCAGACGGCACCGAGAAAGCCACGGATTACTTCAGGATGACAAGAAAGTTTGAAACGCTTTTTTGGATCTTATCGTACTGTGGGCAACCAGGACTCTCTGTCAGACGGACCTCCACTTTGGAAGCACAACACGTGGTCGAGAGTGCCTAGCAGGTAGTCCTCACGGGACCCGTTCAGTCAACGGATCATGTCAAGAAAGTTTGAGACCACCATACTAGCCGGGTATCCACGAGTCCTTTCCTATCTCTCTCCTCCTACTACTGGATCTCCGCCTGCTGGCTCACTGCTCTCTCTCTCCCTCTCATCTGGTTGAGCCAAAAATGACGCTCGCGCTGGGCTGAGGCAGAACTTCCCAGAGTGGAGTGGGAGGGATGCGCCAAGTCCTCACCTGCTGCGCTAGGTGCACGGTCCACTCTCCACTCCTTCATAAGAGCGGGTCTGCCACTTCGGGTGCTACTCTGATCCCACTCAGTGGCTTGTCGGTCGACTTCTTTATGAACCCAGATTACCGCTCTTCCTCGACGCTCTCCCCGTTCAATGGCCGAGACCTGCATCGTGTGTCTCGGCGACCTCGCCCACCGCGATGGAGGCCACGTCGCCGCCACCGATGCTCCCCCACCGGATGACTCGCTGGACACCATCGCCCATAGTGCCCGCCATCCAAGCCAGCCTCGGAAGTCACCGCCTCTAGGCCCTACAGCTGCATCGGACGACAAAGAGTTGGTCGCCCACTTGCTGCCTTGCGGCCACAACTTGCACAATGAGTGTTTGAAGCCGTGGGTGGAGAGAGCGAACAGCTGCCCCATCTGCCGTGCTAGCTTCAACATGGTCGAGCTTTGCATTCAAGTAGGAGGTAAGTCGCTGAGCTTTTGCAGAAGTGATCAGGCAGATGCTAATCCTCAACTCACAGGTCCCATGATTTCGTCGTACCCCGTTCAGGACAAGCAGCAGGTTGCCGACATCGATCCGTCCATGATTGTTGAAGACGACTATACTTTTGAAGACGATGGAAGCTACGACGCCTGCATGGTTTGCGATGAGTTTGGCGACTCGTCTCAGCTCATGTACTGCCACAGCTGCGAGCAATTATGCCACGTCTTCTGTGCTGGTCTTGATCGGATGCCATCCCGCGGTGCCTGGTACTGCCAAGGCTGCATCGAGAACCCGGAACTTCTTACTGCTGCCGCCCAGCGGGGTCTACCGCGCACGCCAGCGGCATATGTCAATGGACGCTCCCTGCTGCCCCGCCGTTCTGGTGCATCAGACGAGTGGGGCCGGGTGTGGCAGAGCGTCCGGGATCGACTACATTTCGACTTGGAGTTCCCGTTTGAGGACGATGCCCAGTCGACCAGCGAGAGCCGTTCCGAGATGCAGCGGCGGGAACAGGAGGAATGGAACCAACGCTTCGACCTAGCTCGCCAGATGGGCGCGGGGAACAGATTCCGGATGGTTACAGACAACGTCCATTTCCGTCAGCCATCAACAACCCGTTCACGACACGTCAACCCCGTTCTCCATCGCGAGGTCCCCGTAACTCCAAGAAACCCAGAGTCACAGGAGGAACTGCGCGCATGGAACCAGTTCGAAAAGGCTCGAGACCAGATTGCGGAAGTGGAGGGTCCGTCTGAAGGAAACAGCCGTCGGCGCAAACGCAGGTCAGTCGACTCCACCCCTGCGGAGCCCGATGGAGCGGACCAACCTCAGCCCGAGCGGAAGTTCAAGCGACCCCGCACCCGCCTTCCTTTGGATAATGGGGAATCATCCTCCGCTGCCGCCGCTCGCCCCAGCGTGGATAAAGATACGACACAGCCCCATAGCGATGTCAAGGATGGGAGCGACTCCGGCGCCGCTCCTGGTTTTTTGCAAGCTCTATTGAGGGAACTAGAGGTGGACCGGTTTGCGGAACATGACAAAGAGATTGCTGCACCACAGCCCCGTCGTGTTATAGTCGATCGTGCTTGCTCACCCCCGAACTCGTCACCTGGTCTTTCCCCTGTATACTCTACACCTCATGGGCTGGCGACACCGCCACCCCTCACCATAAGACGCACGGGATCTCCACAGTCTGAAGACGAAGCACAAGACTCTCCAACCTACTCGCCCTATTCGCCTGTCGATGATGACGTCCGACAGAGCAGACGAAGGCAGCCGCTCCGCTCTGCGGGATTGACCAGTCCTCCTCAATCCAAAGATTCATCGCCTACCCGCTCATCGCTGTCCTATTCCACAAAATCCGAACTTCAACGCATGGTGACCGCCGTTCTGAAGCCTTTCTATCTCAGGAAGGAAATCACGAAATCTAATTACACAGACATCAATAGGGATGTCTCCCGTCTCCTCTATGATAGTGTGGGAGATGCTGGTGCCGAGGCCCTGGCCAGTGAAGAAACGAGAGCAAAGTGGCAGAAGATGGCGGCGGACGAAGTTGACAAAGCTATCCAATCGCTTCAGGCTAGCGGGTCCGCTGTTGCGACTGCGGACGACTCTGCGTCGTCTTCCTCATGAAATGATCATGCGCTCAACGAATTTCCTATCTTCAGCATAGCACTGGATGATGTCCTGTAAGGCGCATGATTTATATCTAGGTCTCTCACTTGGTTGGGCACACTGGCGTTTCTCACATGATACCATTGCGGCGCATTGGCGAGTACGAGGGGATTCGGGTGGGCTAGATACCAACTATTAGCTAGGTTCTTTTTTGGGTTGTTAAAGGTTACGAATCTTGGGTTTTAGCTAGTTGAGCGTTGCTGCCACCTGTGGGTACGGGTGCGCATTGATGATAAATGATGGAACATTTTCAAGCACCGCCCTGCGGATGCTATTGATCTGAACACACTGTTTTCTAAGTATTTGCACTCTGAGTGAGCCATATATTTGAGTGGACCTGTTAACTGAGGGGGTACTGTTACTTCACGGTCACGATATCGGTATTTGTCGAGTTTCTGTGAGGAACATATAGGAAGCCTTTGAATTCTCTGAGCATATCTCACACTGACCTGTCTATCTGTACTAGGGGAAAGTCATAACCTCGACGTCCTTCTACCTTGCAATCTCCTAATATTCTTCCTCTGTCAACTCCACATCTCCCTTCAAACCAATCAACTGAACTCCCTCATCGCCTCCAACACCTCCTTCTGCCTCTGCGCCCCCATCTTCTCAAACCCATCCACACTCATGACAAACGTGCCTCTCCCTCCGGTCAACGCCCGCAAATGATTCAAATACCCAACCATCTCCTTCAACGGCACCCTTGCCACAATCTGCCGCTGACTATCCGCCACCCCCGAGGAAGCCAGATTCCCAGAACCCGACGCAAACGGATCCGGAGGCGCATAGATCAGCGCCGGATCGATCCTCAGGACGTCGTCTTCCCCCGAGTCCGTGCCGCCGCCGCCCACGCCAGCCCCTTCGGAACTCGCCTCCCCATCGAGCGAAAGCACCTGTCCGCCCCTCGCCGAACTCAGATCCTGCACCACGCTGCCCAGACTCCGCTCATTCACGAACACGGTAACGCGCATGACGGGCTCCATGAGGACGTTTGCGCTGCGCTCGTTGGCGTGGCGCAGACTCGCCGCCACGGCGGCGCGGGTCGCCATCGATATAGCGGCTGGGGTTGTCTCGGGGTAGAGTTGGGTGGTTGCGTCGAGGGAGATGGTGATGTGTGTGTTGGATAAAGGGTAGTGGTTTAGGGGCCCGCGAGCTAGGGCTGCGGAGGCGCCGGCGTGGATGGAGGAGAGGAGGGTTTGGAGGGGGAGGTGTGGGGGGAGTAACGGGGAGGGTTTGGTCGAGGTGAGGGAGAGGGAGGGGTGCTGGATTGTTAGCGTGTTGTGGTTGTTGTCTTGGGTGGGGGGGTAGATGGTTGTGTAGGGCTCTTGGGAGGACGACTCTTCTTGGTTTGGACGGTCTGCGTTGGTGGGCTGGAAGGCGGAAATGGTGTCGGTTTCCTCGGCTGGGGAGACGCATGCTGTGATGCTTACTTTGGTGGGTTTTCCCGCTATGCTCCTGTCGAGGTCGTAGGTGAATGGTGCCGTCGCCGTGGTGACCGTCTCGCGATACCCGATTTCGATCTTGCCGATGCGCGCTTTGGCTTTGAAGTCGTTCAGGAGTCGGTCGCGGGCGATCTCCAGATGCAGGTCGCCCATGCCTGCGAGATGGGTTTGCCCGGATTCCTCGTCGACGGAGAGGTGCAGGCTGGGGTCTTCGCGGAGGAGGATGGAAAGGGATTCCAGGACGTGCTTTTCTTCGGAGAGGGAGTTGGGCTCGATGCTGGTGAAGAAGACGGGTGGGGGCACGGCGATGGGACGGAGTTGGAGGGTGTTGAGGCCTGCCGGAGGCTGAGCCTTCACGTTGAGGCCTCTGTATACGATGAGTGTGTCGCCTGTTCGGGCGTGTTTGAGTCCCGTTATCACGCCTATCTGGCCGGTTTGGATGGATTCGACTTCGACGGCGTCGTTGGCGTACATTCTCAGGAGGCGGGGCGCACGTTCAGCGGTGCGGAGGTTGGTGTTGAAGAGGACGCTGCCGCGGTCGATGGAGCCCGAGTAGACGCGGACGTAGACGAGGACACCGCGTTTGGCGTCGTTGACGACTTTGAAGGCGAGGGCGCAGGCTTGGAGGTTCTTCGCCTCGGCGATGTGCAGGCCGTGTCCTGCTGGAGCTACACCTTTTGAGCCCTTGACTTTACTGGGGGCTGAAGCCGAGGTGGGTGCGAGAAGCTGTGAAAGCGATCCTGAACGGTTCTCGACGCTGACTTCGGAATCCGGTCGTTCGAGAGGGGACGGCAGTAGGTCCACCACGGCATCGAGCAGGGGCTGAACGCCGATGTTTCGGAAACTGGCCCCTGCGAAGACGGGAATAACGGTCTGTGGTCTTTGGAGAACGACTCTTCGTAGTGACTGTATGATCTGGGCGCCTGGGATGGCGAGGTGGTCTTCGTCATGTTCCAGGAATAGCTCCACCATGCCATCGTCATGCTCGCTGAGGAGTTCGACAAGTGCCACTCGGGATTTCCTGATTTCATCGGCAAAAGAAGGATCGCTCTTCTCAAGCTCTTCCAGGGAGAAACATTTGATCTCGCTCCCATCGCTTGCACCCTGCCATAGTAGACCCCTCAAGTACACAGCATCGCCAACTCCAATAAAGGCACCATCGCCTCCCTTCCACCAGGGAATCTGACATACAGCGGGCCAGCCGTGCAATCGCACTCCTATCTCTTTCACGGTTCGAGAAAATGCGGCCCCATCCCGGTCGAGCTTGTTGACAAAGATGATGCGTGGGATGTGGTACGTCCCCGCCTGCGTCCACACCTTCTCCGTCTGAGCTTCGACGCCTGCGACTCCATCAAGGATACATACAGCGCCGTCTAGTACGCGCAGAGAACGCAGGACTTCGAAAGTGAAATCAGCATGACCGGGAGTGTCGATGAGGTTGATGTTGTGGGGGATGGACGATCGGGGAACGACTTCAAATGACGAGGGTAGTTGCTGATCCGGCTGCTGAGCGTTTTGCGGTGGCCAGTGGAAAGTTATGGCTGCGGATTGGATGGTGATGCCTCTGGCACGCTCGGCGGGGAGGAAGTCTGTGACTGTGGAGCCTTCGTCGACGTCTAAACCGCATTAGAGCTGGACAGCGGACAAACATAATTTCGAGATTTTGAACCCTCGGGAAATAGTCATTTGCGGAAAGGAAAGGAAGACAATCGTAGTCATCCAGCTGAGTAGAGGTTCTTCACATTGATTATGACACACGGGAAGGCAGCTGGATCGCAGATAGGAACAGGTGGCTCGTAAAAAAGAGGAAATGAAAAATATAAGTACGAAAGCAGAACTGAGTATGCAATATTTCCCAATTGAGCAAACTAAGGAAAATCCGACTTTCAGAATGTATAGATGGGCATATCAGAAAAGTCTTACCTCCTATTCTTCGCGTGTAGCCGCTATAGTAGAGCATACGCTCCGTAGTCGTGGTTTTCCCCTGATGTGCGTAAGTACCGTCCTCCAGGGTTATACCACAAAACTTACAGCATCTATATGCGCAATAATGCCAATATTACGTGTTTTTGATAGCTGCTGGGAAGCTGCTTGGGTTGAGAGTAACCTCCTTGGAGCGATTACATTAGTACGGTGCCGAATGGCTCGGCGGGTGCACCACACCCATCCAAACCTCATAACAGATTCTTTACCTCCCGAACCTCACGGAAACTGGAAAGCGATGTGATGGTCTGAAGACGTGGTCCAATACTTCAGTGGTACAAAGATTGTCGCGCTCGCACGTGATTCCAAAATGCACGCCTTCCCCAGATGAGCAAGCGCATCGCCAAGGCCGCATACGCTCATCAGCGTCAACTCCATGCATGCATCTAGCAGCCACCTCCACTCCATAGCTCGACGAGAGCAATCCATTCGTTGTTGTCGCCATGGATTACTCTGCTCTGCCAAACGACCCAGAGAATCCAGGCGGTGGTGACCCTTGGGCTTCCTCTCCCCAGCATAACAGGACATCATTCGCACAACCTCCCACCAGCGACATCCCGTCCTCCCCACTATCTCCCCAGGCTTCCTCGCCTTATACACAGCAATCAGACCACTATGGCTACATAGGCGACCAGGATACATCCAATCGTCCGAGTACAGCTTCCGAGCAAGGCGACAATGCATCTCAAGCTCCGGCTACCGCACCCCAATCCCCCCGCAGACAGCAGCAAGCTCAGGCGCATGGGCAGCAGGGACATCAACAACCTGCACGCTATCATGGTTCACGGCAGCAACCCCAGCGTCCCCACTATAAGCTTCAAGCTAAGATTACTGGACTCGAGCGGACGGGCCGCAAAGACCCTATCCTTCGTTTCGACGTATATGTAAGCGTGGTCCCACGCATGTACCCGTCCCGCACCGGCTACTAACTGGACCTCATCCAGACTAACCTCCCTAAATTCCGCACCACGCAATTCCGCGATGTTCGTCGTTTACACTCCGAGTTCGAAAAGCTGGCCGAGCATCTGATATCGGCGAATCCTGAAGCTTTTGTTCCCGCTGTGCCCCCGGCAGCCACGTCCGCAGGTGTCGGAACCGATGAGGACGAAGCGCGCGTAAAGGCATCAATGCAACGCTGGCTCAATGTTGTCTGCAGCAATGAGGTTCTGATGAAGGATGAGGAGATGGTATTCTTTGTGGAAAGTGACTTTGGGTACAGCCCTGTGGTGCGGAAGAAGCAACCAGCTACTGGCGTGCGTCGCAAGGTGATAAAACAGTTTGCACCTCCGCCAGACGATACTCCCGAACTTGCTGCAGCCCGCCCCGTCGTCAAAGCCTTCTATCTAGGGGCCATGGAGACAGGACAGAAGCTGGATAAGGTTGTCAAAGCAAGACGAAGTGCGTATCATTCAATATATAATGTGGCTGTTTTACTTACGGAACCAGGCCTTGGTCTCGCGGAATCCGACTTGGGCGCCAAATTCGCACAAATGCATGTGCAGGAAACGCATCCAGGGCTTAGTATGGCTTATCGTAAGTTGGGAAAGGTCATACAGGCCACCGGGGATTTCCACGCCGCACAAGGTACTGGTGAAGCGACAACACTTGGCGACCCTCTTGCGTATCACAGTAATGATGCATTCATCGTGAAGGAGACGCTGACTAACCGTCACTTAATCCTCCGCGAACTTTTGCAGGCCCAATCTACGACCCGGTCCAGAGAGTCGGCGGCGGACAGATTGAGAGCAAGCTCTAATGTGAATCGGGCCAAGGTCGATGAGGCCATCGTTCTTTTGGACGAAGCACGAAGCCATGAACAACAGTTATTTCAGAAGTCACAACGTGTAACTTCGAACCTTCTTCAGGAACAGAGGAAGTGGTTTACCCGGACTGCCGCAGAGATGAGGGCTGCAATCCGGGAATACGTTGTTCGCCAGATTGAGTGTGAACGCCGAACCCTCGCTACCCTGGAACAGGTCCGGCCCGACATCCGTGCTATTGATGGCAGTGGTGGCCTTTCTCGACTGGGTCGAGAGGCTCATCCTGCTCAACGTCGCGCCTCTCTTGCAAGTTCCCAAGGCCCCAAGGGCGACGCTTGGTCGGGCGTTCCAAGGAAGACCAACGATGGACTCAATCGGAGTATCAGTGGTAGCTTTGCTGGCGTTCCAGGAGTCCCAGAAGAGGAGGATGAAGAAGAGGAGGGCGCCGGTGGCCGGAAGCGAGCAACTAGCAAGACGGGGAGTCTGAAGGGGTTAGCAGAAGAAGATGAGGACAGAATCGACGCAAAGAACGCCGCGCAAAGGCTTGCTACTACAACCTTCTAGTAAAAGGCCGAGGATGCAACGGACACCCTCCCTGGTTTACTTCTGAATTGGACGCTTCGTTAAGGAATCTCAAGGTCAGGATTTGTGTCCTTGGAGGACGGTAAGCGAACAATTGTGGTAGCTCATGGAGTGGAAATCACAGGATACTCGGGGCTTGCACGGAGCAGATGGTGGAGGGAAGAACTTAGCGGCCACATCACCACTCATGATACCAATTCGTAGACTGTTCGTCTATTGTTGACAGTTCTGCAATTGCGCTGTGTTGATCGTTCTAGCTCTCACTACTGACGTGTTTCAGTCTGTCGTTGGGCGGGAGAGGTCTCTCTACACGCAGTCAGGTCAATCGCTCACTTGGTTATCAATAACAAGGCTCATCATCAAATGCGGCTCCAGCAGCTGTCCTGATTCGAAAGGCACAGCAACAGATATTCCAGCCATGTTCTCTCAAGCAGCTGCCTTGTTTCAACAACACACTATCTGCATGTCTACAAGGGCGATGGGCAGGTGTGATAACTCAAAGCCTGGAATTGTACAGCGAATGCCCTTGGCCCAATATGCATCCTCTCGTCCACTGACGGTCTGTTGCTTCAATGCGGTCGCCTCTGATCCAATCAGCGTCGTCGATGCCCTTGTCAGCTTTCCCATGTGTCCAATTCAGATATTAGCGGAGCGCATCTGACCTTCCTGCAGGAGGCGATCTGGGAACACCGTCTGCAGCCGACATATTTTCCCCAGAATTGGCAACGAGTCGATCATTCCGGCTTCGCTGCAGAGAAGCATGAAACAGACTTCTCTCGCCCCCCTTGCAGATGGGGCAAAAGTCGTCTGATGAATGAAGCCGGCGGTAAAGAGAGATGTGGAAATCGACAAAAAGTCGTTGGGAGTTATATTTGGCTCCGCGGGTAGGGCCTTCGGTATTTGGAGGTCACGACCTGGTAGAGGATAGATGAAGTCAATATGTCCTTGGAGCCCAACCTGGATCGACCTTCGGTATGCGCGGTCAACCGGCGGAGCCCACACACTCTGTGCAGTCTGAATCTGCAGAGCCAGAGAGGACGCACGGCCAGCGCGTGGGTTTTCCTCCCAGGTCTACGGGAAGGGACACTTTGTTCACCTGATGCTCCTCGTGCTGGGAGTCGGTACCAGCAGCGGTACTATATCGATCGTGGCATCTTTCTTGCGCCCAGACTGTGGAGAAAAGGCGGGGTCGTTATATTGCGCCGATGAGTCGAGACAGTGAATGGACGCGCTAGTCAGTTATATCTGTTGGCATTATACCTATTACCAGCCGTTGGACGTGGCGACCAATAGCCGTGCTATGGACTGGGGGGGGTGTGCGCAGGAAAGCATTTCCAGAAGCTGTCGCTCGGTTGGGGCTTGCCGTGCCTCATGCAGGTAGGTGAAGGGCGCAGTTTGTTCGAACTGAAATTTGCAGGATTGTTGTGGAAAGGGACATGTTGAGATGTGGAGACCATGAAAAGTACTTGGGTATTTTCATGACAGAAAACCACGCGATTAAAATAACTACCACAACACGGACGTCGGGCCCACCGAAAAGCTACCGCGCGCTTGGAGATGGTGGTACGAACTTCAATATCAATTACAAGTAAATCCACAGCCGATCCCCGCAAAATGCACCTCATAGTCGGATTGCCGGAGGCCCCTGGTACACGCAGTATTGTATGGCTCATCAACCGAAGGTCTCACAGCACATGACCGCGGCACCAGCTGCTGGCGAGCAGAGAAGTTGCTCGCTTTTGCGTATTATTATTTGCAACTTTATTGGAAGAATGGAACAGCATGAACGGCGACCAGGTGGGCTTGCTGCGTGGGTTGGGCACAGGATATGGGCGAAACATGCTGATGCTGCTGACAAGATGCGACGACATCGGCACCATCGGTGATCCTCTTCCTGACTCGGTGTAGTCGCACCTTTCTCTGGACGATGGACGGGGTTCCAGGACGCGAAAAGGGGAACCTGGCTGCTCTCATCGCATTCATCACGGTTCAGCTCAGTGATCCTACGAACCCCACCTCTGCGTGAGATGGGTTTGAGGTGCATACCTACGGGCCAGGTACAAACTTTCTGCTGAGGGACGCTGCAGTAAGCACGTATCGACGTCGCAGAACGGCGAGGTGATGTCTCTGGGAAATTGGGCAGGTTCGTTCTGAGGCGTTCCATGAGCGCATCTCTGCTGGCTGCCGTGTTACAGTGCAACCATTGCAATAATGTCACGTTGTGTGACTCTTGCGGCGTGGGCTTTCCAGGTATGCGTTCGCCCATCCATCCAGATCAGAGGGTAAGCGAACCGACGAAGCCGTTCGAGGCGCCGCGCGGGCCTGCGCGCCGGGTAAAAAGAGTTGGTGGTGGCATAGGAACCCTTTTGCAATTCACGGGCTGGCGGGCCAAACTCTGATAGAATTCACCATGCCGCTTCTGGGGGAGTGGAGTCGCTGGACCGCACGAACGAGGGCCCTTTCCAACAGCATCCACAAGGCTCCCAGCCCATTCAGAGGCCAACCGATTGGACTATGGACGAGGGTTCCTAGCCGGCGACACGTTGTTCGTCCAAGTCGCATACACAGAGCTCAGAAGGGTGGACGCCACATTGTTGATTACCGTAGATGGAACCAGGTTGTGACCAGGCTTTGGCCCATCCATGCTCGTCAACCTCGGGTGGAGGGTGGCCTGCACTGTGCAGGACATGGCGACCACACCTATTTCTTATTTAGACGCAACCCAGCCTGCCACCCGTGCGCTGCTTGCTTTGTCAACTGATTGATGCTGCGTTGAACTTTCTTTTTGACTGTCGAGATCCTTTCCTCTCGCGAGTCGTCGTCATTCCCTTTCTTTGCTTTTTCCCTCCAACGTCTCCACTCCCGGCGGGTCTACCCGAACCCTATTTCCCCAGATCCCCAGATTCCCAGATCGGCAGCCATTCCCGTGACCCGGGCCTCGGACGCGAGCAGATCACAATTACATATCGTGGACCGTGAACCCACAGGCAGCATGTTTCGGTATATCAAAGCTGCTCTGGCACCCAACATTGAGCCAGAGCTACCGCCCGCCTATTTCGAATCTCTCAAAGCGGCTCGGAAGCTGTCCTTCACGTCTAGCGACTTCTCCAACCCTCCAGAATTCGATCCACTGACGGCGACTGCGTGGGAGCTTTCCGAGCTGTTGAACACCGGGGCACTTACCAGCGTGGAGATTGTAGAGACGTATCTTCACCAGATTGAGCAGCATAACAGGAGGGGACGCCAATTACGGGCCTTGATCTCTGTCGCGCCAAAACATGAGCTCATTCGCATAGCGAAGAAGTTGGATGCGGAAAGGGCAAGGGGGAAACGAAGAGGGCCGCTTCATGGCGTGCCAGTGGTGCTAAAGGACAATATCATGACTGATGCAGACTTGGGAATGGATACGACCGTCGGTGCGTGCTGTCCAGTCACCATCTAATTGTCGACACTTTTAGCTAATAATGCAATTCCAGGCTCATATGCGTTCGTTGGCTGTATACCAAAGAAGAATGCTACCATAGTAGACCGACTCATCCGGCGAGGCATCATCATCTTGGGCAAAGCCAACCTCACCGAGTTCTGCGGTCTGAAGAATCCCTCAATGCCCCCGGGATGGTCGGCAGTCGGTGGCCAGTGCCAGTCACCTTATGTCGCACGGCACATTGCGAAGAAGAAGCTCCACTGGGAGCTGTCCGCTCCCGGCGGCTCATCAACCGGCCCCGCAGTCAGCGTGGCTTCGGGATTCAGCACTCTGGCCGTAGGAACCGACACGATAGGCTCTCTGATCACGCCTGCGAATCGAGCCGCACTCTACGCGCTGAAACCAACCGTTGGCGAGATTCCCATGGACGGCATTTTCTGTCTCTCGAAGACGTTCGATTCCGCTGGCGGAATGGCGAAGTCGGCCAAGGACTTGGTGGCCCTGATGGATGCCATGATGTTGCCGACAAGCAAAGAGACAGGGACCAAGATGCCCAACACATGTTTCCGGATCCGCGAGGATTGGGGGAACCTCAGGATTGGATTTACCGAGCCGACCATCTGGAAACAGTGGCGGAAGAGTGGTCGGATCAACGCCGATGCCGAGCGCTTCATGGTATGTTTTACTTCCTTACTGGGATCATGTCTGCTTCTGGAGAGACACAGATGTCTCTTTAGCGGCTGGGATTTCGGAAATTGCATCTAAGCCTTGTGGCTGTCCGTGCTGACTTGTGTGGCTTGCAGTTGCAGAAATACGACTTGGTGGTACAGTCGCTGATTCAGATGGGCGTCGACATTGTGTATCCTGTGGAGCTGCCGCCGCAGTCGAGCCTAAATTTAGAAGATGGCACGAACAGCTTTGAACCCATTGTTTGTGAGTATCCATCATCATCTGATGCCGCTATTGCAAGAATCGTGAAGACTGATGTCGGTCCGGTAGACTCCGAGTTCAAAGAATGCCTCGCAGAGTTCATCCGCCAATTCAAAGTCACAAAAGTCCACTCCCTAGCCGAAATCATCAACTTCAACCTCGAACACCCAGAGCTCTGCCTCCCACCTTGTACGTCTTCCCCGAACCCTTTTCATTTACTATCAGCTTCACTAACAGCCATGACCTCAGCCTGCCCTACACAGAACGACCTCATGGCCGCCCTCCAATCGGGCGTCATGCGCGAACAAGTCTCACACGCCCGCCAACACCTCCAAACAGCCGGCGGCCGCGACGGCCTCGACTACCTCTTTGCCGCCCACCAACTCGACATCGTCGTCGCACCAGGGGACGCAGCCCTCTCGTCCCTCGCCGCCGCCGCCGGCTACCCAACAGCCGCATGCCCGCTCTCGGCGCTCAAACTGAATGGCCAACCCTTCGGCATGACGCTCGCCTCGCGCCCGCACACGGAGCACCTCCTCCTGCACTTCCTGACGGCCTACGAAGCCACGTTCCCGCCGCGCGCGCTGCCGCTGCCCTTGTCCAGCGTGCCCCTGCAGTCGCCGAACCCGGAGCCCTTGCCCGATAAACCCATCATCGATCTCATTCTGCATGAGTGGGATACGCGACGGTTTAGTTGTAGCGCGGATGCGTTGGCGGATTGGCTCAATGCGCGCTGGAGGAAGAGCGGGTATGAGTTGAGTGCTGAGACGGTGTGCGAGGTCCTGAGGAGTAATGGGCGGATTGCGTTTAGGGGGTTGGGGGATGATGCTGAGGGGGCTTTTGCGCGGTAGGTGGGGAGGGGAAAGAGAAGGGGGGTTGATAGATTAGTCGTAGGCGTGGGATTCTAGGGTGTGGGTTAGCGTGGCGTTTGTTTGCCGTTTGGTTTTTCTCCTGTTCGGGGTTGAGTTCTGGGATTGTTTAGTGATATCCACTCGCTGCATTTTGCTTTCGGGAAGGGAGTTTTTTTGGTGGAAAATTAACGCACGATGGTGACGAGGAATGACGGTTGGAGTTACTGGGGGCCGCTGAGAAGCCACTGGATAAATCTGCTGGGAAACAAGGTCTTCTTCTTTGATTTCAAACCGAAGCGCCGGGTGTAGAGCTAAAGCAGACTTAGGACTTAGGTATTGCATGTTTATCTACTACGAAGGTGTTAATATGGGGAGGTGTACAAAATCTGGTGATGAAGATTCGTCCACGGCAACCACTGTCGATGGGTTGCCGACTTGGAGTAAGGAAATCGAAATCAAGGGGGTCACGCTTGGTCAAGTCCTTTAGAATGTGCACTAAGTCCTGACGGAAAGAAGAGAAAACATGATGCTTGTCATAGAGCTATCACTCGCACCATCCCCTTTTCTCTACGAAAACACACCAAAGGGAAACTTCACAAGCTAATCGGTATACCTCGTCAGCGAAGATAGTCACACCGGGCCGCGCCCAGTCATTCCCCCAGCCATTGTTTCGCCTCAATCCGCTCCTCAGATCGATTCCGAAGAACATACCTCGCTCTCACATATTCCTCGGCCCGCAGACCTGGACCCTCTCCACCCAAAGCCTGTACCTCTCCCCACCTAACCCATTGAACTCGCTCTCCCAGCAACCCCTCCTCCTCGCAGGCTTCTCCGCCTCCCTCTCCGCCTCCGTCTTCTTCCTTCCCTTGCCCTTGCCCTTGCCCTTGCCCTTCTCCTTCTCCTCCCCTTCCTCACTCTCATCCCCACTCCCAATCACCGTATCCAATCCCTCCAGCACATGAATCTTATCCATCAACCTCCTATTCTCCTCCTCCTGCCACCTCCGCTCCGTCTCCTTGAGCGGCTCCTTCTTATGGCTCAGCCCAATCTGCAGCCTCCGTGCCGCGCTATTCGCCTGGGCACGCACCGTGTACACCTCAGAGAAGACGTTGAGGCGTCGGATCGCCGGGTCCGAGAGGGGGATATACTCGAGTCTAACCTCGCCGCTGTCGCCGTCATCACCGTCGTCGGCTTCAGAATCGCTGCTATCATTGACAATGACTTTGCACAGGCGGAGCAGAAATAGGGTTTTGCAGATATACTCGGTTCTACCGCCTTGAGCATCGCCGCTCTCCGCTGCATCCGCAGTGCCGCGCACGTCCCCGAGGACGACTCTGCGCTCCACCCAGATTCGACAGTAATTCTTTCTCCCCGCGACATCATCCCCAGCTGCCGGATTAGTGCCCACGCCCACAAACACCAGGCAGTCGTTCTCGTCTCTAAACTCCCTCACTGACGAGAAGTGGATGTTGTGGGACGCGTGGAAGGATTTTGTGGCTGCGACGAGCAGCGCGGCTTGTGCGTTTGCGGCGGCGAGGGAGGTATAGGGTGGTGAGAGCGGAGTGGACGGGATGAGAGACGGATTGTCGAGTTCGGTGTAGAGCTTTTGGTGGAGAGTGTAGGTGAATGTTTGGGTTTGTGGGAGGGTAGGGATTGTGGTGGTGGCGATGTGCGTGGTGGTAGCAGTAGCTATTGCGGAGGCTGATGGATTCGCGGCATTTGGGGTACTGCTGTTTCTAGTGGGATTGGTTTCTGGGGTTGGCGCAGAGGCGGTGGTGTTGGTGAGGTTCGTTCGTGGCGTTCGCGTACCGGGTGTGAAGGAAGGGGTTTGTTTTATGACTTTGGATATTGCGTCCCCCGTGTCAGGTGGGACATGGACTGAATCCGGGGCATCTTTCATCGTGGTATCCCTTGATGCGTCCGTTTCCGCTTCCGTAGACCCCGCCGGTTGGAGAGCCTTCTTTGCTGTCTCTGCGTTCGGCATGTTGTTCTCGAGGGCCCGAGTGTACTTAGCCGTTGATAGAGGCGCATCCTTGGTAGTTTCAGTGGGCTGCTGTACAGTGACCACCGGTGCCATCTTCGGGATAGTCCCTTTCGGCGCTGGCTGGACTTTGTCCTTGGGTGCTTCACCAGGTGCCGCAGACGCAGTGCCCGATTTTCCATCATCCGCCCTTTTCACTCCATCTCGCCCAACGGGATTGGATGACTTTCGAAGCTCATTTCCAACCTGGGTCGTAGGTACAGACGCTCTTACGGCTAACTTCGGAGGAGCAACCGGGTTGGCCCGACGACTAAGAGTACTATCAGGCGGCGCATGCTGTACAGGCTGCCTGGCACTGGATTGAGGAGGAAGCGCAGGTATGTTAGATGGTTTGACCGATTCCACCGGTCGTGGACTGGGCTGTGAAGGCTGGGCTTGGGGAGTGTTATGGGGATTCGCCACGGCTGGTTTGGGAGGAGGTTTCGGCGCATTCGAGACACTCTGCTGTAGCTGCCTAGATCTTCCATTGGGCTGAGCAGCTAGAGCAGGTACCGGTGACACTGCAAAGCTACCATTCGACGTAGCCTGGACTTTATTCTGCGTGCCGTTCGTGGGCGTGGTCGTTTCACCTGTAGCCTGACGGTTAACTGCTGGTCCATTCGCATGCATTGTTGACGTACCACGAGCGTCCGCCGCAATGGGGGATCTTGGTCTCTCCGCTGCAGCAGTAGAGGCCCCCTGGGTTAGTTGAGCGCTTCTCTGCAAAGGTGCAGACATTCTCGTGTTAGCAGGGCCATTTTCCTTCAATTCTGCCTGCGAAGCCATTGACCTGGACTTCTGTGCTTCAATTTGAGCGTTCTCCATTCCAGTCTTCTTCTGGTCCTCCGTGAAACATGCACCTTTGTCCAGCGCGAGTCCTACTTTCTTTCCAGCTGGCAGCGATCCAGTCGAGGTCAACTTTTTCAGTGACATGTCCCGGCTTTCCGCTTTTGCAGGCGGAATTGAGGAACGCTGGGAATTCTGAGATTCTTGAGACCCGCTCGCTGGTCTCTGGACAACTTCCCGTTTTTGCGCCCCTTGCTGACCGTTACCCCATGGATGGGCTCTTTTTTCGGTCCGTAAACCTGACGGTACAGGCGTTGGAGCGTTGGAGGGCGTACTCCTTGGGGCACTAGCGACGTTGACTTGCTGTTGTGGGGGTTTTGTGGTAGCATTGGGTTTCGGCGTGCCCCTAGAAGGGTTGTCAGGAGAAGAGTTGTTTGTTCTTTGAGCCAATTGCCTATCCACAACTTCTGCAACACTTGCATCCCTAGGCTGAGAGTAGGGCTTATCGCCTGAATCAAATTTGTTTTTGCCTCTTTCCATTCCCTTGCTCTTCGCTGGTAGCCGCTTATCTTTCTGTTGACCTGTACCGGAGTGCCCACCACCAGCCATGGGATTTCCGATCCCTTGTGATGGCTGCTCAACCGCCTTTACTGCAGGGGCGTTGTTGACAAACTCGCCTTTCGGGACGGTCGAGGTCGTCCCTTTCTGGATATTCGCCGGGGGAGTAGGGAATCCTTTCGCCTGCGCTTGTGCCTTCTGCGCCATCGCCTGCTTGAATCGAGCTAGATTGAGCTTTCTTCCCGGTACTGGAGGCGATGGCTTGGTCAGTTCCTCCTCGCTAGATGAAGAACTCAAGAGGAACGGACCTGGACGAGGTGTAGACGCGGTGAGAACACGTTTTGGTGCCGATCCAACTTCCATGTTTGGGCTCGGGAGCCGAGGCCGTTTCTTGCCCATGGTTGAATTGTCGCCATGTGAGGTTGACGATGGCATCGCTGATGGCATCGAGGAAGGAGTTCCAACCGAATGTGGAAGAGAGGTATTTAACGGTCGAGGTTGCTCCTGGGAATGCTGCTGGATTGCTGTTTGCGGGGTGGAGAGGGGATAACTGGACTGGCTGCGTTTGCCAGCACGATGTATACCATGCGCCTCTCCACTCTTGTTCGAGGTACGCGCTGGCGGCTGTGTGCAGGACCCTGATTCTCCATCTTCATCAGATAGCTCTGGTATTATGAGCGGTGAGTGAGCGCTCCCGGCACCAAGCCGGTGGTTGTCGGTTCGTCTGGCATCGCGGACCTGACCAACAGGTGCTCTAGGTATTTGCCGCGGTAACGTATCATCATGCAAGGTACCTTGGACGAGGGACCTTTGCAGTCTATTCGTGGAGCCTCTTGCTGCGGAACCAACCGAAGAAGTGTGCCTAGCAAGGGGAACCATTCGTGCCACCGGTGCAGGAGGGCTGACCGGGGAATCTGCGTCCCTAGCAGATTGCGCTCTCAGATTCGCATCTTGTATTGATACATAGCCGTATTCGACCTGTAGAGTTGTTGCGTGTCTAACGCGCCGAGATTGCCCAATTCCTTCGTTTTCGACCGCGGAAGAGCCAAAGAGGGAGTCGAGGCTCGGCTCTCTATCTCCACGAGTATATGAGCTTCCGTTGGCCATGGTGATACAGACGTCAAAACAGTACGGCGTAGTGCTTGTGAGATTAGCCTGACAGTGTTTGATGCGAAATATAGACAAACAGTTCGGCGTCCGCTTACAAGTGTTGATATGTCGGAAATTGAGGACGGATGCGGGGGACGATGAAAAGGAAATGAACAAATTGCGGCGAGGCAAGGCTCAAAAATCCGGTTGCCTGCGCGACCTCCGTAGTATGCGCGGATCATATGATATCTCTGCAAACGCACGGTAAAAGTTGCGGTGAAGCCACTATCACAGGTTGTCGCCATCGAGACCAGAATCTCCTCGATACGGTCTCCAGCGTAAATAAGGCTGTTCAGTAGTTAGTGTACCAGGCACCATGTCCTCAGGTGCATGTCCTAGATGCGCAAGACAGCATTACCCAGTACAGGTGTCTGCTACGTCCCACTTCCGTCCGTTGTTGCTGAGGCACGCGGTAAGCAATCAGTATCACGGACTTCTGACGAGGTTTGCGCCATGGAGGCAAGTCCATGAAATAGTTTCGATGCGTACAGCCACACAGGTTGATTGGCAGGCTTTTGTCTATCCACCGACGTCAGAATCCCCCCTGCCCGACAGTAGGTTCGCAGACGCCCCATCAACTATATAGCAAGCACATGGGATGTCGAAGGTCGAGGATCGAGCGTACTTTGACATTCTGGATGAGTCTATTTTAAGTAACGCCTTATAATTCCTCTTCTTAATCTCCTTCTGGAGGCGATTATAACAGACTCATGGAACCTCTGGTCTGCGCGCTCATGGGAAGGAAATATCGCTGGGCTCAAGATTTCGCATGCTCGGTTTTGGTATCATCAAAAATTGTCGAATCTGCGGTTAGTTTTGGACTTGTGACTAGTGAAGTTGAGATGAAGTCGAGATGAAGTCGAAATATGGACTACGCTAATCCTAAAGTGTAAGCCACGTTAGCCATATGCGGTTTAGCCGTAAGTTGCAGAACGAACTTTCCCACTCGACGCGAACTCACCCACATTAAATATGATGGGAGGAAGAGATGCAACACGTGCAGCGATGGCGACTGTAATCCCAATGGAGGTTCCGGTCCCAGAACAGGTCCTACGGGGTCTTTCGAAGGACTGTTCAGGAATGCTTTCTGCACTTGAAGGGGAAAACCCGAACAGTACAGACAGCATCAAGTAAGGCAGCAAGCCCTTAAAAACAGTGCAGTCGCTCTGGTAGCCCTAACGAAATACGTAGAAGATTGAACGAGTTCGTCGACCCTATTTTTGAGACAGCGGAAATAGTAGACGGCCTACCAGCATCCCACAGAGCAGCAGCATGTAATCTGCTTTGCGCTGTAATCGAAAAGTGCCAGGAATCTGGCAATGAAAATTGGCTCCTGGCAGTTCTGGATGACGCAATATGGATGCGCTTATTCCAGGTATACATTCAGAGATCTGAAAATACGAAGGGGAAGTCCATGCGCCAAATGCTGCTGACCCTCACAGGGGTTCTCTTGAAAAGCCAGACCGAGAGATCAATGGAACTCAAGCTCCACGCAGTCTTGACCTTCATTGACATTATCTGCCGGACGAGGAATCGTGGACAGGTGAAGCCAGCCTTGCAGGGTCTAGCATACTTTTTGCAGAAAGATATCACGTCACTTGCTCAGCTGGTCGACCTGTACGCAACCAACTTTGATCAGGGTAGGTGTGAGACGGATTCAAATCTGGGAAGACTTACTCAGGATATCTTCCGAATTTTTCTATCCTGGGTAGTACATCATGATACTTCTCTATCCGCTGGCCACTTGATAAAAAGTTTTCTCGGTTCTTTACGAAAGTCTCCCCTAGCCAGTAACGACCTCGATACTGAGCAGCAGATTTCGCCTTTATGGATAGAACCAGTGGTGGAAACACTTAATATTTGGCAAGACAGGATGCAGGAATTCAAGACCCACGTCTTCCCACACTGTTTCCTGCCAAACATAGAGGAATATCTCCGATTCCTTTCCTACCTGCATCTCGCCAAGCACCTACATTCGAAGGAGGCTCTACCGGTCTTATTATATACATATGACGAACATGCCAATAATCTAAGCATGGCCGAGGAGTTCGCAATCCTTCTGGGTGCATTACAGACAGGGAAGGAATTAGGTATCATTAAGGACGTTGGTGAGTCAATCCATTGAGGTAATCTTTGATTTTTTGACGCTTATAGACTTCTAGACGACCAATCAAGTGCTATTGATATCCATACCAATACCATACACATCCGGGAGAGCTTGTTCGATGTATGGGTGTCTGCTCCAGAACCGGACGTCCGCCTTGCCGGACTGTTTCTCTCCGTTTATTCAACTGCAGTGACTCGCACTGTCACTGCAGGTGTATTGAAGTCTCTTAGACGTCATTTGGTCCACCTTCACACCGATACAGACGCCAATTTTCGGAAGGAGGTCCTAAACCACGTGCAACGGCTGATTGAACGCCTCAAAGGGAGCACTGCCACCATGATGAAGATGACAACAGGCAAGACCGTTCAGCCCCAAAACCGTATACCATTCTCGAGCCGCTCGAACAGCGGTGTGGACGTTCCGTCTGGGAGGCCAGATCCGCTGGAAGACTCATTGAGATTCATCCTATGGTACACCCATTTCCTGGAGTGGGAGCTACGTCCTAGTTCTTCATATCAACGGCGGATTACAGCTCTGAAGGCGCTTGCAATTCTCTTCAGGTGCGGCCTGGACCCGAACGTCCCGTATCATCATCTGTCCAAATCCGCTCAAGGGCAATTGCACTGGGCACATTCTCTTCATCTCTCGAATCCACGCCTCATGCGACTGTTGCTCGACCTGGTACTTGACCCATTCGATGATATCCGAAGCGCCTCTGTTTCCATCCTTGAGCTTTCCTTAGACTCTATTCCAAATGACAAAAGAGCAAGTACTTTGTCCCTAATACCGAGGATGATATCACGGGCGGAGATGACAATGCTTCGCACCGGGCGTGCGGACCAGGCTGACGGGGTTGCTCGAGCATATTCTTTACTTTTCCGCCAATGCGGAGGAGACTTGTCTGGATTCGAGGTCGCAGATGGATGCCAGTGGACAAAGAACCGGATACTACAGCACCTCACGAAGCAGCTAGAGGACACTATTGATGTTGCCCAGACCGATTTATCCTTGGCGGTGAACGGACGTCCGGTTCATGGCACTTTTGCATCCTTAAGGTGAGTTCATTTTCGTCGTTGCGAGGCTAAAGCCTGACTTGACAGATATATCATGGACCAAGATGATTTCTACTCAACCATGGCTGTGTTACCCACGGCCGATCTTCAGCTGTGGAAGGACATTCATGATCGCATTCTTGTCGGCTTCGAACGATTGTGGACTTGTATTCAAAACGTACTTTGTGCAGATGCGCCAGAGGGACATGTTCCGGATGAGATTGAGGAGGAGTCCAGCCTAGATACGAAGGAGATATTGAGCTACTCATGGAGGGGATTGAAAGAAGCAAGGTACGGATTCCTTGCAGAGTCTGGTCTGATTTTGCTGACTGTGAGAGCGTTCTTCTTCGTACCATAATCTCCAAAGCCCCGATAGGTACCGGCAACACGGCAGTTCTGAGTTCAGACCGTTTTGAAGTATTGGGAAAACTCTGCTTCGTGCAGCTTGTGGAGCTCCGGCATCGCGGGGCATTCTCGACCGTTTCGCTGGCGTGTGCGGCGTTTTGTCGTCGTGCTATTGCAGGTGATGAAGACCGTCTTCGGCAACTACCCCAAGTGTGGTATCAGGTAAGAAAACACCAAGGTAATGTTCATGAGCGTGACTGAACGCATAGGACACTCTTGCTTGCATACAGGACAAAGCTAGCGCCATAACACGACGATCCGCAGGGATACCTTCACTGATGGCTGGCATCATAGCAGCCGAGCAGCCACTTGGCGGACCACTGTTCGTTCAGGCTTTTCAAGATCTGGTCAAAGAAGCTTCGAAAGAAGGCCGGAGCACTAACATTGAAGAGAGCCGACTTCCGCAAGTACATGCACTGAACTGCATAAAAGAGATATTCACCACCTCAAAACTTAGTGCTGCGTCCGAGACGTATATTGGTGATGGCCTCGATCTTGCGGCTAGAACAATCAAGTCACACATGTACGTCGCGAGGGTTCATTTGACAGACAGCGACTTACGTATTTCAGCTGGCCCATTCGGAACTGCGGGTTGATGCTCTTCAAAGCTTTAATCGAAAGGCTCTTGGGAAGCGACGAAGCGCAGGACTGGAAAGACCATAATCGAACGAAGTCTTCTCGGTTCTCCTACAACAAATACCCGCATCTCGTGGGTATACTGACCAATCTCCTTGATCCCAAAGGGCCACTTCAAGGCTCTATGACATCAACTACGGGTGCTTCCCCAATGGATCTTCACGGCACTGAGGGCGTGTTCCCCGCTTTGCAGATTCTTCGTCAAGCAACTCCCCCCGACCCGCATCGTCAGACCATCAAAGTGTTTGTCCAGCATCTTTTGCATAGTCCCCATTGGCACCTTCGCGACATGGCAGCACGGACTCTAGTATCACTTCACTTCCCAGGAGAGTACTATGATGCGATCCAGTCGCTCTCTGGGAAGCTGGGAACATCAGCCCACAATTACAAACACGGCCTGCTACTGAGCATCAAATACATGTTAAAACAATACCTACTAAGCGACACCAGCTGTGGTCCGGGTGAGTGGAACGCTTTCATCATGTCACTGTCCATCCGAAACGTCACCTCAAGTTCTACGACACATAGAAACCAGAGTCATTCTGCTGACTTCGTAGACAACATCAACTTGATATTGTCCGATCTTCGGAGGCAAGAATCCGCAGTGGTGAGCCCCTGCGCCTGCCCTTTCACAAAAGGGGCATTCCTAGACATACTCAACCTCTGCGATATGACGACACTGAATCAGAGAACTCTGGGCAATGCAATGCTGTTTCCGTCGACAAAGTTCTCATCGAACACTGCAGAAGCCAAGAATACATACGACAGAATACAAGGCGAATCCTTGTCCCAAAGAGCCCAGAATTTGCGCGTCATGCTTGACAGGCTCTTGAACGACACCAGCAGTGAGACTGCGCCCTCACCAGAAGCACATGATGAGAGAGTTCGAAGTTTACTATTGAGCCTCTCTGTAACCGATCCGGATGCTTGCTGTGACATTCTAGAGTCCTTTGGGAAGGTCATGCGCCATTCATTGCCTCCCCAGCTTACTATATCCAAGGCTCGACTGATTTCATATATCCACGAGATGATATTGCAAGACCAGGACGAGGAGGTCTTGACGAGATGTCAAACCATCATGGCCGAATCCTTGGCAGATAAAGCAGTTCACTCCGAATATTTGGAACTGCTGAGAGATTCGGATACCCTACAAACCGCCGCGTTGCTTCAAACACGTTGTCTAGAGGGCTCACCGGCAAATATGCAAAGCGCATTGCATCTGTTGGCTTTCTTTCTGGATGCTGCATTCACGCATCTCAAGGAGCCGAAAATCGAAGCAGTCCGGCTGACCGTACGCTACATCCGGATTTTGCGGATGACGATAGTGGACACCAATGTACGTTTGTTCTATATTGATGTGCACCGCACGCGTCGCTAATCTGCCAGGCTTTCGACATACGCTTCGCCGCTCTGCAATCGGTGTCCGCCCTACACAACGTCTGGACCCACAGGCCTAGTTCCAAAAACAGCCGCCGCCTGATTCTGGGCTTAGCACTCGTCCTCTACGATATGCTGAACGACGATGATGACGACATACGTGACGAGGCTGCCAAAGTCGCAAATAGGATGCTTCGAACCCAGGGCCATGGAGCAGAGCTTCCAGACGCAGTCCCAATCATTACTACACAACGTCTCGGCAGGTTCCTTTCAAAACGGTACAGAGACTCTGAGGATTTGTGCAAGGCTGCATTGCTTCGTTTGACCGGTACCGCTTGCAGCGCCGCACTGTTCAAGGGGTCCTTTGCAGAGACACTGGCCGAGGCGAGGCAGGAAGACACGGCGCTTTTCGTGCAAGAGAAACAGAACTTGTACAAGGACGACGTCGAGGATGCATACTTTTGGGCGCATACTCTCCGTTCTGTGTCACAGGGCGTTTTCAAATTCCACGCTTCGCCGCTCACAGATTGGGTCCTTGAAGGATTAGCCGCGTTGACTGAGACTGCGCTGGCCGAGGTAGATGGCCCATTGGGTTGGACAACGAAGGCCGAAGTTTTCACGCTTGGTATTAGAGTCATTTGTGCTGCTGACGTTGCTCTCCATTGGGAATCTGTGGACGCTTGGAAGGTTAGAAAGGCGCTGCGAGAGTTTGTAGACGTGGGTTTGCATAAGGACTTACATGGCCTGTGGCTGGAGAAAGCGGAACGAGTGCTTGTGGACTCTGTTTTGCGGCTGTTGCGCGCCGTTCATCGTGGGCTGCCTGCATTATAGCAATAGCATCTAAAGTCGTTGTCTTGGTCAACATACCCAAAATTGAACTCAGGTTCGGAAGCTCCCCTGGACGTTAGGAAATATATTTTATCTGCTGTGGCGCCCTATGTGTCGCTGGCTACAAACCTTTAACACTTTATCCCGCTTTCACCATCTCAAGTTGTTCCCAACACTCATCTTCACCACTTACATCTCGCTGTTCTCAACACCGCTCCGCTACCTCCCTCTCCAAGCACTTTCACAAACCTTGCACTTTCTCCATCGCGCGACAGGCCGCCATACGACGCTCAGTCTCTTACGGCCACGATCAAGATGAAGAAAAGCCACGAGATCGCCTTTGCTTTCTTCCTCACCATCGGCCTCACTGCCGTCCTGGGCGTCGCCTTCTGGTTCATCTACTGCCGTTATCTCCAAGCAAATTTCTTCCACTTCGTCAAACCTCAGGAAGATGGCGAGCTGCCGGCGTCCCAACCACCGGCAGGTGCTGCTCCTGGTGCGGGCGACACTGCTGCTCCACCTCCGGCTCCAGCGGCGGTTCCAGTTGGGGCTGCTCCTGCGGCTCCTCCTGCAACTCCTGCTGCTGGTGGTCCCGCTGCTCCTGCTGGGACACCTGCCGCCCCTCCTCCGGCACCGCCTGGTTCTGCAAGATAGGACGGTAGGTTGACTTCTGGGTGTTATCCATCTGAGCGTGCATCGGAGAGGCCCTGCCTCCGTTTGATTGAGCAAACGAATGCTAACGTGTCCTTAGACGAACCACAGTGAGAGAAACGCTGATGCCTATTGACGAAGGTACGTACCACGGCGCCGTGCCATATATCTCTCAATTCCTCTGCCACCTGAGATTCCACCTCTCCCCAACTCTGGCATACCTCCTCTCCTTCCCAAACCCTCAATCTCACCATCATCCGACTCTACCACCTAGTCCCCGGAGAATCGACATGATCCATCCACTTCCCCTGACGAATCGAGACTGCCACGACATCGAGACAAGACTCAGCGCAGCCCTCGCCCGCACTTTCGTCCTATCATCTCTCCTTTTCGTGCTCTTGGTCGCAACAGCGGTTTTGGGTTTTATGTACTTGGCTCAACGGGGGATGAGAAGGCAGGCGTAGTCTGCCCTGGCAACCCATATGGCTAGGAGGATGGACGGGGAGCCTTCTGGGGCTTCGTCTGCGGCCCCAACATAATACGCATGCATGTCTCTCGGTTTTGAACGTGTATTGGCTGCGGCCACACAAGTGATTGATAGAGAGGAACTGCTTTGCTTACGAAAGTGTGTAGGAATGATGACAATGTTTCACGTGCTTGACGCGGTATGATTGTGATCAGTAGGTAAGTCTACGGCTGGTTTTAAATCGGTCTACCGGAACGGTCTTGTGTCGCACAAAATGTTATGTTCGTCTCGTTTTGACTGGAATACACTAACCAACTGGCAGAGGGCCCTCGTACGACAACAGCTTTACGTGAACCATCCGACAGTTCGTCAAGCTTCGGGCTGGAGTGCCTCTGATCCTCCTCTTCGATCTGGTATAGGTTGGACAAAATCCTGGGTATAGCCGACCTCGATGTGCGCATGACGGACCTTCAGCCTTGTTTGGGGACTATTTCGGTAATCGGAGAGAGGAATAAGGTGTTACACAATGTGGTGGCAGGTTTGCTTGCTGGATGGGGTATCTCTGGACAAACAATATACCAAGTAACCCCGAGCCCCCAGATATCATATTACGGAGAAATGAAAAACCAAGGTTCTGCCTTGCAAAAGCTAAACCTGCGTACTTCATCACTGTAGCGCTTTCCGCCCCATCACGTATATGTGCTTCTCCAGAAAATGGGCGATCCAGGAGTCACCGTAGCCATAGTCTTAGCGGGCGTTTTCGGCGCCTCTCTTCTCTGGATCGTCGTTTCCTCGACCCGTCGATTCCTAAAGCGCCAATGTACCGAACTGAACACCTTTCTTGACTTTCTACACTTTCACGTGTTCAAGCAGCGTTGCGAACGTTGCGAGCGCTGCGAGCGCGAAGATTATGGTGGGGAAAAAGAGTTGGGACCGCTTAGATCGCTGCAAAAAGATGAAAAGGACGTCTCACCGAAGGCTACAAAGGAGCAATGGGAGGTTGAGCGAAAGGAGCGAGAGGAGCGGACCCAGTCGAGCTCTGGACGGCGCGATAGAAGGAATAGGGGGAGTTTCAGAGGCCGCTCGCCACCTAGTCCCATGTCAACATCGTCCGATACGTTTCCAGGCTCACCTCTCAATGACCGACGTGACCTCCCTCTGTTGGAGGAGCGCGAACCGTATGAGCCGGATATTCATCGCAGACCGCCTCCCATGCCTCAGCAGATGCACACACCCAGGGCGAACCCAGAACACGCCTACGCTCCTACAATGCCTCAATTTCACAACCAAACGATGTATCGTATGCAGGGAAACATGGTGTCTCCGATGTACGGCCAGCCAATTCAACAGCCATATGCCGATCCAATGCCTCCAATACAACATCCCCAACGCCCATCCCCAGCAGCCATGCACCCGGGCCCACCGATGACTCGATTCCCAGGATACATACCGGAAGGTGAAGAAGAGTTCCAACAAACTACACCGTTCGAGGCTGAGGCACCGACAGAACCTTCTTCAAGACCGGCGCAGGAACCGCAGCCCAGATCACCCCGCAGGGTTGACTTGATATACATCGCTGAGGAATACCCACCTATGATACTCGAAGCCATAGAGCAGCAAACCGCGGCACAGAATGCCGAGACGGCGCCATCAGAAGATGACGACGATGAAGAAATACAGCAAATACCGCGCGCGTACATACCCAGGGCAGCTCCACGAGCCGCACTTGTTTTGCCTCAGAACTTCCACTACCAGCCATACGAGATGGTAGCTCCACCAAGGACGATGCGGAGTCAAGGGAGTAGGCAGTATGGAAATAGGTACGCACCCAAACATTGAGGGACTGAGCGGAAAGCGACGCAAGTGGAGAAGTAATGCGGATAGGATGGGAAGGCGTCCAGCACCGACTAATGCTCCTTCTTGACTCCTCGTTTGGATATGTAGGATAGCCATGCCGTATCCTTTGGCTTGTGCAAAGGATGATCACTGATAATAGCTTTATCTTCTTCAGACAGCAATTCTGCGAGGAGTTTCCATCTGCTTGCCCCCAGAGGCTAGGAAGGAATCGGCGCCCGTCACAATTGGGGAGGACAGAAACAAGACAAAGACAAGACCTCCTCCAGGAAGCAGCTCTGGATCACCGCCTTCGACTCTCATCTCCACAGTTGGATCCAGTGACTCCGGAGATTGGGAGGACCGGTGAAAACCAACGCGTGAATGTGACTGTGCCCTGCCCGTGTCGCTTTGGGAGACGGAGAATGACAAGAGGCGATCTCTGTTTCTTTGTAGACAAATGTCAGAAATGATCCTTCTCATGCACCTCGAGTCTTTCCGAGTACAATTTGAGCTTGGTAACGATTTGCTGTCCTGGGAGATGAGGGTGAAGCTTTGAGTAAAGAAAGAAGAGATGATGCATATGAGGGGTGCAATTGCAAGCCGAAGACAGAGGTGGCCCGAGCTTGCGCCTGTCCAACGTCATGCATCTGATGGCTGGGAGCAGCTTCCCACCACTTCACGAGGGCTCAGCCCTGCTTCTGCTTATAATTGCGCGCGCCACCATCATTCCCGCAGCTGTGACCGCTCCAGCGTAGTCGCTGTAACCGCTTTCTTTATTATTCGCCTGTCGGTAGCATCAACATGTGGGACGACGAGGATAACAACCCATACGGCTCCTTTGCCCGTCACGACTCCAATGCCTCCGATGTACCTGGGCTCGGCTCCCCGGGCGCATGTAAGCCTCCCAGTTATGGCTTGCCATGAATTCTCCCGGTTGACATGATTATGACTGCAGTACCATATCGCCCCGCAACGCCGCCATCCGTAGCATCCTCTTCGCCCACCAGACAATCTCCGCATTACCCGACAGCAGGCATGAGCGATGTCAACTACAATGAGGAAACTCAGACTGAGGAACCGGTGATCCCCAAGAAAGGTGGCTACGACAGCCGCGTAGAGCAATGGCTATACGAGAATCCTGGCTCTTCCATACTGATCACCTATGCGGGGAAGAACCTGGAGGGTGGGGGAAGCTATATTGTCTACACGATAAATACCGGAGTATGGAGCTTTGAACTCCACGATTAGTCTGGATGCTAAAATATGGGGTACAGGGCCTCGAGGTACGACGACGATATTCCGAGTTTGCTTCGCTGCGGCAGTGGCTAGTGGCCCTGCATCCTACCCTCATCATACCCCCAATACCGGAAAAGCACACGATGGCGGATTACGCGGCAAAGCCTACCAAGGCGAAGGAGGACACGGGCATCATCGAGCTCCGGAAGCGCATGTTGGCCGTGTTCCTAAATCGCTGCAGGAGAATGAAGGAGGTTTTGGACGACGGCGTCTTCTGGAGATTCCTGGACCCGAATGCTAGCTGGGTACGCCACAGCAGCTCTACATCTGTCTTGAGCGGAATACTTATGATTGTACTAGAACGAAGTCATCCAGTGTCCCCCAATCTCGAATATCCCCAAGAATATCCTCAAAGCCCCTCCACTAAACCCCGCCAGTCCTACGCAGGCTCACAGCTACCTGCCTGTACCGTCGTCCTCCGCCAAACTGAAGACCTCAAGCGCCACGTCAACCTCCGGTACCCCCACGTCCCCGCCTGGCTACGCTGCCACCCCGTCATCCGCCGCTCATACAACTCCAGGCCCACAAGTTTTCGGTCGCTTCCCACCCGAATCTAAGAATCTATCCGAAGAAGAGTTAGATCCGTACTTCGTTAATTTCGAAGCATCGTCTAAGGAGCTGGAAACTCTGCTGCAGGGCAGCATGGAGAAGGTCAATCGCAGAACATTGGCCCACTTGACTGCTTGGGGTGATGACCTGGCAGAATTAGGTGCTCGCTTCAACGCGTTTTCGCTATCGGAGCAATCACAATCACTTGCTTCTGCAATCGAGAAGGTTGGACAGGCCGTCGACTCGACATATATTGCGACCGCGGAGTTATCCTCGAATCTCAGTGCGGGCTTCGCAGAACCGATGCGCGAGAGCGCACAATTCGCAGGTGTTGTGCGCAGCGTCCTTCGGTACCGGATATTGAAGCGCATACAAGAGGAGATGACCAGGGACGAATTGGAAAAGAAGCGGAACTTACTCGAGTCTCTCGAGCAGAGTGAGGCTGAGGCCAGAAGGCTTGAACAACATCTGAGCAGTTCTCAGGCCGGCTTCGGCGCCACACAGCGCGGACGCTCAGTGTCCAACAGCTCGCAGAGGAGTAGTGGGCATGACAGACGGCGGGAGGAGGACACGGCCTCGATCGATTCCGATTTCCCGCCGACGCATGGAGAGCAACCGCCGTCGGCATCCCAAGGGCTCCCGGATCAGTCGCCGTCGCATAAGAAGAGCATGAGCGGAAACTTTGTGACTAACAAGTTGTTTGGGCCGATAAGTCATGCTTTTCGGGGTATGGCGGATGTAGATCCGGAGAGGACGAGGAGAGACCAGATTGGAAAGACCAGAGAAACTCTTGTGCATGTACGTGCTGGTGTATAATCGTCTAGGAGTTCATACTAATCCTTCACTAGCTCGAGCAAGCCCTGCAAGTGGCTGAGAAGGACACAAAGGACGCAAGTGCTGCTGTCATGAAGGATTTACGGAGATTCCAAACGGAGAAGGAGAACGACCTGCGCAGATATATGGTATGGCGCTTGGATGCATTTCTTCTCTTTTTTGCTAACGGTCAGTCCAGATGGAGTTTGCACGGTGTCATATTCATTGGGCAAAGCGAAACCAGGCCTCGTGGGAGGAGGCACAGGCCGAAGTGCGGAATATCCAGCCTCAGGTCGACGAGTAGATGGGGAATACTGCAAGCCTGGCATAGCTGCGGTTTGGGCATGAGGGCTTCGGATAGTAATAGCCAGTAGGTATACCAGAGCAGAATTGCATTCGTGTATATGTCTGTGCGTGGGTGGATTGATTGTCCTTCTGTGTCCTTTTCCACCACTTAAGAACATATGTTAGCTTCATAGAACTGTTGCTGCGAAAAAGGGCCCCTACAAGTTTTAAGGGTGGAATGCTGACATAAGCAATTATGCCAAGGCCGGTGAAAGTCGCTCAGACCCTCGTCGTTGGTTAGCACACGCCTGCATCTGGCCATCAGGGTAATCACAGATCACGGCTCCACCATGATTCCTCTTCGCGCTTCACCTTCTTGTTACGCTCTTTACTGATATTAGCTCTACGTGCAACAGCTACCTTGACCACTTCAAGGCTTGGTGGACGCAAAGAAACGACGTCTCTTTTATATGGGCGATCCTGTTGTATCGTGGCGTTGACAGTCTACTTTTGTGCCGCCATGGAGAGGTTGGGGATGGGGAACGATGAGCGGGGATGGATATTGGCCATTATTAGTGGTATAGGTATGTCAAGAACATATACTGGCGATGCCTTCAGCTGCTAAAGAGGTGTTACTAACTTTCGTACAGCTTGCGTTGCAGGTGGTACGTACCGCCACGCAGGACTCGAACGGATGAGCACACCTTGGCCCTGGCTAACCATGATCCATTCGCAGCATCGGTGATATATATCGATATCCTCATTCGACAGTTTCCGGGGAAGAAGAACTGGAAGCTGGAAGACAGCAACTTGTTCCTGAGTTCGGGATTTAGTCTCAGTTTTGGAGTTTTGGTACGTACAGATGCATGGTTTCACATTGCACCGCAATATTTTCCGACGACGTTTCTGTACGACTTGAGTTTAGTGTCTCGCCGTTAGTCATGCTCATGTTCTTGCTCTTGGCATCCTTTTTAATCGAAAGTGAGTTGCGCTTTCTGACCGTGGAGTAGATATTCTCAGCACTGTATAAGATCCTCCCTTCATCGAGAAGATACCTGGAAGATGGAGGTTTGCCACCAAGAGTCGCCGTTTTTACGCTAGTTGCTTGTTTTCTGCTCGGAGCCTTCGCCATTTCCATCCTTTCGAGGATTTTGCATCATTATATCCCGCATTCCGTCGTTGACTGCGCACACGATCACGGGGATGAAGAGACTGGGAAGCTAGGCGACGAAGAACATGGTGTCTCAGTTGCAACTGATGCCCACACGCCGCGAGATGGAAGGCCGGTTGAGCTTGTCGCAAGCCAAACCCGAGTCTACGGCAACCCGAAGGCAGCGCAGTCCGAGTTGTTGAGGAGGCCGTCGCTGCATGCCTCCATCTCTACGAAAGTGAGCCACCTAGTATCAGGGTCCAAGGAATTCTGCGACGAGAACGGACGATGCTACGGGTACTCGGACCCCTGCGGGCAGGACTGCTTTAGGAACGTGCAAGCCCGCATACCACGAAGAAACAGCGTTCCGGGTGACAAACCCCTGACGAGGCCGTCTGGGTTGAAGAAGCTGGTTACAGCCCATGAAAGGCAACCGCTTCTCGAGAATATCGAGGAGGATCATGTCCTCTCCCCTTCCATACCTGCCGTATCCGGCCATAGCACCATGGAGAGCTCGACCGAACTCCCCACCCAAGACATAAACGGGCACCCGCAGCCATTCACCTATGGCACCCTCCAAAAGCACGCGTCAGACCCGTTCGTAACCCGCGCACAATCCTCCTCCTCCTCGTCCTCCCTCCCCTCCCACCCCGTCCACAGCCACAACAACAACAACACTCCGCACCACCAACACCACCACCAGCACCACCACCACGTCCCAACCAACGCCTTCCTCTCCATCGGCCTCCAAACCTCGTGCGCCATCGCCCTCCACAAGATCCCAGAAGGCTTCATCACGTACGCAACCAACCACGCCAACCCGACCCTCGGCGCCGCCATCTTCCTCGCCCTCTTCATCCACAACATCACCGAGGGCTTCGCCATGGCCCTGCCCCTGTACCTCGCCATCCACTCCCGCTGGCGCGCCATGTTCTGGTCCGCCCTCCTCGGCGGCGTCAGTCAGCCCCTGGGCGCGGGGGTAGCAGCCTTGTGGTTCCATTTTGCGCCGTCGTCGCCGTCGGTAGGCGATCCCAAGGACGGTGGGGACAAGGACTACGAGAGGATGAGGAGACACGAGGATCTGGCGTACGGGTGCATGTTCGCCGCCACGGCGGGCGTCATGGCCATGGTCGGCCTGCAGCTGTTCGGCGAGAGCCTCGAGTTGACGCATTCGCGGCGCGTGTGCTTCCTCAGTGCGTTTGTGGGCATGGGGATTTTGGGGTTGAGTAGTGCGTTGACTGCGTGATTGCTTTGGATGGATGACTATATACGGAGTGGGGATGAGCTTTTTTGGTAGTTTGTATCTGGGAATTGAGGACGATTTGTATTTAGGGATGGGAATACGATTCTGATTGGGGGGAAGCGGCATTGCACTTCTCGGTTTGTTTGCGATCGGGGGGTTGGGTCCGAGGATGAATAGCATGGATGATGATATCATGGCAACTGGAGGGTAACGCGAATCTGTGGGTGTACATGGATCTAAACAGTACATGCATGCATATACAATGAATCAACGAGGCAATTATTTATCCAGATGCTATGCTCTCCGATTATGCCCTCATCGGTGAATATTCGAACGGCTGAAAACGAAGAAATCCAGAATCCATTCAATCCGCCCGTAGGCGACGTCCACCACAGCAGCAGCAATGGCCATATCCATTGCAAAACGAAGCAATGTGCAAGAATCATATACCAAGGGGGGATATCATCGCTAGAAACGCTCAGCCCGATGCGAAAAGACATTCGCCTGCTTCAAAAACGGAGCTTTCCAACCCTGGGGATCCATGGATATATATATATATTCCTTCACCCCACCCATGCATCCACCCATTCCAACACAGATAACTAACTCCAACGAACGATCATCACCCGTCCAGAGAAAAGGAAAAACGCCATCGCTATGCCATGCCCCTCTCATAAGAAACCCGCGAGACGTACAATCCCTGAAACGACAGAACAGAAAAGCCAAAGCAAAACCAAAAAGGGACAGCCGAAAAAAAAAAAAAAAAAAAAGAAAAAAAAAAAAAAAAAGGGAAAACAAAAAAAAAAAAAAAAAAAAAAAAAAAAAAAAAATCAAGTATCCTTTGGAGGCCGCGGCGTCTCGATCCGCCCCCACTTCCCTTCACCCTGCTCGGGCGTCTCGTTGATGACGAGCAACATCCTGGAGCCGCAGAAGCCGCCGGGCAGCGCAACATGCTGCTTCTTGGCCCAGTGGCCCTTGAAGTCGTCGCCCGTGGCATTCGGACGGAAGGCCCGAGCGGGATCGTCATACTCCCACATGGTATCCGTGTACGTCTGCCCGGGCTCCTCGAGCATGCGCTCGTTGTGACTGGGAAGTCCGACCCAGCGATTCAGCATGTCGTGGATGAGCGAGTAGAGGCGTTCGGGACGGCGGGTGAGAGCGAGCCAGGAGAGGGTCGCCGGTTCGTAGGCCACGCGGATGAAGGGGTTCATGTAGATGCCCGAGTCGTCCGGGGGCATGCCTTGGCCGGTGCGGAGGTAGGTGAGGTCTGCGTGGATGAGGCAGCATTCGGAGGATTCCCAGAAGGTGGCGTTGTCGTAGCGGAAGCGGAGTGGGGTGAGGGTAGAGGACGACGGTTTGCCAGAGGGAGAGGTTTGTTTCTGGAACCATTTCGCTTCAAAGGCCGTCATACCGCCCCAGCAGCTGCGGACGCGGACGGCGTCGGTGCCGGAGAGGACGTCCTTTCTGCTTGCGGCACTTCCAGCGCTGGTGAACCAGGGGTAGAAGGGGATGCCCATGCTGTATCCGTCCAGATCGCGGGTTGCGAAGCGGTCGTAGAACTTGAACGGGTTGATGAAGTCGACAGCGCATGCTGCTCCGTAGCTGGCGCGGCCCGTGGAGTCGACGTTGGTCGATAATAGGAGCTGGGCCGCTTCGATGGGGCTGAAGTTCACGTCGTTGATGTAGAGGACGCGGTCGAAGGCGATGCCGACGCTGTCAATGGGGGCCAGGGCGCGGTTTCGAACTTCGGCCAGGAAGGCGATGCGCTTGAGGCGTGTCTCTCCGTTGGGGAGTCGGACGCGGGGAAGGGTCTTGATGTCGAGGTCTTCGGCGACGATACTCGCATTGCCTTGCTAGGTCAGTTCTGGATTTTGAGCCGGTAGAGTTGGGACGTACAAGTAACTTTGGCCTTGAAGTCAAGCAGCGACTTTTTGGTGGCGGGAGACGGGTTATCTTCGTAGATGCTCAAATAGACATTTCCAGGGCCTAGCAGATCCACCAGCTCCAGCACCTGCTCTCCCCAGGGCCCCGATGTGTACTCGCCATGGGACTCGTACAGAGAAGCGGCGATGAATATCTTCTCGTTGCGGGGATTGGCACGACCGGGCTGCCAGCTCGAAACGGCAGCTCGTCGAAGCTCCTTGTAGTGCGGAGGAGGATTTGTGTACGAAGGAAAGAAGATGCCGGCGAGTAGTACTAGGGTCAGGCAGAGACAGGGAAACCAGAAGAAGGTCCAGCAGAGGCAAAGCCTTAGGGCGGCATTCTTTCTGCGGCGAGTGTAGGTGGAGGGGCTCGAAATGCGCTTCACCGTCCTCGGGAGGGCATGCGATATGCGGCTGTACCAGGAGGACTGGGAGTGAGAGGGAGTGGGTTCTAGCTCGTGAAAGTCACCGTCGTCGAAGGAGCCTTGTGGGAGGAGCTCATAGTCACGAGGCGAGCGGCGAAAGGGGCCAGGCATTGAGTCGGGTCCGCGGCAAGGGCAGAGGGATGTGTGGTATGCGGGGCATGCAAGGAGGAGGGTGGGGGGTTTGCGACGATGGAGGACGTCGGACAGTCGCGTGCGGGTGTGTTCGTAAAGACGGCATCGAGAAGGATGCTAGGGCACGTGTAGGCTTTTATTATTCCAAAGGTTCTTCTGATTCTGGGCCTGGAAGAAGTCAGCGGGGATCGGCGGGATGGATGGTTGAACACGCGGCGCGCGGGCTTGGTCTCCTGAAAGGTTTCCCGTTTACGACTGGCCGGCTATCCGCAAAAGTGAGAAAACTGCGAGGTGAGTCAGCAGGAAGCAAAGCAGCACCCCGGCCAAGGCGTGTTCCTGCTGTTCCTGGGACCTGAATCTCGGGAACACTATTCTCAATACAGTATGGGTCTGCAAAAACTAGACTAACGCTTCTGGGTAAACCAACTTTTGTGGCGCCGGCATTACCGATATCCGACCGCCGAGCCACCAACTGTGTAATCTACGTAGGTACTGTGTATGTAATAAGCAAACTTCTTATACACAGCATCTCATCAGCCCGTTAGTGTCAATAAAGGCAGATATGAATTACAATAGGAGAATTACATCGAGCGCTCGCATGGAACTAGCTCAGACAACAGCAATATGACGCTGATATTCAAGCCGCAGCGTGCATATACAGGCGGCTTCTGATCCGTTACGATTCCGCGGGACATAGCGGGTGTACCGTCTGGATATGCTCCTAAAATTCCAATCTTTACTGTCTATTTCCTTTCATCTGGTTGATTCCTTCACAGTCGTTTGCTTTTGTGCATAGCTTTGTTCTGTACCCGCTTGTTCTGTCGTCACTTCCCATTTAGGAAAGTCATGATGCCAAACGGATGGTGCAAAACTCCACTCGCACTCGCACATCCTGGGCCTCTTTTCCAATCCCCTCGCCCGATCCACTGTATTCCTCTCTCATTGACCCTTCTGATTCCTACTGTGAAATAAAAAGTTATGGTCTCGGCTCCCACATTCGTGATTGCGGAACGCTAGCTCGTCCCAGAGTATAACATGCCAAAGGTTTGATGTTTTGCCCTTTCCTCCACTTTCTACATTCCACCTTCACCTTTGCATCTCTCCTTGTAAGTCTTGGCTGATTATAAGTACGGTATGCCTAACGCCTCACAGCTCCCCGTACGGCGATCGAGCGAGCAAAAACTTTATCAATCCGCCCTCGATTCCTGCATCCACGGTATCCAGAACTTCTCCATTTCTCCACGCCCTCCCGCTCCCGTGATTCAACCCAGTGCCCAAGTCGGTGAGCAAACCGATCCCTCTCTCTTGCGGCCGCCCACTGACTTCACCGCCTCAGTGGATCTCGCGAACAACCAAAGCAAGAGCACTCACCCGCACTCCTCCAACACCATCTCACTTCCCACGCCTTCGCCCGCAAACCCGTCACTCTCAACTCCAGCATCTGTTTTCAGTACACAACAAGCTTCTGCAGGTGCGCCTTTACATCGCCGACAGACGCGACTCTTACTTACTCTTCTTGCCACACAGAAAACGCCATGAATCCCTCTCGCGGCGCTCCCGGCAAAGGCTTCAGTAGCCAGGACGCTAAGACTAACAACAACCCCGCCTCGCAACCAACTGGTGCGCCTCCCAAGATTAGTCTCAAGAAAGCTGCCGTCAGGATGGTTCGCCCTGCAGGCCCGCCTCCGCCCGCCTTTAGCCCTGCCAACGGTAGTCCGTAAGTGAAATCACTCTATAACGTTTTACATCCTAGTTCTCTAACGCATCTTCGACGCAAGATCGCTTGGTAATGCCATTGGCACTCCAGCTCCCACTCAAGAACGTCGTATGCAACCGAAGACAGAGGGGAGTGGCACCATACACAAGGCTACGCAATCCTCCGTTCAAGACAAACCTCGTCCACTCTCCAACGACGTCAAGCCTCTCGAATCATCAACTAGAGAAATCTCTGAATCTCTGGCAACCAAGTTTGCGCGCCTCAATGCCGCACAGCCTTCGGGGACGCCATCGCCAACGCCAACCATGTCTGGCATGAAGGAGGGGATGCCACGCCAATCTACGCTCGCCGTGGACAAGCCAGGCGAGCGCCAGAACACAGGATCTGAATCGACAAACCTGCTTGTGGGCAATAAACTCATGAGCAACAAAGGAACTGCAGATTTCACCGGCCCCACGTCAAATGGCCGCAGCACTTCCGCCGACTCAAGGACTCAAGGTGATGCTCACCGTTTGAAGAATACGTTGCCATCCCGCAAGCTGGAGTCGGAATACTTCCTCCAAGGTTTAGAGGCTCTCCAAAAGCTCTCATCGCTTCCTCTCCCGGATGACGCGCCTCTCAAGGTCATTTGGGCGGCAGCTGATAAGTTGCGAGGCGTATATGCTTCCCCAATTGGGACGTATGCGCTTGCCACCTTGCTGAGCATGAAGTCCAAATGTGAAGACGCCATCAAAACCTACATCAATGGGCTGACAAAAAACATTGGGAGCCCCATCTCTTCGGAGAGAGTGGCACAGCTCCTCCAAGAGTGCGGGGGCAACTTCGTCCGTTTTTGTGCTCAGCTTGCGGATGAAAAGTTCCTTCGTCTTCAGGATCTCCAAGAAGTTGTTGGACTGTCGAACGCGATCACCAACGTTGTTCCCCCGGGTAACGGCACGATGTTGGGCGGCTCGAAGGTTTCCATTTCTTCAGTCGATCCCGCGGACAACATGACCAAATGGCCCAGTCAGACAAAGCGCGCCAACGGTGAGTGGCTCCCTGTTCCAACCACCAATTGTAACTGACAAATGTCAATAGGAGCCGGGAACCGCACCGTGAGTCTCAAGCGTGTGGGAGACATCACTACCATCCACCAACTCCAAGCTTTGGTTTGGGGTGGAAGAATCGAGTCTCTGAATCTGCCTGAACCAGGCAAGAGCTTCGCCTTTGTCAAATTCATGACCGCACAGGCCTGCCAAAACTACCTGGCCGCAACGGAAAACGGCGTTGAAGTTCCCGGAGGCAAGCCCGGGGCTATTGTCCTTGTGGATGGTCAACCTGGACCCAATTCCGTCAATGACAACTTGCAGGCGTGCATTGAAGGGGAGGTGACTCGCTGCGTCCGCGCTCTTGATGCTGACAGTGACTGGGGTGACAAAGCACTTGAGAAACTCGCCGAGGGGACTGGCAAGGAGAAGCGGAAGGTCGACATCATCAAGCGTGGGAGAACGGGGCATGGTGTAAGTGTCTTTGGTGAATTCGGATGAAGCCCTGGCTGACGATGATCTAGCGATACTTCATCGAATTTCGATTTGCCAACATCTATGATGCTCTGAGTTTCAAGCGCCAGTTGGCAGAGGAGGAGGACTGGGAGCGATGTACTATCGTGTACGCGCCGGATCCATGCGAGATTGCCGACGGTGTCCACTTCACCGACCTGGTGGACGTCTAGATGCCTTGCCTCTATGCGATGCACGTATACCTTCCTTCAGCATTGCATCTTGAAGGCGTTCTCCTCACTGGCAGCTGTCTTTTCACTTCTTCGAATGTGATGGGATATCGCGGATGTAACTATAGTTGACGAGCCTGCACAAGCAAGCCATTCTCTCCGAAGATACTTCCAATGACGGTCTAGGATTTGGAATATGGATGGATTTTAGCAAGTTGTGGGAGGGGGTTCAGGAAGTTATCTTCAAATGGACTCAAGGAAAGCCCGTTAAACAAATTCCTTTTCAGTAGATTCTCCTTCTACACAGTATGGTGTTAGCGAATCTGCGCAGATTTACGAGGTGCCCAGGTGGTAAAGGTGGTCATGCACGTGCCACCGCTTTCAACGTCATCCGATCAGATCGATAGCGCGACCCCAGCACGATGTACTTGTACACGTCCAACGCACCCTCGTCCAGCCGTCAAATATGTTCCGCTGGCGGCCATTGCAGACGCCTCTCCAAGCCTTCGACCGATCCTTCCAATGGCAGCCTCGGATTTTGCATCGTACAGTCCAGCACCGCTGGTATAGATTCGGAGGTCCGCACCGCGGTCCCCAATATCGCTACTTCAGGCAGCATGCCGGCCAGCGCATCACCAACTGGATCCAGGGTCCCACATTCTTCCGAGATGCGACGTTGATAAGTCTGGGAGCTGGCGGGATCTACTTGTGGAATCTTGAGGAAGTTCCCGTATGTTCTGTTCCAACTTCCTGTCCCGCGCGCAATGGTCGCTCCAGCATTTGCCCACGCTAACAACCAACGCGCCCGCAGATCTCAGGTCGTCGCCGATTCAACATCATCAGCCCCGGTTTCGAAGCCTACATTGCGCAGAAGACGATGAAGGAGATTATGCAAGAGTACCGAGGACGGTTCCTGCCCGAGTGGGATCCGCGCGTGCAGCAGGTGCGGAGGGTGCTGTATCGGTTGTTGCCGTACGTTCGCGATGCCGGGGGCTTGCAGGATGTGGATTGGGAGGTGCATGTCATTGACAGCCCGGAGATGAATGCTTTTGTGATTCCTGGGTGAGTGCGAGGGAAGTCTTACATGTGGGCCGGGGCATAATTATCATGCGCCTCGTCGGTGGATGGACGGATACTTTTGATCTGGGAGCATGGAGGCTGATGTGCGCATACAGGGGCAAAGTCTTCTTCTTCACGGGGATACTACCAATGTGCAGGACCGAGGACGGCATCGCTGCCGTCATGGCGCACGAGATTGCGCACGTGGTTGCGCATCATACGGCGTGAGTACCTCGACCCCTGATATCTTGAAGAAGGGGAAAAGTGAAACCACGGGCTACGACTTACGCGAGCGCGACAGGGAGAAGCTGAGCCGGGCTCCCTTTATTCTCATGGGAGTGCTGCTGTTGTACATGGTGGATGTATCGTTTACGATGGGAACCGCGTTGATGAACCTCTTCCTTGAGTATCCGGGGAGTAGAAAGCAAGAGGTATATTCTCCTTATGTCTCATGTTACAGGTTTCTGGATTGCTAACACCACTCCAGGAGGAAGCCGACTTCATTGGATTGCGTAATTGCTTACCTTTCCCACGCTCACTCCCTCATACTAACCATCCACCTCCCGCAGTAATGATGGCAGAAGGCTGCTACCGCCCCGAAGCCGCCGCCGAACTCTGGGCCCGCATGGACCGCCTGGAAGCCGCGCGCGGCGAGCGGACGCCGGAGATCCTAACCACGCATCCCTCGCATGGACGTCGCGAGGCGAAGATCCGGGAGTGGTTGCCGAAGGCGTACGAGAAGAGGGAGCATTCGGACTGTGGGAATATCATGGGGTTTGGTAGGTTCTCGTTTTCGATCTACTTCTTTTTCTCTTTTAGTTTCTCTCTCTCCTCCTTTTCATTTGTTTAACCGCAAGCTGTGTTGATGAGGAGAGAAGGCGGGAACTGGATCATGATGTGCTAACACTGATCTAGCGGACAAGTTCGCGCAGGTCTTTGACGAATTCAGACGATGGTAGTGCAGTGTGGACCTGACGATTCGACGATTGATGGTTTGACATTCAGAAGGCGAGTCAGCCGTTGTTAGACTAGCATCGCAAGAAGTGTACTGTTACATGCAAATAGATACCCCATTCCTATCTCTCTCTCTCTTTCCCCCTCTTTCTCCGTATCTCTTCGGCGCTGTATCGACATTCGTGAGCCGTGACAATGGTGGTCTAAAACCGCGTCATGCGGCCGGACGAAATATGTCGACGAGGATTAGGCTTTCGAACATATACCTACCGAGCGGATCTCGGGACGCATGCAGGATAGATAGAGGCTTCGCTTCCACGAAGCCGTCATCGTCGCAGAGAGCAATGGCACCAGCCACAGGCGCAATCATACCATTCTAACCCGACTTTGATGTTATGATTACTTTCCGTATCCATACCAGACAGAACTCGCAATACCAGTGTACTCACTTCTCCCCTCTTGGCAATTCACCAGCCACACGGATTCGTTAGACGCGTTGCAATCCCGATCATCGCCTCAGGATTACCCTTGGCTTCTCAAGTTGCCGGAGAGAAGTGCACGCTGGTTTTCCATTCGCTGTGGATATACCTAGCCATGGATGGTCAAGGTCAAGGTCAAGGTCAAGGTCGGAGACAAGGACATGGCTGGCACCCATACCTTGCTGCTAGCAAAACCAACCATGCAGAGGTTTTGATGCAGTGTGATGGGATTGACAGTGAAGCATGATTGCTTCCTAGAGATCCTAGGCACGTCTTCTCAGTGAGGGAGGCCTCGCATGCAATCATGTAACTATTTCCAAATCTTCGCACTTCAAGGCTGGGGTACCTCGCATATGCATATGCACTGTACTTAGTAGTAGGGTATGAGACTAACCACTTTAAGGCGCCCTTTTTTTCGGGTTACTATGGGTGTGTACTAACTGCCTATCACATACTTTTCTATGCGTTCAAAGCCGCAGTAGTGCTGTATATGAACCCCACTTACAGAGAGGCAGAGAGAGACACTACAACTCGGCTAGCTCTAGCGAAATCCCGAAAGAACGCATGCGGCAAGTACAGAGGCACGCACAACGTTGACATTGTGCGAAGTACGGATACCATAGTACTTGTTATTCGGATCCGGGTTTCGCGGGATCTGGTGTGAACATGGTAGGAGGAGAGAAAAGAAAAGACAATTCTCGCTGACCTTTTTTTTTGCTTTTTCGCTGTGCTGCATATGCGATGTAGTGCTAGGGTCGGAGGTAAGAAAGGAAAAGAAAAAAGAAGAAAAAAAGAATGTCGTTGATCAATGATGTAGAGAGAGACATGTGTTTATCGGGCGTTTTTGGGGTTATCGCGATGTCGGGATGGGGCTAATAATAATGCGAGCGAAAGTCCGAAGACGAAAACGACTACTGCATCATTTACAATTGCGTCTTGTCTTTTTGCTTTGAGTTGAAGAAAGAAACACTGGAGGTGGTGGCTGTTTTGGTGGCTCCAAAAGTACAAGGTCCTGCATTCATCAATATCCTACCGTCACACAAAACCAGCCTCTCCCTTGCGTCGAGCACATTCTCTCCACGTGGCCATCAGAGCACGCTGAACACAGACACAGCGTCTATATAATTCTCCTACCTAGTTCCACGGCAGCAGTCACTGTACAGGAGGGCGTGCAAATCGCAAAAGCAAATACAAAAATGGAGGTACGTGAACCCCTAGTTTTCGTTGACAGCCATGCTGCATATATTAAATATCGTTCCACTTCCTAACCGAGCACTCTACCGGCGCCCCGGATGTATGTCGTGTCCGCATTTTCGCCGCGTGGGTACATCATCTACTACAGAGGATACACACATATCCTTGTCCTGCATCTTCAGGGCCTGCCTTTATGTCATTCGGCATTGCAGGACGGCGTAGAGAAGCCTCACCGTCCAATTCTCTCAGCAAAGGTTGCTTCTCCTACCTATCAATTGCATGCGGACAGGGGTATCTACCGAACGCTACACTATCGTGGTACTCCATACTTTTTCTCTCCCTTCTAAAGAAACCCAACACGACCGGTTTACGTTATCTACGGATACCAGTCCCTGCTTGCCTGCTTGCCTGCTTGCCTGCTTGCTTGCTTGCCTGCTTTTCCCTGCGTCGTTCCCAAAAAGAAAACATCTTGCATACCGTGCTGTGTTGTAATAGTGACGACTCTGCCTTGCCCGCATATTTTCGAGAAAAACCAATTTCGAAACGAAAACGAGAAGAAAAAAGAACAGCTCCTGTTTCAGGTGTCTCGCTTGAAAGTGGCGTGTTCTTAACCTCGTCTATGACGATATCTTGCCGAGCTCGTCTTACCAGTACAGACAGTCCCCTTGGGTCATTCGGTTTTCCTTTTCTCGTTCCAGATGCAGCTGGTGCGATAGTCTTAAACAGGTAAACAACAAACAACGTCGATGAATGACAGGGCGTAATAATATCCCTTCCCCCCCGCCCACCAAGGCAAAAACGCGCCCATCACGCCTTCCCCAAATATCCAATGTCTAAGCGAACGTGTCTCTGAATCCCAGCACCGCCACCAGCCTCTTGTTTCGCGGATCCCATTTCGATAATGCCTGCATAGAGTGGCGTGGTGACTTTGGTATTCGGGCCTCGCCGCCCCTACATAGTAGAGTCCAATCACTGTGTTGCACCCTCAGTTTCACCGCTTTAATTGGTTGCGGAAGGCGGCCGGGATAGAGCGTAGATCCCCTTACTCGTTACTTGAGCGGGTGTGAGTGGATCCATATTGCATCGTTGCATACGCATCTCGTCTACTCCGTACTGTCTCACCGAGTTAACGAAAAAACAACGTCAATAAAAAGCATTGTTCCGGGCCTACCAGTACGGGAAAAGAAGAAAGAACTGCTTCTCCACGCACTCGAAGCGGAAGGCTGCGTGGCAAGTATACTCTCCTTCGGTGTATGGCGAAATATGCAAACACGATACTACCGATGTCAATTGCAAGAAGGGCTGAGCCATGATGGTTTCAGGCCCACTCCCTAGCGATGATGGACCACTCTTCTCGTGTCGTAACGTGTTGGACCTTTTCCCTTTTCTCATTTCTTTCCCTTTCCCTTTCCCTTTCCCTTTTCTTTCTTTTTCTTTTCTTTTCTTCCTTTTTTCCACGTGTGAAACAGGAATCGTCCCCGTTCCATCTCTTGGCAGGCGCTCAGCACCTATTCTGGGAACGCGAACAGGGAGCACCTCCACCTCGTGAATCCTCGTCCATTAATATTCGATCAACGCCATGAGGCGCCTACCGGTGGATGCGTGGCAAAGCCACAGCGGCAGCTTCGGATCGCACCGCTCAAGCCGCCGCCGAGCAACCCTGAATTGAGAAACGGCGAAGCTCAAAAAGCAAAGACGATGTGCATCGGCTGCCAATCGTCTCGATGCCGAAGAACGTCGGATGATTGCATGTTGGCGTGGGGTTGGGCACATGTGAGACCGTCCGGCCACCCCCACGTGTAAATCGATATCCAACCTCCACCTCCGCAACCCGAGAGACCACACTTCTCCCGTTCTGTGTAACAGCTGCAGCTTGCCCGAAAGTCGAGACAGCTAAAAAGAAAAAGAAACCCGATAACCTAGGGGACTTACTTCGTAGCCTCTCACTGTACTGTGCAAGCAAGCAAGCACTATCATAAACGGACTGGTCTACTACTGGTGACCAACACCGCACCTTCGGACATGTTCATCTGGTCTGAGTAACACAGTATATCGAGACAATAATGTCCGATGTTGCGACCAACAACGCTGATAGGAAAGTCCTTGAAGCAGAACGGTCCTCCTGCAATAAGGAAGTTCTAGAAACTCAAGGCTGTTGCATTTCAGGACTAACACGTGGGATCGGAAACTGCGATGACTGCAAAACCGTGCCCGAAGCCATCCGAGCCAGCCAGCAGCTAGGAAGGAGATACCCCTCCCCTACCTTCCTTGACCCTCCGTTTGCTTTTCCTGCTGCAGTGCCTATCACAGTTTGAGTAGGTATTCTAGAATTCCCGCAACACAAATGAGAGCAAACGTCCGCAATCAATGGGGACCTGCAACACAAAAGCGAACGGGAAACGGACTCAAATACTCCGTACAGTAGAAAATAACAAGCTTGGCGGGAAAAGGAATTACCGTCGCCCACTACCTAATCCCGAACGTTGAAATCCTTCATTCCTTTCCCGTATCTTACCTACATCCACGATTACGATTTCAAGCATCCCCTCCCCGGCCCCCTCGTCCCAACACCTTCGGGAAATCCTTCAAAGTCCGACAATAATATCAGAGAGGTTGGTCGCACAACACACCACAGACCGGGCCCGAAACACGCAAAATCCGAGCTGACCGTGAAACCCACCACACACACCAGACAGCTAGTCTATACTCCGTAGAACCTCATTGCGCGTCTTACGTCTCATGTCTTACAGACTCACTACTACTCCGTAAGCAATCCGGCCCCCCCAAGTGCTACTTCTGCGAGTGCACAATACACTCGAAAGTGAGGACGTAAGCCACCCTGCGCTATTGCCTCTGTGTGCCCTGTGGTCCGCTTGCGACAGATATCATGGATGCGCAGGATTGAGATGGTGGAACCGACGGGAATGACGCGATGATGTCCGTCCGCCTGCGATGTAGGTAGCCTAGCCTCGTGTGGTCCGATCCGGTTCCTCACAGAAGAAACCAACAAGATGAGGCCGAACGGATTCATCGGAAAACGAAAACGGCACCAAGAGTATGCGCTTCCTCGACGCGCTTCCTCAAAAGGCCGGTGGCTGGGCCTAACAAGTTCCAACACCTCGTTTATCTGCAACGGTCCCGAGAGGGCTGCATGTGCCGGACGACAAGACGCAAACCTCCATTCGGGAAATTATCCAGCTGCAGGCTGCCTCCAACCTTGGTAAGGCGCAAAGCGATGTGGGCCGGAGAACTCCTGAGGAGTAGCTCCGTATATCTATAGACCTCATCTTATATCAAACTGCACTGCGAACCGAAGACCTTGGATAGCGTGAGAGAAAATACCCAAAGGGTATCCTTCGATATCGATAGCGTGACATATCTACTGTGCAGCGTAACCGAGGAAAGTAAAGAATCCTAGATGTGGTATCATCCCAGAAGAACGGAGCGCTTTTGCGGGCCAAGCGTGCGCTTCAAAATAAGAAAAGGAAAAAGCACGTTGTGCGCATGGTATCATTCGTGCAAAAGAAAGCAAACGGCCGGTCTACACAGCTCCGGTTAGAGGGAGATGAAAAAGGAAAAAGCGATGCTAGCGCGTGTACTGTCAACAGGATATAGACTGGTGAAGTATGGTACAAATGTACAAGAACGGGGCGAGTGAAGGAGAAAAAGAAAAGGCCGTCACGTCTCTTCAGTCAGAGCTTGGTCATCAGTGGTTTCACGCCAACGTTGTGCTTGCTCCGCCATGCGTTTGATGCCCGCAATGCGCTGTGCCCAAAGCGATTCGGCAGGGGTCCTGAATGTGTATGCTCGCTGTGAGCTGATGACCCCAATAGCTTGCAGCACAGCCTTGCGGGAGTCGCGTCCGAAATGAACCGGGTGGTGCAGCCATTCGAGTGATGACTCCAGTTCGGCGTCTAGCGCATGCATGGTTGAGACGTCGATACCCGCTGCAGGCGTAAAAGGGTTTTCGGCGTGGGGAGAGGGAGTCCGAGGTCTATTGGCACTGTCGACGGTCGGCGAGGAATGCCCTGTGCTGTTGGCTGTGCTCGGCGCATCATTGCGTCTAGAGCCAGGTGGCGGAAGTGGAGGCAAACCACCTTTGCCCAGACCTTTGAGGATACTCCTCGTCTCCTTGAGCAAGTGATGGGCTCTTTCGTGCTGTCCGCGGGACACGAGGGTCAAAGCACGCGTCAACATGTCGGAGGTGAGCAGCTCCATCCGTCGTTGGACGATATGGGGGTGAGGTGGAATGGGTGGCGTGGGCGGGCGGTCGGACGGGTTCTTCTTCGACACAGATGGGAGAATGGTGATGGCGAGCAGCGAAGGGCGAGGTAGGTGGCAGACGGTCCCTTCCCTGAGTATATCGCCATAGATAAGGTCGGCCTGGATAAGGGGTACTTCTTCGACACTAAGGCTTCGTGGTTCGTCTTGGTCCAGGGGTCCACCAAGGGCTTCCAAACCTGAAACGATGGTTTCCCAGGGATCTTGGGGGACCTGTTCCGGCGAGCTGGTGTCGGGAGCGATCGCTAGTTGCACGAGGATGTCTGCCCTTCAATTAGCACGCGCCGGGGATATGCTGGGCTGAGCTTGGGACGAACCTCTCTTGTCTCCGAATCGCAAGTCGCCGAGCGATGCCTCTGCATCCCGGCCCGTGGCACGCTTCGTTATTTGCAATGCACCACTAATCTTGACGAACTTGGCCGGAGAGCCCTCCGGCAACCGCAGCTTGAGCTTGACGTTCTGGTGTGAAATGCTCTGAAGTGAACCCAAGCATCCCGCAACACATTCGCGGAGCATCATCCAGTCCTTTGCATACGTGTAGGACGCTTTGGTTCGAGTCGATAGCTCAATCATCGTGTCAGGCTTGTGGCTCAGCCCAAGTCCGAATGAGTGAATAGAGACCCTGCGTCATGTCAGTCAGAACATGTAGAAGACGCTGGGAAGTTGGAAACTCACTTTGCCGCTTCCGCCCGCGAAACGACAAAATCAACGCTCTCCGCATCGGACGTGGAGGAGTCGCTGATGAGAAGGATGCTCGCAAGGGGGTTGTTCGATCTCCGTTGCATGAGAAGGTCCATTGCCACATTGGCGCCCTCGACGACGTCGGCGCGGGGGCTTTTCTGGCCCACAGGACGGATTGAATCCAGCACCTTGGGCCAGTCCTTCCATGCTTTGCTCGTCATTCCAACGATGGGTACTCCTCCTCCGCTTGACCCGAATGTGACCAATCCCATGCGGTCCCTTTCACCCAGATGCTGCACCAAGAACTTGAGCGTGTCGCGAAGGAGGTTGATCTTGAGCCCTTGCATCGAAGAGGACACGGGAATGACCACGACGATATCGAGGGGTACGTGGACTTGGCCGGTGGGCCGCGGTTCATGCATACCTGCACGCGAGTGCGTGTATTCGGTAGGTGCCGTGACGGTGGATCGAGCAGCGCCATAAGACGACGAGTTGACCGAGGACACGCGGTTGGGCCGAGACGCTCGGTATTCGTCATCCTCCGTGCCAGAGTTGTCCTGCTCGTAATCCGGCATTCTTCCACCGGGTTGAGCAAAGTCCATCCGGATATCCATCAAGGCGCGTCGCCAGAGATCCAGCTGGCTTCTGTTTTGGAACTGCAAGTGAAAAGCCGGCAGTTCAGGGACGGAGAGACTGAGCGTCAAGATGGCATCTTCTGGGGAGTATTCCACCTGGTTGAGGTGCTTTTTGATCAAGATGGAGCCCTTCAGCGTGCACCTCGGCTTGCGGAGTGGTTGCTCAGAGCCCGGGTACTGCGGTGTAGGGCCGGCTTTCTTCTCCTTGACGCAAATGAGCATCTCCGAGAAGAGATAGCACTCGAGCTCTTGCCATGATTGGCGGTCCTTTCCGACACGCACATGACCGTGAAGGCGCAGCTTTCCAAAGCGCGAGAAGTCGAGGCCGTGCCAATTGTCAACGCGTGAATGCAGATCTTCGGTGATCTCGTCCAACTCCTCGGCGGACTGGTACGGGGATTCAAACGCAGCTCGCCCGCGCACAGGGGACCTTGGTCTTCCATAGCTCTCCGCGACGCTGGCAACCGAGGGCAGAGGGGGTGCGGCGCGCATGTCATCGGGGTCTGGCCTCCATTTACCATCCACCACCTCGACCGTCACGAGGCAGGTCAAGCTCTGCTGCTGCCGCGAGCGGTTGAGGGTGGGGAATTCGCTGCGCACAGTCACGGTCGGGGCGGGGATGGGGCTCTTGAGGAGGGAGCGGGGGCTACTCAAGCTGCTCTCCATGGCCTGCAGGTCATAGTCGTGGCGCCTCCCGTCGTGGGCCGCAGAATAGTCGGCGGAGGAGGCCACGCCGGTTGCGCCACTATCGCTGCGCAGGTGTTGGCGGCTCATGGAGCCCATCCGTTCAGACATGCGGTCCCTGCTAAGGCTACTATCCCTCTGGCGAGGATGAGGCGACTGGTAACGGCCACTGACATCGCTGTCGCCTCGAGGCCGGCCGTGCGACTGATGTTCGGGTACAGAGGGGTGGTCCCATGGCGTAGGGGTATTTTGGTTGCTGCGGTGGCTGCCCGCCTGGCTCGGGTCGGCGTGTGCTGATCGTACAATGGTGCTTAATTTCTCTACAAAGGGGGCATCAGCAAGAGGGAGGCTCCGCCTGTTCGTAGCGGCGGACTTACCCAGGTCCAGCACGTTTCCACCTCGACTTGTATCCAGGCCCAGGGTTGCGTCGCAGGTAGGACAGTGCTGTGAATCGAATTCGCGAATGTACTCGTAGAAGCAGGCCTCGTGGGACACATGGCCGCACGACAGCTGCAGGATGCGCTCGCCACGCAGGGTATGCTCGAGGGGCTCTTCGCAGACGGCGCACTCGCTGCCTATGAAGGTTCGATCGCGGCGGGTCCTGGACCTCTCAATGTCCAGAACGCCAGCCATGCCTCTGGAGGAGCGAGGGGGACCAGCCGAGTCGAGGGTGGAATTGCTCGGCAGGGTGTGCTTGGTGAAGGGTTTGATGGTGCTCGAGGAGAGGTTGGAGCCGCGGGAATGAGGACGGAAGCCTGCTAGAAGAGACATGAGTGGGTCTGAGCGTGGGAAAGACAATGACTCTGAATGGACTGGGAGTCTGTACTGTGCTGGGTGACAGGCGAGCCAAACTCGACGGCCTTTGGTTTCCTCTGCTTCTTCTTCTTGTCCTTCTTCTTGTCCTCGGAGGACCTGGACGACCTGCTACTGCGATACTTGTTCCCCAGGAGGCCGACTTCGAAGAGGTTGGCTTCAATGTAGGCAGAGTCGCTGGTCTGGTCGTGGTGACGGGGTTGGTGACGAGAGGAGGAAGAGTAGTGGGCAGGCGCGTTGGACATGAGAGCCTCAGATTCAGGAGAGAGGGCAAGGCCAGGTGGGTTTTCGTTCGCCTCAGTCTCGTTTCAGCATTGATGAGACTCTGCGCGGGAAGATCGCTGGGGGAGAGTGGGCACGGCCAGGCGGGACGTGAAGGGGAGGCAGGTCGCTAGACCGGGATGCAAGACGGGGGTTTGAGTGTTTGAAGGATGGCACCGGCGCACGAGCGAAAATAAAAATGGGACTGCGAGACAGGGGAGCAATTGCTGCCGAAGAGAGAGGGTTGGGTGCTGTTGGCTGCTTGGAAAAAGGGGGGAGGGAGGCGATGTCTGATGAGATTGGCGAGGTGACTGAGAGAAGTACTTGTCAGAGTCCGGAGTACGGAGTAGCAGTAGTTGTGTGTCGCGGAAGTGGGCGGCGGGGGAGAAGGCCGTGAGGTTCCAAGGAGGGACCCAGGCCGGCGACTCTGACAGAATTGGATGGACGTGGACATGGTGGTATTCACTAGCCGGTCATATCGCGCGTGCCTGTGGGCGGCCGGCAAACGAAGCACTGACCGAGGGTTGCGAGGTTGGGAGGGGTGGGCCCAGCCAGCCCAGGAACAGACAGATTTTGCCCGAAGCGTTCTGGCAGGTCGTCGAGGAGGGCTGGGGACATTCACCGGGGGAGCCTTGCTGCTGAGACGTGCCAGATGCGTGGTGATGGTGGTGAGGGAGGAGGAGGTGGGTCGGTGGTGGTGGCTCGGGGCTCCGAGGCATGTTCTGCCGGAGGCGCAGGGTTCGCCAGAGCGCCAAACCGGTTTTGCATGAGCTCGAACAATACGGCGCCTCACCTGTTTCGATTGGTGCATACTTTACGCCTGACTCAGCGGAGTCAGCGCCGCTGCATTTGGCGTTCTGTGGCTGTGGCTGGGGCCATGTTCCAAGGTTGAGTTCGAGCCCTGGAAATGTGAGACGGTTCGGGTTTGGGCGAGACACCAATTCCTTCTTTTCCCTTTTTCTTTCGCTCTGCCTTCAACAAACGCTGCTTTGCGAGGATGAAGGGTGAAAGGGGAATGACAGACGGACTGCTCCGTAGTCGGACAGTTGCGTGGAAATGGAAATGCGGACAGAGCTGGGAAGGGTTGAGGAAGGGCCTGCCGTGGAATTCTGCCGGCAAGCATCCTCACGGTTTTGAGCGAGTTCCGAGTCAGGGTTTGAGTTTCGTTTGCAACGCTGCATCCAACATTGAACGAGACGCGAGACACAGGAATCGGCAGGTTCCAAACGCTTTGGCGGAGTGCTTCATGCAAACACCTTGCACCCGTCACTACCTCCTCGTTAACCACCTCTTCCCTTCCCGCCGACTTATTAGCCGACCGTCGACAAGATCATTATTACGGATTAGCTGGGTCTCTGTAGGTTGGTTCCTGACTCGGCAGCGGTGGCAGTACGGTACTGTGACATAGGAGCGTCCAACACAGACGAGGACGAGCAAAACAGATGCCCTTGAAGCAAGGAACTGGACGTTTGTTCTGCTTGTCAATAATCACTCCCGGCGGGCTTTCCCATGATGGCAGAGCTCAGAGCGAATCAGCATACCGAGTACCACAGTACTCCCGTGCCACCTCTGCAACCCCTTCTTCCAACGTCATCCCCTACCCCGAAATCTTTCTGCTCGTTTCGATCCTATATGATATGAATTCGAATCGTCAAAGCTCGCCGCTGGCTCTTTTGAACGTCAATCTCTCTGCTGCCACTGTGCGAGGAACCTTGGAGAGATGTGGCCCGTATCGGCCCCCCTTCCAGAAGCTCGTTGGAATGTTGGAACTTGTTGGAATGGCTGCATTGCTGCTCATCTCCCGTCCCGTTTGCGGCGTAGCAGTCTGATCAATGCCGCCGCCCCTCGCCGGTTTACCTTCTCGACGATCATAGGCTCTCTCGTCCTCGCTTCTGCTGACTGTGCGGCGCACTGGCTGGTGTTGATCACCTCTCGTCGTCGTGCCCCGTGTTCTGCAGCCCTTCCACGTGCCCTCCTTGCCCCTGGTGCCCATCTTTCAGAAGATTGGGCCGACAGATGACGTCCGGGCCAGCCTTGGATACGTTCACCCACCACGAGCCCACCCCACAGCGGCCCCGCCCTCCCTGTTTGGAAAAACTTCGATCCTGGATTCGTACAAGACTCGACTCCTCCAAACTTTATCTTGTCGACACGCTGGAGATTTCCAACACTGAGTAGCGCTAGAGGGATGAATGCCCGGAGCCAGCTCCTCCAGTCGGCTTAGTCGGCTCGCCTATCTGATGGTACCTGGCACGCATCAACACCACTTACAACAAGCCAAGAATGGCCTCCTACTGTGTGATATATCAATCCTGCCACTCTTGTACGTTGGGCACCTCCTCCTGTCAAAGCTAATTTTCAGCTCCTGCAAATCCATCACGAGCCCCATGACACAGCCATTCTTCGTCGAGCGGTCGTCCTTCTGGCGTCGCCTTGGCACCCACCATTTCCCCATGGCCTCATGTCCATCTCGCCCATGCTGCCCATTTCCAAGGTGTGCATCTCCCCCCATAATGGGTTCCGTCGCCGAGTGGCGCTCGCCGGAGCGCCTGACTGAACTTGTTGATCACATTATCGTCATTGACCTCTCTAACCGCGACATTCGACTTGGTGGGAGTGCAATGCTCACCAGCTTTTACTAATAGTAATATCTAAACGGCATGGAAAGTGGCCCTCATGGACTTTTCTGCCCTCAGTCTGTGTAGCTCTCTGTGTCAGATACTCAGGTCCCGTCTCTTTCCTTCAACCCTTTGACATCTTCACCTCCCTTTTCCTTTTCTTCCCTCGTCACTCAGAGACAGCTCGGAAGAATGCGGTTGAAAACATCTCTATTCTAGATACAGACTTCTTTTGGTTCTGCTATGTACATACAAATCACGAACCCCAGAAGAGAAAAAGATATTATACCCTTCCCCCAGAACGCCTCTTCCCAGTCCTTTCGGTCTCACACCCCCTAGCACTTCCTCCACACAAGCTGCCATGTCGCGCTCTTGACATCATAGCTTCCCGCCTTGCCCTGCACCACGGGTCGGAAGTTGACGTTGAGGATTCCCGGGTTTCCGTCCGCGCCTGTGCACTTTGACCAGTTGAGCGTGCTGGTCTTTTGCCGGAGCGTAAACGAGTCCTTGAAGTCCACGTCGGTGCAGACGATGTTGTCGGAGAGAGTCGTCTTGGAGAAAGTGTCAGCGTGTGGGTCTTCACAATGTAACTTCTCCTTCAAGGTGGAAAGGAAAGAAAAACTCACCGTCTTGGCCGCGTTGTCGCTCCAGAAGACTTGCGAATAGGTATCCAGGGAGCTGCCGGGCTTCAGGCTCAGGGTACCCTTATACTCGATCTCCTTGATGGCGACCTGCCATCCCTCGCTCGCGCCCTTGGCCTGCAGGTGGATGCCGCAGTTGCTGGTGTCGTCGCCCTTGAGGCTGCTGAAGGTGAAGGACGCAGAGTCGCCTAGCGTCGTCGATGTCGACTTGACCGAGCCCGGTGCTGAGCAGCCGTTGCCTGCATAGTCGAGGTTGTAGATCTGAGGTGCTGCGGGTGGAGCTTCGGCGGTGGCAGCCACCAGAGCTGCGGGCGCGATGGCGGACAGGAAGAGTGCGGAACGCATTTTGGTTTTGGAGACGAGGTGAGGTTTGGATAAGGACTGGGTTTGCCGTGGGAAATGGACGATGACGACGACGAGGTACGTCTATTGCGGTTCGGATCGCTAGGGTTCCAAAGTCTTGTTTTCTGCAGAGGAGAACAAAGTGGATTGATTCTGATGATAGATAACTCCCGCTCCACGGGCGATCTCCTCCACCTTTATATACCTTTTTTCCCCTTACCTTCCCGCCTCGACCTGTCCTCATGTACAACTCGCCCCTTCGTATCCAACACCCATCCAAACTCCCATGTCCCTCCATCCATCCCCATACCTTCATTTCGAAGCCTAACCGGCCATCCCCAAAACGTGCACGCTCGGACGCAAATCGCCGTCTTCCAGATGCGCACCCCCAACGACGCTAGTAACCGTCCTTGTTGCCACCGTATAGCACATTGGGGTATTCCATCAAGTCACTCCGGGCCCAGACTTTGGCCACCTGCACTACGATTACATTATTGCCACTTTAACTACTTGCACATCGCCAACGGTACGCGCAGCGGGATTCCTTCTTGATTATTGGTATGAGGGCGAGTTTGCTCATCCCTCGTAGGAAACACCGTTGCTCGACCCCCTTCATTTATCCAGATTAAAAAGCCAGAAGTCCAGGTTCACCCACAACAACAATATCCATCCATCGACTCCGTTTATTCTTTCAGAAACGTCGCAGAACCATGTTGCCCAAACGCCGCTCCGTTAAATTTGTTTACCTAAATATAGCTGGATGGTTAATATAGGTGATATTTGATGGCCGACGTTCGAGAAGCTGTTGTCGCGAATATGCTAATAATGCTCCTGCGAAATTTACTTTGCCCAACGTTCCCTGGGTTTTGGGATTTTGACGCGTTGGTAACGTCCAGGGCGGTTCGACTGCCCTCGTGCTATTTTTTTCGCAATCCGGTGTGAGTAGTCTGGAGACGGTGGCGTGGCGCCACGGGCTGCGATGATCTGATGATCAACACCAGGAAAGATGGGAGAGGATGAAACTTACAGTATGTCCCAACCGCACACGTGAGGAGCATATTCGAGATTGAGAGGCTCGACCCTTAACCATCCCATATTCGAACGGGGTAATAAATCAAGAGAGACATGCAGGAACCTGGGATTCCAAAGTCGATCGGCTGCTATTTTTGGTGCTGATCTGGGGATGCAGGGATCATATATACCATAGTATGTATGTACCTGCAACTCACCATGTTTCCTGTACCCTTCACTCCCAGGGTACTTTCAACGTCCCCGTTTGCCGAAATTCTTCTCCTTGGGCGAAATAGGTGATGATAATTTCCAGGTACTCTATGCAAAGGCGGTCCGGATGGCTTTAGTACTGTTCTCTTCATATATGAGAGACAGAAATAGCAACGGATGCAAGTTCGACAACCGGTGAGGATATCTCGGTTTTCGCAACGGTGCTCGCAGTTTCTCCCGTGTCCCTATCCCCAAAAAAATCTCTCTCTCATGGTCCAACATCCACCGCCCAACCTGTACCATCCACTCCCAACGCAGCCACCAGCAAACCCAACTTCCACTCCGCTTCCTTCACACACTCTCAAACCTCATCTCCCCTCCTTCCCCTTCTCAAAACCCTCCGTCCCAGGCCCACTCCCCCCAACCAAATACCACTCCCTCACCAACCAAACCACCGCAACCCCCACCGCCGGCCCCAACACCATCCCCATCCCCACCCACATAACCACCAACACCGCTATCCCCCTCGCCGTGACCCTCCCCACCCTCTTCAAATCCCACATCTCATACCCCCACCAGAGCAACGAACTCGCGACCACGAAAATGTAATCCCACTTGAGCAGCACTTGCATCTGGCCCGTGAACGTGCCGAGTAGCTCATCAGGCAGCGGGGAGGGGTAGAAGATTTCGTACAGCGAGTAGGACGAGGCGAGGAGCGTGTGGAGCCATAGGCCGGCGGAGATGGCTATGAGGGGTAGGAGCGCTAGGAGGAGATGTCGGTGGTAGTGGTTGCTGTGGTGGATACTGTTCGGTTTTGATGCAGTCGCCGTCGAGGCCTGCTTCCTACCTCGAGTTTCGAATAACGTTCTGAGAATATAGTATCCCAGGCTCACGCGCACGGGGTACAATTGCCACAGCCAGGTCCACCAGTGGCGGTCCTGCAGGGTGGAGGCGTGGTACATGAGCCAGACGGGGAGGCTGTGGAGGGGGAGGAGAAGGAAGGTGTATATGAAAGCGTGGTGTGTGTTGATGCGGATGGAGTAGGTGGGTCGGGCTGGTAGGGGGCTGCGGAAGACGTGCGAGAGGAAGTAAACGATTGGTAAGGTGGTTCCACCGCCGACGAGCTGGGCGAGGGTTTGGAAGAGTGTGGGGCTACGAGTAGATGTCAGGGCCTATGTGTTTCCATTTGGATTGAGGTTGGAGATGAGGAATTAAGTAATGCAATGCAGACATCTGATATCAATCAGGTATCATAAGTGCAAAAGAAAGAGAAAAAAAAAAAAAAAAAAAAAA